CATCCCTGTCGGCCAACCGTATAAACGTGCCTTTCATGTCTGTTCCACCACTGGTTGCCCGCACATCCATAATTGCCTGCCAGTGATTGATGATTGCCTGCTTTGCTGTGACCCCTGCCTCCAGCTGCAAGCCCTAGGCTTGCCCCGTGGGTCCTCCAACGTCACCTCAGCGGTGTTGCGTTGCCGGCGGGCTGGAGTGCGCCTCTGGGGATGAGGTTACCCTCTGGTGCTTGGGACATGTCCATCGCTAGGAGCCTTTCTGTTGCCTTTCTGTGGTATGCCTTCATGCTTGCGCTTCTCTTCAGTATCGCATTATCCTCCTGCGGGAGTGCTCTGCGTGCCCCAACTCTGACAGGTTTCCCCAAATATCCTATTGCATGCGTGCTGGGAAGCGTGCGACTGGCACCTGTGTAATAGCGGGGGCTTCCCCTTTTAAAAAAAAAAAAAAAAAAAAAATTACTTCCGGCGCATCATGTCGCAGAGCATCCTCTTGCGCTGTCCCTGGTTGCTGACGAGTCCCATAAGAACATGGCGAGCGGCACATCGCTGGGATGTACGGTGTGACGCTGTCCCTGGTGGAGCAGCAGTTTCCGGCCAGCCAGCCATTCCAGGCAATCTTCGATACGCATGCCCGGAACGCCGGAGAGCTCCAGGGGTGGAGCTAACGGTGCGGGTACCTGGGCTGCTTGGCCTTCTGTACAGGTGCTGATGTGGCTGATGAGAACCCGTGTGGCGATCGCACTCCATCAGGCTGGCGGCAGCTGCTACACGCGCAGCTGATCGATTCTGCGCCGTGGCGTCCGCTGCAGCGACAAACATGCAGATATCCCCAACATGGGCGGTGTCGCTGCCGGGGAACGGGACGGTGCCGGTCGAAATGGTGGACTGTCAAAACAGTCACAAGATGGTGGGAACATAATAGTTCATACGCCCTAGGCTTGCCCCGTGGGTCCTCCAACGTCACCTCAGCGGTGTTGCGTTGCCGGCGGGCTGGAGTGCGCCTCTGGGGATGAGGTTACCCTCTGGTGCTTGGGACATGTCCATCGCTAGGAGCCTTTCTGTTGCCTTTCTGTGGTATGCCTTCATGCTTGCGCTTCTCTTAAGTATCGCATTATCCTCCTGCGGGAGTGCTCTGCGTGCCCCAACTCTGACAGGTTTCCCCAAATATCCTATTGCATGCGTGCTGGGAAGCGTGCGACTGGCACCTGTGTAATAGCGGGGGCTTTCCCCTTTTAAAAAAAAAAAAAAAAAAAAAAAAAAAGTTCATACGAAGAAATACAAAGATGGAATCTCTTACCTTAATGCATTCCATCAGGGTAGTGTAACACGTGCAAATTGTGATGGCAGCGTGTCAGTCGCAGAGCTGGAGACTGCCCTCCGGAGCCTGCCGCGCGGCAAGGCACCGGGCTTGGATGGCCTGCCATATGAGTTCTACCTGCGCTTCTGGCCTGTGGTAGGGCTGGAGCTGGCAGGGATGCTGCAGGAAGCTTTCGGCGGCGGCGGGGAAGCGGCGCTGCCGCCACCGCTGACGCAGGGGCGTATCACTCTCTTGTACAAGGGGAAGGGGGCAGACAGGGAGTCTCCAGCCAGCTACAGGCCCATCACGTTGCTCAACACCGACTACAAGCTCGCGGCGCGGGCGATCGCCAGCCGGATCGGGCCGCTGCTGAATCAGGTGGTGGATGCCACACAGACAGGCTTCCTGCCTAAGCGCTGGGCGGGGGACAACGTGCTGGCACACCTGGAGGAGATCAGCTACCTGGAGGCCACACACCAGCCAGGCGTGCAGGTCTTCCTGGACTTCGAGAAGGCCTTCGATCGCCTTGACAGGGCCTGGATTGAGCGGTGCATGGCTGCGGTGGGCTTCGGGCCCGGTGTGCAGCGGTGGGTGCACATTCTGCACTCCGGCACGACCGCGCGAGTGGCCTTCAACGGCTGGCACACCGATGCCTTCCCGGTGGCCGCCGGCGTCTTCCAGGGAAGCCCCCTCTCGCCGCTGCTGTTTGTGCTTGCCGCGCAGCCGATGGCCGCGCATGCCAGGATGCTTGCAGGCCAGCTAGCTTTCCAGCCCATCAGACTGCCTTCAGGGGAGCCAGCACCAGTCATGCACCAGCATGCGGACGACACCAGCGTGCACGCGCGGACTCCCCGGGATGCTCAGATCGTGCTGGGGGCCAGCGTGGGCCTCCACTGCGCAGCCACAGGAGCCAGGCTGCAGCGCAGCAAGAGCCAGGCCCTAGGGCTTGGCAGCCTCAGCCATCTCGCCGGGCCCGATCCAGTCACAGGAGTCACCTTCGCGGCTTCGAGCGACGGCGTCAAGCACCTGGGCATTCCCTTGTCCACCCAGCCAGCTGCAGCTGCCACAGCCCTATACACAGCCATCATTGAGAAGGTGGAGGCCCGCATCGCCCGCTGGTCCGGCTTCAGACTCAGCCTGCTGGGCCGAGCGTACGTCGCAAAACAGGTGCTGGCCTCCATGGTCACCTACCATGCCACCTTCATACCGGTGCCACAAGACTTGCTACAGAGGCTTTGCAGAGCCATCCACACTTTCGTCGCGGCGAACCGGCCGGTGACCCCTGGCGCAGCGGCGGCGCTGTTCCCAGGCAAGGACGTCTGCTTCCGCGCGGCCGCACACGGCGGCATCGCGCTGGTGGACATCAGGGCCCAGATCCTGGCTCTCCAGGCCAAGGTGGTGGGCAGGCTGTTGGAGCCGGAGCAGCTGGCCTGGAAGGCCTACTTCGACCACTGGCTGTACAGGAGCACAGCCTGGCTGGCAGCGCAGGAACCCGGCACGGTGTCAGCGCGGCGGCAGCACATCTGGCAGCTGGGAAGATTCCTGCTCTTCTCCACCTTTGCAGCGAAGCATGTGGAGGCCCCGCAGCGCGTCCGCCAGTACCTGCATGCCTACCAGCAGCTGCGGCCCCATCACCTGCGGAAGCCGGAAGCGATCGGCTACGACGCAGTCATGGGTGAGCCACTGTTCTTCAACAGGCAGCTCACAGATGCAGACAAGCAGCCCTTTGCCTGGGAGGACTGGGCCAGGCTTGGCCTGGTCAGGATCAGCCACCTGCGCGATGTCGTGCGCGGCCCGGAGCATCCGGTTCGGATGGTGCGAGAGCGCGTGCCCATCCTTCTGGCTGCCTTGCCAGCAGCCTGGAGAGCGCTCATCCAGGTGCAGCCACCGGCCGCTATGTGGTGCGCATCGCCGGACCCGTCGGACCGCCGCGTCTGGTCTCGCACAGCCGAAGGTAGCACCTACCTTCTCAGCCACACAGTAAGCAGCACAGGAGCCCTTGTGCCAGTGGACGGAGGCGTTGCAGCCATGCACGCCTTCCTTCCTCCGGCCGCGCAGCCTGCATTGGTTCAGCACTGGGACATCACCAGGCCCTGGCATCCACGCAGCGGCACACGTCAGCAACGCCAGCACGCGGAGCAGCTGCACCCAGAGCAGCACCTGCAGGTGGAGCAGCAGCCAGGGGAGCAGTTGGAGTGGGAGCAGCAGCTGCCAGAGCCACCGCCACCACCGCCGCCCACACTATACTTCTTTGGCCTCTGGGGATCCCAGGTACAGGACCCTCAGGCTTGGGGGCTCGGCGCGCGGCCGGCACATGAGTTTGTGGTGAGGGAGGCCACCACGCGGCGACAGGTGCTTCACAGGATCAGCAAGGGGGAGGCCAGCCCGGCGGGCCCGCTGCGACCAGCCATCTGGGCTGATACCACAGATGATCAGCGCAGCGGCCTTCGGGCGCTCGAGGCGCGATGGGAGGCCAGGGCTGCAGCTGCTGGTACCGCGTCGCAGGTCTTAGGCAAGAGGCCTCGAGGGCAGCCTGATCCCTCCTCCTGGGCGATCTGGATGGCTGCGCCGCTGCCACGTCCGGTTCCGCTGCGGGACCGCGGCGGGCCTGCGGGCGCGCCAGCGGGCCCTTCACCAGTGCCACAGGGAGCAGATGTCACTGTTGATCCTGCTGCTGCTGCCACAGCAGACCCATCAGCACCTTGGGCTCATGTGTGGCAAGTGGTGCACGCTTCCCATCTGGACCGGCGGCAGCGCGTGACAGCGTGGAGGCTGCTGCATGGCCAGCTCTTCGTCGGCGGCTTCGCGCGTCACGTCCACCGCGCCGATCCCGCCGGTCACGTTTGCCCGCATCCGAGCTGTGCAGGTCAGCTGGCCACACTCACCCATGTCTTCATCATCTGCCCTCTCGCCGCCGGGGTGTGGGACTGGTTCGCAGCGACATGGGCCGCGGTGACCGGAGACGACGCGCCACCGCGCAGCGCCGACCTTCTTCTCGCCGATGACACCAGGATCTGGGGACCGCCGCGGCAGCTCAGGCAGCTCTGGGATCGCCTGCGGCTCGCTACAATCTGTCAGCTGTGGGCAGCATATCAGCGCGGCCGCCACCAGCCAGATGCGGCGGCGATCACCCCCGGAGCGGTTGCGGCTCGCATCCTGTCTTCCTGCAAGAAGGCCCTGCTTGCCGATTGGCGGCTCGCGACCGTCAACGTCCGGCAGACAGCAGGTGTGCTCAGCGACTGGCTTCGCGGACGCGACCCGATGATCACCAGGGAGCAGTTTGCGGCGCGATGGTGCCACCGCGCGGTCCTCTGCGCGCTGGAGGAGCTGCCGGGCGCGCAACCAGTCATCCACTGGAGTGCCCAGCATCCCGTGCCGCTTCCAGCGTGACGCTTCCGATCCACCATTCACTGTACCCAGCCGGCCACGGCTCTAACTTGGCTATCTGTATGACCATGCTCTCATTTGGCCTTCTGCCATGACACCCGCTCGTGTCGATTCTTGTGTTGAACTCACACCCTCTCTTAGGGGGGCCTTTGCGATAGGTGCTCTGGGCACATGGGCGCTAAGAGCCTTCGTCATACCATAGTCAGGCACGGATGACTAACCTTTCACCAGTCCCGATCCCACCCCGGCAAAGCCCGGCCTGTCGTTCCTTGTCTGAGACCCCTTTTTGCCTTAGAGCCCTGGGACCACAGATTGCCTACCAGACGCTTTGCGCCTCTCCTACTTCTAACCTTTGCCAGCGCGGAATGGGGCTCCGAGTCACGTGCTTCCACTGGTCGAGGGACCTGTCGAGCTCGGCCCAACACGGCCCCGGGGGTGCCTCCTTCACCCCTGGGGCACTGGCCTCGCCATCCAGTGCCAGTGGCCTCGCCCACCACCGGACGTGTTTGCGCGGCTCACATCTTGGGTATCCCTCGGCCAGACGGATCCATCGTGCGCCCCGCTACCTGTGGAGTACCGTGCCGGAGAGCTGGAGCGTTGGCGCAAGCTTACAGAAGACCACCCTGCCCAGGGCTTTAGGCTATCAATAGTTTTCCAGTGATCCTCCGATGTTTCTGTCTCACCAGCAGCCCCAACAATCCCCGTGGCTAACCTGAACTGCGCCAGCATGCCCGCCCTACCTTCCAACCTTCATGTCATCCGTGGCCTTCTGCCTTAGTGTCTGTCCTCCTCACCATTCACAGTAGTTCATTGAAGGCTATCTGAAGGGTTTAGGGTTTCCAACCCCAGTATCCACCCTTGAACCTGAGCGGGTGTCTAGGACCTTGGACATGATGCCTCCTGCCTATCCCCGCCTCCAATGTGGTGGGTGTGTGTATCTGGTCGAGTTCTCGCCAGCCTACCTGTTTTTCGCCTCATTTGCGGCTTCATATCTCCCATATGCCACCGTTTGCTTGTGCCCCACCTTGCTGGCAGATTGAGGCATAGTTTAGGGTCACATTGCCAGCCCCGAGCGGCACCTAGTGGTAATGGGTCCGAACGCGATCCTGTTCCATCCCTGTCGGCCAACCGTATAAACGTGCCTTTCATGTCTGTTCCACCACTGGTTGCCCGCACATCCATAATTGCCTGCCAGTGATTGATGATTGCCTGCTTTGCTGTGACCCCTGCCTCCAGCTGCAAGCCCTAGGCTTGCCCCGTGGGTCCTCCAACGTCACCTCAGCGGTGTTGCGTTGCCGGCGGGCTGGAGTGCGCCTCTGGGGATGAGGTTACCCTCTGGTGCTTGGGACATGTCCATCGCTAGGAGCCTTTCTGTTGCCTTTCTGTGGTATGCCTTCATGCTTGCGCTTCTCTTAAGTATCGCATTATCCTCCTGCGGGAGTGCTCTGCGTGCCCCAACTCTGACAGGTTTCCCCAAATATCCTATTGCATGCGTGCTGGGAAGCGTGCGACTGGCACCTGTGTAATAGCGGGGGCTTCCCCTTTTAAAAAAAAAAAAATATATTGAGCAATGGATGGCACAACCTGTCCTAGCTCTGCACTTCATGTACAGTGAATGCTGCAACTGATGATCAAAAGGGCTCTTGGGTCCAGCAAAATTCTCTTTGGATCCTCAAACATATCGCTTCCTCCATTCGTTTGTTCGTTCGTCTCAAAACCCCAGACGGTGTCAGGGTTGATGAGGGTAGGGTTTTCTATGAGAGGATGTTTGTTCCCAGCCTGTTCCCCAGCCAAGGAGCAAGCTGAATTGAGTTAGGCTGTGGCGTTGAGTGGCGTTTCCGTGGATGTGAAACGATGGTCTCTTCCTAATCACTGTATGCAGCGAAAATTGCTGATGTCGAATGTGATGATGAGTTGAAGGACAGGTTTTAGCCACGAAATACATGCTTCAAGTCTGCAAATGCTAAAATTAATCATAATCAAATATACATAATTATCAGCAGTGTTGCCATGGCAAACTTCGATGTCGTCGTCGTTGGAATTGGAGGACATGGCAGTGCAGCTCTCTATCACCTTGCTAAGCGGGGTTTCAAGGTAGAATGCTTATCAAGATCACTGACGAAAATGTTCAGATTGTGTCATTACTGATCGAGCATGAACTGATAGTTTTGCTCCTTTCCTGCAGGTCCTGGGACTGGAGCAGTTCTCAATCGCTCACGATCTTGGATCCTCGCATGGCCACTCACGTATAATACGCCTTCAATACCATGAACATCCAGGTAAATCTGGGGAAAAGATAGCATAATTGGAAAGCAGCAGTGTCCTGGCCATGCACCTGTCCACCTGCCCTGTCTCATTCTATGCTGCCACTATTCAGACTATGTGCCGCTCCTGCGTCGCGCTTACGAGCTGTGGCACAAATTAGAGGCTGAATCAGGCCAGGTAGCCCTCTTCCTTGAAAGAAATCAGTAGACTTGAAGAATGGCTTTTGACACAGGCATCTTGCAGGGCACCAATCATGTTTTGTTTCCTGTAGAGACTGCTTTACACTACAGGGTGCTTGGAATTTGCTGATAAGGCCAATGCAGACAGCGTCTTCGCTAATGCTCTAAGGTCTGCCATGGAGCATGGCCTTGAGCATGAGGTCTTATCGTCTGAAGAAGCGAATGCAAGATTTCCGGGATTTCACATTCCGTCAAATTTCATGGTAAATTGATACATGCTGCTTTGACTCGGCACTGTGGGGTGGAGTCACAGTGAAACTCTCTCACATTAAAACTCTCTGAATGCAGGCATTGTACCAGCCACAAGGTGGCATCCTCAGTCCAGAAAAATGCATCAAAGCTCATGTTGAAAGAGCAGTGCAGCACGGAGCTACTGTGCACACGGAAGAAAAGGTGCTTGCTTGGCACGTCTTGCCGTCAGGCAATGTTGAAGTGAGGACAGCGAAGGGAGCATACACGGCATCGAAGCTAGTAGTCACAGCTGGTGCTTGGATCCCGCAACTTGTACCAGAACTGCAGGTAATGAGTGCTACACCAGTGTTGGCCCTGGTATGAGTGTGGTTCCACAACCTGTTGGGATGCTGCATGGGGCTGCACTCCACTTTTAACAGTGTCATTGTTTGCTAGGGGATTGCGGCTGTGCAAAGGCAGGTGATTGGATGGTTTGAAGTGTCAGACCATGAAGCATTCAGCACAGATAACTTTCCGGTCTTCATTTTGGAGGATGAGACGCTGGGAGAATATTACGGCTTCCCTGAATTTGATGGGCTTCCAGGCATGAAAATTGGAAAGTTCTACCATTTGTATGAGCCTTGCGAACAGCCTGACAACTTGACCCGCATCATCACCTCTGCTGATGAAGAGGTACACACAGTATGTATAGACGTGCTTGTTTTCTCTCATGCGATGCTGACATCTGGATCCACTGTAGGATCCATTGTGAATTGGTAAGGCGCTGCCTGCAGGTGCTCCGGGCGGCCGTGAAAAAGTACTTCCCCAAGGCTGATGGGAAGATGTGCAAAGCTGTCGCTTGCATGTTCACAAACACACCTGACAAGCGATTTATTGTGGACTTCCATCCTGAGCACCCACAGGTAAGCTTTGCTCAGCAGAGCCCTTCAAAACGGCAGCACCGGTTGAGCAAACAAAAGCCAGTGTTCTGTGACGTCTTTCCACTGCAATGGGCCGTCTGCAGGTAGTGCTGTGTTCAGCGTGCTCGGGGCACGGCTACAAGTTTTGCAGCGTGATTGGAGAGATACTTGCAGATCTGGTGGTTAAGGGGTCCACAGCACTAAATATCGACCTCCACAGAATCAGCAAGTCCAGAAAGGCTACTCGAGACATTGCAGGATCCTTGAGTAGATGATCACTGGCAAAATTTGATTGTGCTCTGACACGTGAAAGTATCTGTATCTGCAAGGGAAGTATAATGTTCCACATTATATTCCCCTATCAATGTGCACAAAACGTTAAGGAGACTATCTGGGACAAGTATGGGACTCTTTAGGCAGTCATAATTGGTGGAGTGCACAAGATATCTCTTCAGAATTTGATACTTGGGCACACTTGAATTTGTTGTCAAAGTGCTAGTGTTCTTTTCTGTTATGGTCTAGACTTCATCTGGCCAGCCCTGCGGATCTGGTAATCGTCAAAGATCTTTGGCAGTGCAATACTTGGCAAGTTGCTGTATTTACGTGGCTGCTTGGGGGAATGTCAGATATGGTCGGTATACTGTACATTTAGCTTCTTTGTTAAAAGCCCTTGAAATTCAAGGTTTAATCTCTAAGACTATGGTAATGTGTCTTTGGGAAACGCAGGGGCCTTGCACGGTGGTTGCTGCTTGTCGTGAATGCAACACCTGCAGGCCCCCACCATGATATCCAAAGCTACCGCGCAGTGATGGCATGTTTCCTTTGACGGTTCATTTACCATAACGTAATTGTACATTAATATTATTGTAATTTCTGTATGCCTAGACACTCTAGACTGTGTCCTAGTTGCTCCCATTCTCACGTAAATAGCACTTCTATTTTGGTAGCTTCAAGGATATGTCCTGCACACTTGCATAGATGTCTGTGGCTTGCTATCCCGCTCTGTTGTCTATCCCACAACATACTGGTACAGAAGCAATGACACGATGCAAGCCAAGCCTTTGAGCTGTGCAACTCAAAGCCAAATGTCTTCAACACAACATCACTTTTTGCCAGCCTTCCTTTGCGCATCGAGCTCTTTCTGCGCCTCGCGATTCTTCTCTCCGCGCTGCCCATGCGTGAATTCGATCCTCTTGCGCTTTTGCTTCTTCAGGGCACGCACGCGGGGCTCGATGATGCCTCTCTTCTGCAGGCTGTTGAAGCGCTCACGCGCCAGCATCGCTGCGGGTTTCAACTTGCGCAGGCTGCCGCTTATCTCTGAGGTGAGGAGGACCTAGCCGCACACCACCACACGCACCATGAACAAGCCAGACATAAGCTTTCAGGGCAATACACAGCCGGTCTGCAGGAGGACATAGAGTGCCTGGTGAGGGTGGGAGCAGTTGCGAGCGCACCTGCACAGGCGCTTCCTGAAATTTGACCTTGCCCAGGCGCGGGGGCGCAATCAGCGCCTTCTCGGCCTTCATCCTTTCCCGCCGCTGCTGCCGCCGCTCCCTTTCCTGCTCCGCCTCGCTTATTTCCTGCCCAATGCTGTCCAGGTTCTGCAGCTCTCGCCTCTGCTGCTTGAGCCTCTGCTTGGCTGCCATCTCAACTTCCTGCTCCTTCACCCTCGCTTCCTTGTTGCGGACGGTCCTCGTCTTCTTGTTCGGTCGCCTACTGGGTACAGAGCCTTCCTCTTGTCCACTGTGCTCCTCTTCACTGTCTCCATCAACTTCCTCCACCTGCTCGAATAGGAATAAGAACTCCACCGACCATGGCAGCACATTCGTGGCCAGGAGTCTCCATAAAACACAATTGTCAACACCTCTTCTCGTCAGAATGACACTGACCTGATACTCGAGCAAAGGATCCGTCTCGGGCTCCCAGCCAGCTTGCTTTTGCGGCTCCTTTGCACGCATGTCAGCGTCGATGTTTTTCTGCACTTCCACAGCCACTGCATGTGCGACGGTTGCCTCATGCTGCTCCCTGTCTGGATTGTACGAGCAGCCTGGGTCGTCAATCTCTACGGGTCGGATCTGGCGCACTGGCTCCGCTTTCCTGAAGCATAGCAAATGTGCCTGATCAGTGCTCTCATCACTTTTTTCCACTTTGCACAAAATTTCACTGTGAGGTGCAAAAGATACACCTCTCAACATGATATGCACACCTCCTCTTTGCCGGACGAAGAGGTCCAAAAGGAGTGGTCTGCTTGCTTGCTATTGCTTGTGCCACAGCATCGAAATCTTCCGGCTGCTCAGTATCCTTTTCCTCCGCATCCCATATGTCGTACAGTGCTGCAGGCCTACTGGTTTTCCTTCCTCTCTCAGCTGCGGGGTCTCGCTTGCCCGCTGCAGCAGTCTGTCGACGCTGCTGTTTCTTGCCAAGAACAGGCTTGATCACGGGACGAGCCTGGTGTGCTGCATTGATGATGGCCTGGCTTCTCAAGACCTTTTCCTTGCGCTTCTTCAGTGGCCTGGCAGCGCTTGAATCTGCAGGAGCTGCTGATGTGCTGGCTTTTGCCTATGAGACAGCAAGTGCGGGGTGGTGAAACAAAGCAAGCGAGGAATGTGCTGCAACGTATGTAAAAGCAGCCATAAAATGTATATTGAATGCGTCTTTTACCTTATCAATGAAGAAGAGCTCTGAGTCAGGCAGGACGCCAACGTCTGTACCAAGCCGTTCATTCCTTGTCTTCTCTTCAATTGCTTCCTCGATCTGGATTATTCAACAAATTTCATTATTTCTTCCTTTTTAAATAAGACAAACTGCGAGCATCAACTGTCATGAATAAGAGAGCACTCCCACGCACGTCTGCGGTGTTGATATTTTTGCGCCATGCTTTCTTCCCTTTCCGAGAAGCTTTCGCCATCTTCACTAAATCGACTTCGAATAATTGCGGAATGGATGAAGTTCTTTTGGGGGAAAAAATTTGAGGTAGTCTCGGAAGTCGGCCAGCATAGTTTATATATATAGTTCTTGACCTCTGCAAAACGTTAGGGTTACAATTTGCGGTCTTCGTTTCAGGGCTTTGCTAATCATGATGCGACATTGATGTCGTTCTTACTCAGTTTCTCGTGAAGCAAAACGTACATTAATTAATATGAGAAACACACTTCTTGGTTGATAATTCTTCAAATTTCCTGTCTGAGTCTCTTTGGGACGTTTCAAGCGGCGGTGTCTGTGAAAGTAAATTATGAATGGGATCTCAGCAGGCCTTAGCTCTGTATCGTGAGCTCCTCAGAAACATCAGAAAGCTTCCCAGGTGAGCATTGTATTGCCCTGTGTCATACCTGTGGTCGAGACTGACATAATTGCGACACTACTCATGTTACATAAGTGGCCTAGCCAGTGTCCAGGTTCTCTCTCAGCTGCGACCGATGCGTTTCCTGAATCTGTCCTTGCATCAACAAGATGCACGTGGTAATGACCGCATCGCAATTTGCAGAAGGTGTCTCCTGCTCTGTCCAGGAATTCCAGGCAGTACTACAGGCAGAACGTGAAAGGAGGCTTCCAAAACCACAACGACGAGATTGATCCAGAGCGTCTTCAACAGCTCCTTGAAGGCGCAAGAAAAGACGCAGATTTCATACTGAATAAGGTATGTGATGTACTTGCGGTGCATGCTGGTCTGATTGTGTGAAATGGACTATACTGACTCTCGGTGGATGCGCAGTACGTTGGGAGCAACCAAGGAGGGTCAACTACTGGACGGTGATCGAGTTGGCACGCGTTGCAACAACTCGGCAGGACTTTGTACCCTCTCACTTCAAGAAAAGCTCCTAGACACCAAGGGAAGGAGACGGTATTGGAAGCACATCCAGCATGCAGACCCGGCAGCGCAGTTCCGGTCCCATCACAAATGGAAAATCATCGACTGCATACGTCAATGGGAACGCAAATGGAACAGCGGCAGCCATGAATGAAAAGACCTCGCTAGCAAAGCCTGTAGTTGTGGGGGCAGCGCTGTCAGTGTCGTCCCTGGTCCTCTATCTGTTGAGCTCCAGCTACATCATCCTCCTGAACAAGCGTTTGATGGTGGATGATGGGTTCAAGTACCCCTTGGCCCTCACCGGATTGGCACAACTGGCAGGCGCTATTGCAGGTGAGGTGCATAGCCGCCTCCACTGTGTTTGCACCTGCTCAAGCGATTGTTCCGCCCAGCATCGACCCGATTACGCATATGGGACAGGCAGAGATTGCTACCGTGCAGGATGGATCACCTCTAAGACGGGGCTCATCAAGCTAGGGCCTGCACCGTCGCTGCGTTTCCTGGTCACGCGCCTGCTTCCAATTGTGCTGAGCAGTGCTGGAGCGCTGTATTTTGGCAACATGGCATATTTGTCCCTGTCTGTCGCCTTCATCCAGATTCTGAAGGTGTGCAATCAGTGTTTCTTGGCTTTGTGATGTGGCCGAATGATTCCCTTGCGATCGTGCTCCATGCGGAAGCCAGAGACTCTGGCCAGCTTGTGGAGTCGTTGATGCACCCGTAAGCTTGTGAGTTGCGACAGGCATCTGCACATACTCCCCAGTTCCTGCTGTACATCAGAAGCACGGCTTTGACCAGTCTGTGGGCTGCAGGTGCTGACCCCAGCAGTGACCCTGGCCATCTGCGCCACATTTGGGTTAGAGAGGCTGACGGGATCCCTGCTGGTGTCCATCCTGATGATCACTCTGGGCACTGGCGTGGCCACGGCTGTGGAAGTGGGTGTCGCCGGCTTTGCCTGGCCTGGCTTCATTTCCTTCCTGTTCTCCACGCTGCTGGAAGCCGTGCGAGTGGTCTACATCCAGCTGCTGCTGGGCAGCCTGAACTACAACTCCATGGAGGTGTGCCCATCACCCAAGATGTGACACATTCGAGCAACCCTGGCACCAATCTCAATGTCGGGTACTCATTCACATGTCAGGGGGAGAATAGCGAGATGGAGATGGCGCGTGTGCGTGTTGCCTGCAGGTGCTGGTATACCTGGGCTTCCCAACGGGCATGGTGCTGCTGGCAGCGTCAGCCATCTGGGAGCGCGAGGGGTTGCTGGCCAACGGCCTGGCCCTCATGGCGCACAAGCCGCTCCACTACCTGTCAGCCATCTTCATGGGTTTCCTGGTCAACCTGAGCACCGCCTTTGCCATCAAGGTCACCGGCAGCCTGACATTCAAGGTGGTCGGCTGTGTCAAGAACACGCTGCTGGTGTGGGCGGGCATCCTCATGGGGGATGTGGTCACGACCGAGCAGCTGCTGGGCTACACCATCTCTGTCGTGGGGTTCGCCCTCTACACGCACGCAAAGTGGCGACAGGGGAAAAGTGCATCGGCCGCAAAGAAGGTGTCTTAAGGGCGGACTCTCCATTGGAGACTCTCCATTTTGTTATATTGGTTTGGTAGAAAATTCTTGAACGGATAAGTCAGGCAGGCTGTGGATCGATGTTTTTACATGACAGTAGGGGTACTGTATCCATGATCATAAACCTTATTGAACTGAAAGGGTCCTACACCGTATGTGTGCATTGCCTCATGATTCAACAGGATGGAGGGCAAAAGTGGGAATTAAAATAGGTAGATTTTGTAGTACATGGTAGTGACAGCTGAAAGCATGGCGGCCAGCTTCATCAGATTTACATGATCAAAGGATGTCGTGGATTTGGAGTGAGCATGTTGCCTGCATGCAGCGTGATGCTGCCGCTGAGCTTCGCAACAAAATTATAAAGCCTAGTCCATCTTGAAACTTTTCTGTCAATTATTACAGGTCCTACTAGTACAGTGAGTACTCAGACAAGCCCGCGAGATGTTCATTAAGGCCAAGTAAATGCCAATGAGTGATCTTCACCCATCTTTCTTTGCATTCTCAGGATGTCTTCGTTCCTGCCTGCTGAGCTTTCGCGGTGCTTCTGACGCCCGAGCACGAGCATGTTTCCTTAGTGCGTCCCACAGGAAGATGGTCCCTGCATGCATGCAAAGCTGTCCTCTGTCCCTTCTGTGACCGAACAGAAAGCACCATCAACATTCATATGCACAATCATCTCTCATTCTGACAATATTAAGATGTGGAGATACAGGGAGTTTGGTAGAAACTGACCAAACATGCCCCCGTTGAATGGGATGGCCAGGAATCCTGCAATGAACATGGACCATTTGCAGCATATCTCTCACTACACACAGCGGATTTGCAAATTCCCTTCTCAAGGCGCCATCCAGCAGCAACAGCTGGTATCACTCAAGCTTTTTACAGGGCAACCTTCTGTGGTACCTTACCTGTATTGATGGAAATTAGATATCGCATGTATTCAGCAGGCGGAGTTCTGCTGATCCACATCTTCTGTTGGTGGTCTGCCAAAGACCACCAGGGTTTTAGGAACACAACATACACATACAGATTGTGACGTTATCACGAACACCTGTTGCATTTGGAGATGTACTGCAGGACACACCTGACAGCGCGATGATCCCAAGAAGCCCCATGATGAACAAACCAATGGAGGTGGGCAACAGAATTGTGTAAAGGACCACTTGCCAGTCCTTCAAGCGCTGGGGAGCCTGAGGTGCTGCTGCCATCGGAGCCACCATCTTAATTGCGATGATATGTTTGACAAGCACAGTAGTTCAGCTGTGGTGTGAGAAGGTTACCCCAGCAGCTCTAGTGTCCTGACTTATAGCCATGCAGATGTTATCTAGCTAGGCCTCGGCAATAGGAATAGCCCGCTCTCTGGAGTAAAGATTAGTTTGAAAAGGCTTCCGTATGACCCTAGTATCGGAATGACGCCCTTTCAGTAGAGAAACTTTAGCCTGCAAGGATGAGAAGAGAGGAAGGAGGGCACAGGAGGCAGGCCAAATTCACTAGGGTACAGGATGAGAAGAGGAACAGGGCTGTCAATGTGATTGTGAATTATGATGCAAATACCGTCCTCTCGAAATGTAGTTCTGGTTCATGACTCAGTGCCATTACATGATCATCACATGGCTCCATAGCTAATGTTGACATCACCAACACTGAAGTTTATCATTTATCAGTTGCTTTCTTGATCTGAAGGGTGCTTATGACAGAGTGAATCGGGTGTTGCTCTGGGAGAGTCTGCGTCGCCTGGGCATTGATGGCCGCCTGCTCTCTGCCATTCAGTCTTTGTATGCCAATTCTACGGTTGCCATTAAGATTGGGAGCAGGAAGGGTCCTAGTTTGCCCTCTGAGACAGGATTGAAGCAGGGTTGCCCCCTTAGCCCAACGCTGTTTGGCTTGTTTGCAGATGGCCTGCACAGGCACTTGCTGCAGAGGTGCCCTGGGGTTGGCCCGCAGTTGCGTCCTGGCAGTTGTGTACCAGATCTAGGCTATGCCGATGACTTTGCTTTGCTCGCCACCACACCTGCTCATTTGCAACGCTTGATTGATGCAGCTGCTGAGTTTTGTGAACAAACGGGAATGGTCATCAGTGTTGACAAAACAAAGATTGTGGTTTTCTCTTCAAGTTTGCCAGGACCTTTTCAATGGCTTTGTGGTGGTGCGCCTTTACATTGGGTTCAGCAGTTTGAGTACCTGGGTGCCCTTTTTGATGGTGCCCAAGGCATTAATCTCACCTTTGGCAAGCTTCACAGGAACATGTGGGGTGCGTGGGCACAGCTCAGGCAGCAATATGGGAAGTTGCATTGCAGCATGTCAGCTGGCCTGTTGTTGCGCCTATATGATGCATGTGTGCCGCCGACTGCCTCCTACGGTTGTGAGGTGTGGGGCCTGCGCAGCCTTCCTGGTGGCGACAGCCGGCGGGGCCGGGCTGCCTTGGCCTCCTCTCACCTGAAAATTCTGAGAGACATTGCTGGCGTCCCCACCTCTGTGCATGGTGCCATCTTGCTTAAGGAGTTGAATCAGCAGACCCTTGATTGTGTGTGGTGGCGGCGCATTATCAAGTTCTGGAACAATTTGGCTGCCTTGCCTGCAAATAATTTTCACAGGCAAGTGGCCCTTGATGATTGTTGGGATGCCATAACCCGTACTGTTAAGAATTGGGCTTGGGCCTTCATGCGGGGCTTGCGCCGGATTGGGTATGAGTTTGTTATTCGGTTTGACACCCTTGTTCCTGTGGAAGTTGATGCTGTGATGCAGCTGCTAGATGCGCAAGCACTGCAGGTTTGGGATGACATTGACATTTGCCCTAGGACCTGCCCGTCCAGCAATGCCACCTTGTGTACATATCACAGATGGTTTGCTAGGCCAGCTTGTGTGCGCCACCCTTGCCAGCTCTTACAGCAGCCTTTGAGTGCCCGTTGCTTGCGTATACTGTTGAAGTTCAGGATGGGTTGTCATAGTCTGCCCAATGTCTCGGGCCGCTGGGCAAGGATTCCCCGGCCCCAGCGTTTGTGCATGCGTTGTGCCCAGCAGGTTATTGGGGATGAGCGCCACCTTGTGTTTGAGTGCCCTGCCTTGCAATCTGTTCGGGACAGATATCCTGGGCTGTTTGGTGCAGCCATTGTGACGATGCAGCAATTCATGTGGCAGTTGGACATTGTTGGTGTTGCACATTTTGTGATGGATTGTTTTGATTATTTGGATGCTGCCAGTTCATCCAATCAGCCCTAGGCGGCTGGAGTGATGTAATCTTCCTTCCTTCCTTCCTGACTAGAAGTCAGGGCGACAACCTTCTAAGATTGACAGTGCCTCGATTGCACTGTCAACCTTGCAGCCTATGCGCTCTGGGAGGCGCTTTATATTGCATCATGATCATGCACCGCGGCCGCCGAGCATTCGACTTAGTACTGTAGTGCTGAATTGAGAGCCCACGTGGAGTACAGCAATCGCTAGTGCAGTTCTTTTTAGGTGGTGTCCCTTGAGAAAAGTTCTTTGTGCTGTAACAACACTAGCTCCCTTGAGTCCAGATCAAGTATCAGCAGATTATCAAGGTCATATCTTTCATACCTCACATTCGAATTCGTGGTCCTCCGCTGTGGTACAAGCTCACCTAGTGGGCATGCCTAACGCAATGCACTCATGAACATGGAATTGTGATCTCAGGAACAAGCAACATGGCCGAGTCCACATCAAGGTCGAGTTCAAAAATCAAAGAACCAACAACGACAGATAGACGCTCAGCTGCCAACCAGTGGTACTGTCAACTCTTTTGTAGTTTTGAGGCTGTCCTATGCATTAAGGGGAAGGTGCTGCATGATGCGGCAGCCCTGACTGAGTATCTGACGACATATTTATGGAGGCAACATGGCCAGCCTCTGGGACCAGTCTTACTTCTTCTTCCCTGTGGTCGCCTTTGCCTTGCCCCCTCGCGACCCCTTACCAGCCCCTGAAGCTCCGCCCCTCCCCTTCTTTTCCTGGTGCACGCCCGCAACACAGCTCTCAAGGACTTGGTCATATAATCAAACGGATCACTGCTTGTTTTGCCGCAAAATATCAATGTTTCCAACTTTGATTGGAGGCTGTCCAATCGAGCGCTACACACCGGTCCGCCCTTGGCTTCGAAGGTGATGCCCCTGCGCGCAAGTTGTGCGCCCTGCTTCTGAGCCATCTGCTCCTTGCCAAAGTCCTCTTCCTCTTCGTCCTCCTCCAGAGCTGCGCCTGCCGCTTCTGGCTCCGCCTCTCCATTTTCCACTGCACATGCACCCGCACAACCAGCATCTCAAGACTGGGGAAGTGCCACAGTTTCCCTGTGGGAGACCCATGCAAACACCTCCTGTGATCATGCTTCAAGCATCAGATTACAATATACAGTCTGAGACTCACAGGGCTCGAGCTCGTCACTCGGAGCTGCAGCCCCCTTGCCGCGGCCGCGCTTGCGCTTGAACTCGTCGATGGCGATGTTGCACTTGGCGCGGCTGCCGGACTGGTTGAAGGTGCGTGTGAAGGCCGACTTGACCTTGGTATCCACCCCCTTCATCGGGTCCTCGCTCCACTCCGCCTTGCTCTTGAAGTGCGTGACGCTCATCACAAAGTCCAACTCATCCCGCGAGATGCAGTACTCCTGCAAAAACACCGACAGGACTCATGGGGAGGTCATCATCACGCAAATACAGACACCAGCATGGGCAGCACGGTTTCAGGGTGTGTCATTGGTCGTGTCTCATTACCTGCATTGTGTTGATAACAACGGGAATGCCCTCCTTGTCCTCAGAGGCCAGCGGCTTGGACAGTGCATAGCGCAGCGTGGGCAGGTATGCTGTGCGCAAGCCTGTGCGATCTGAAGCCACATGCCCAGAGCTCGTCATGCGGGTGTGTAGCTCGCCCATCAGCCGCCGTTGCTTGCCCGTTGACGAGTTGTTGCCCAGCCATGCTGTGAACCTGTGCAAGACCGATGCCACCATTGACCAATTTTACAAACTATGTAATCTGTGCAGCGCTCTTTGCTTCCCTGATCAAATCAATTGCATCAGACGGTATAAGCATAACACCAGGCAACCAAGCAGACAAGCAGGTGCACCTGGGGAAGTTGTTCTCGTAGGAGCTGAACGTTTCGCGGCCGCCGCGCATGTAGGTAGCAGGGTAGACGCTGCCGATGGCGGCCGCAAAGGGCATCAGCCCCCAGCTGCCGTACTGCCGCACCTTGCGATTCACGAGGTCCCCAGCCGACAGAGCATCCGCGGCCTTGGCCAGGACCTGCACGCACTCGAGAGCTGAACACATCTGCAATTCTAAGCCACAATTCAACTTCTGTGTATGGCAGTCCTGCAGTCCCGTACATAGGCATGCATGCTTCACATGCTTTAGATTCTTCACACATCAGCAGCAAGGGCTGAGAGGTATCGCATGCATATCTATCAGCTGTCATGAAAGGGACATGCCTTCATGCGGGTGACCTCACTATCGGCAACCTTCGGCTTGTGGTTGACATAGTTTTCCTGCAAAGCACAAGCACCAGCTGTTCACAGCAGCATTCCCGGCCTTGAAACATAAGTTCCCTCCATGAGCAGGACGTTCTTTGTAATAACATCAGCAGACAACAAAAGGTGATCACCTGCACCAAGAGGGGCACCAGGTCTGCATCCTGGAAGACCAGATCGATCCTGTCGTTCAGCGACATCTTCTCGGACTCCAGGGATAGCAGCTTGCGGCCGGCCTCAAAGGGGCTCATGTCAGCGTCTTTGCCACCTCCCATCTTGCCCTGCATTTACAAAACTTCTTTGGTAGACAGCAATCCGGTACGTCATCAGGTCAAGACAGGCTGCAAAAAATCAAATGAGGAAGACATCAAGTGAAGGAGGGTAGAGCAGCACCTTGGCCTCATCGTAGGAGAGGGAGCGTTTGCGCAAGCGGATCATCTGCAGCTGCCCTAGCATGAGGCGAATGTCAGCGTTGGAACTCTCGACCAAAGCGGCCAGCGTGCTCTCATTCACCTGCAGACCCTCCTTCTGGCAGATCTGTATCAGCCGCTTTGAGATCTGCTGCGATGTGGGCTTCCTGTCCATCGCAAGACGATCCAGAATTACTCAGTGTGCAGAATGACAAACTAATTTGGATTGCTCTTCACCTGGCACGCTTGCATGCAGGCTCCAAGGGTGATCAAAGGTGCAAAAGCGCACACCTGAAGTCCAGCTCAAGGCAGTGGTTTCGCAGGGACTTGAGCTTCTGGTTGTACTTGTCATTGCAGATGCAGATGATGGGCAGCTTGGCGGCCTTGATGGTGAGGATGAGGTCAGGGACACCGCCCCTGTCACCCGCTGACATGCCATCCACCTCGTCCATGATCAGGCACAGCTGCGCACCAGGGCAGTCTACCTCTTTAGCGTCCTTTCTGCTATCAATGTGCCTCCGACATGGTGCACAGGGACTGGCGTATACACATCAAGCACCCAAGCAACGATCTGTTAAATTGTAGAGTACCTTCTTTTCCTCTCCCTGGGCGCCTGAAGTGAGCGCGCGGTTGTTGGCCAGCTCCTTGATATTGTTGGCCAGCTTGCCTGCCATACCTCCCTTGGCACTCTTGTCAGCTTTGTTGCGTGTGTCGCTGGCGTTCACCTCGACCGGGATAAATCCCAGTTCCCTGGCAACAGCAGACCGGCATCTGTTAGCACACACTGTGGCACATTTTGGCTGCTGAGGCATCCTGCACCATTGATCAGGGTCAACATGCCAAGCTCCACCTGGCAATGATCAGCGCCGAGGAGGTCTTGCCGATGCCTGGGGGACCACTGAGTATAATGGCTTTCTTTGTCAGGTCTTTTGGCTTCCCGCCGCCGCGCTTTGTGGCAACGACCTCCTCGTGCCTCAAATGGATTCGATCCCTGCACGCATTTTACGCATCAGACTCACTTTCATGTGGTCCTGCAGCACCTTATTGCAGAATGCTGTAGACAGCACATGTGGCACAGGTAAATTGGCATGAAAGTTCCCATGCAGGTGTGTACCAGTTCTGCAGCCACTCTCTGATGGTGCCGATGAGGCCTGGATTCCCGATCAGGTCCGCTGACCTCTGAGGTTTGTGTTTCTCCACCCACAGCTGCCCAACCTGACTCCCAGGAGCGCTGCCTGCAGCACCCTTGGTTGCAGCGCTTGTTCCTGCGCATTGTCAGAAGATAATGTTGTCACCCCCAGTTCTAATGCAGTGGCTTCCTTCAGCCAAAAATCAGCAGGCATCCACCGTCAAAGGATGCAATAGGCACACGTTCAGGCTGTGCACACCGGCTTGGCTTGTGCTGGCCGCTGCAGAGGGGAGGGCTGGGGACGCCCGGCCACTGAAACTGGCCGGCAACCTGCGGCCAGAAGCTGAAGGCGGCGCTGCCTCACCAGCGCTGGCAGGGGTTGGCGAGGGAAGGGGAGCCTCTTCAGGCGGAGCGTCTGGTGCAGGTGCAGCCTTGATGAGGGAGAAGAGGCCGTCCTCATCGATGATTTTCACACCCTTCTCCTTTGCCTGCAAATATAGCAGCACTTGCTATCATGAACAAATTGAAAATTACACCATGACTGACTCCTGGGTGCCACCTCAATGCAGAAGGTGCAGCGTCCAAAACATGTCACACAGTTCCATTCACCCCTGAGACACTTTTAGGGTGGGAGCTGTAGCACTTACGGTGGATACTTTGCGGGTGCCGGAATCTTGTCCAGCCACCAGGAAGGTGGTCCTGCCCGAGACGCTGGTGGTGACACGGCCGCTGTGCCGCTTGACAAGATCCTCCGCGCCTGACCGGGTGATAGACTCCATGGACCCCGTGATGACAAAGGTCTTCCCCGTCAAGCAGTCTGGATGACCTTTGGGGACAGCCTGCCGCATGTCATGCCAGCACACCGTCACACATCCTCCACCCATTTAAAGGCAAGCCTTGCAACGCGTGCAATGGCCGTGACTTTCTTTCCTGTAGATCGCGCTGCAACACAACCTGCGCCAATTGGTGACGAGGCAAACAAGGCCATTGTGCTCACCCTTGAGCCCGGGTTGAGCGGAGCTGGGTCGCCCCCACGCTGGTTCCAGCCCCCTCCTTCCTGTGCCTCAAGCACGGTGTACTTGACCTCGCCCTCCTCCGGTAGCTGCTTCACCGCAGCGTCCACAGCATCGATGGCAGCCTGAACATCTGCTGGATGCTCCGGGCCTTTGGCCTTCCCCTTTGCTGCAGCCTTTTTCACCCCACTCCTGCAAAAATTGCGCAATTGGTGTTCAACCTTCACCACTGTGAAGTTCATATCCGCAACAACCTTTTTTGTTGTACCACACAGGTGAATCCAGCATTGCCACATTCAGAAGGAGAATAGCCACATCTGCTTGGATTTCTCACGTTGGCCTTGCAGGCTGTGCAGGCGGCGGAGTAGCATCTGCTGCTGGCGCCTTTCTTTTTGCAGGCTGAGAGCTTGCGGCAGCTGGCTTCGGTGCCTGGCTAGGCTTGGCAGCCACCGGTGGTCTGACGGGAGCCCTCTTGCGCTTCTTTGCCCCCGTGAAGTCGTCGTCCTCATCCACATCCATGTTGTCATCATCGTCATCACTCTCACTACTGTCACCAAGCGCCAGATCCACCACAAAGTCATCGTCATCCACCTGTGACTTCCTCTTTTTCACGGGCTCCTGCCCCAAGCATGCAGACACCTTTCAACGCCCTTGTCATCAGCAGGATGGAGGAAACAATAGTTTGTGTGTATCTTTGTAAGCAAGCAGGAATGACTCAGACCTCAAAATCCTCGTCATCTGAATCAGACGCAAGGATCTGTTTCCACTTGGCCTTTGTAGCGGCGACCTGCTGTGACTTCACAGGTGCATCTCCGCTGCCTGTCTTCCCAGCTGATCGGTTCTGTGGTGTTGTGCTCTTTCTGGCTGCAGGGAGCTTTGCAGTATTTGTTTGTCTTGCAGCTTCACCTCGCTCAGCCTGTGCAGGTCAAGAAGTGAACAGGTCAAGATGGTGGTAGACAGAAGCAAATGTGGTGTGAAGGTACATTCGTTGGGAGTAGCTGATGTTCATGAGAATATAAAGCACATACCTCGGAAGGTTTCCCCTCCTTTTGCTCTGATTTGGTACCTGTCAAATTAGGATGTCATTCCATCAGATCCCAGAATGCCGGAACTTTTTATGTCAATGTCAATGCGTGCTTGGCTTGATGTATGTTGAGCATCACCACACACACAAAATATGTACAAGGTCGTATTAGTTATTCTAAAGATACAAGAGACTGCATCCTCAGATAGACTACTCACTTTTGTTGTCAGCGGTGGTTTTGGAGGGCACTTTACTGAAGAAACTCCTGATATCCTGCAAAATCATCCACAAATCATCAGTTTCATTCAAATCAATTTTACTGATGACCAGAAAGCCAGTCAATTTTGCCAAGATTGTGAAGGTGGCAAACGGCATTGTACACCTTAGGCATGCTGTGTACTTCACCGGACGTCTCCCTAAAGTAGACGTCGATGGAGCTATATGCACCGGGCAATCAAGACCATCGTAGATTACTGGCTCTAACATTTCTAGGACAAAGCATTGCAGTTCATGGGCAGCACGGAGGGGTTTAAGGATAGGGATTTGCATTGTACACTAGGGTTCACTCAGTGGCTACCTGATAGACTTTGATCTATTTGAACAAGGCAGTAGCCAGCTGAAAACCTCTTCTTCCTTACCAAGACTATTATCTGTGTCGCGGCGCTTGTACCACCTTCACTGTACTATGTAGAAAGCACTGAATGCCCTCAGGCTGCCAGCGCTTGGGACACCGTGTCTGTTAGCTGCCAGCGGGTTCTTGGACTTTCATAATCTCTCGCTTCTTCTAAGTGGAATTTGGATATATCACACCAATATGCGCTAATTGGCGGCCCAGGTGCGGTGAACCTATGATGTGTCAACTGTCACACTGGGCACTCGCTGTCACAGTCACAGCCGTGATGAGCGCTCAGTATGAAATCATTTGGCATTCAAAGCCTGCAAAACCAAGACCAAGAGATAATTGGACTCTGCAGATGCTGCCGATGCTCATTCTAGTCACTCGTCAATCACCGGCACATGATACAAGCACTACCGCAGCGGCTGCGAGCAATTGCATTGCAATTATTGCAAGGGTGCGCACCCTCAGTCAACAAGCTGGCGCAGTGTATCAGTACACTACGGTAGTGTAAGTGCTGCACACCACTAGCCGACTAGCATTGCCATACAGCATTAAAATCTTACAAAGTGTCTCCAAGACACCAGACAAACTGTCACAGATACACAATGGCAATATGGGCTCAGCAGGACCGCCAGGATTCGTAGTGAAGTCTCCTGTGCCAAGTATCACATTACTTGGTAACGACTGAATGACCCTATCTAAAGCCCAATCAGTCTCTGAGCGTCTAAGTCCTGCGCAAATGTTCAGGCATATTTCCGAGGTCAAATGCCAAACCAATCGCAAAATGCATGATAGCAGCAGATACATAGTGGAAATGCACCTAGGCAGCTGCCTTGAGGGTCTTCATGTCCTCCAAGATTCCAATGATGGTATCAGCTTTTGATGCATTCAGATCTCCTGGGCTCTCCTCCACTCTCTGCAAGGGAAACAAACATTGAGCTCAAGCTTATCCATTACCTTGTCCAGGGGTCATTAACAAAAAAGATTGCCAGGACAGGGAGGCGATGTGAAGCCAGAAGAGGAGCATCACCAGTCTCAGCAAGATGCCGTCGTCCACAATAGCAGCAAATCTGCACCCCATCCGCTCATCATGTCCATGCACTTGAGGTGTACAGCATCACTGCAATATAATCATGTCCATGCACTTGAGGTGTACAGCATCACTGCAATATAAGTGCATCACATCCATGCAAGAAAGTCAACCCCCTGAACCCTCACCTCTGGCAGCGCAACTGAGGCCGTTCAGGGTCACTGACATTGACCCCCAGCATCCTGGTGAAGGCCCCAGTGTCATCGGCCACACCCTGGACAATGCCGTCCGCCCCCTTCTCTTTCAACCACTGATCGACCACAGATGGCTTGTTCACAGAGACACACAGAATCTTTTCCACTCCTGCTGCCTTCAGATCTTTAGCGCTCTGGATGAAGGTCGCCAAGTGGTCCCCGCACACACTCCCAAGGTCTGGCAGTCCAAAGATAGCAGACACGTGGCCCTGTGTGAGGATCGCTGACTCAGGTCTCTGTGCATAGAACGTAGACAGCTGTACGAAAGTAAGACCTTACAAAACGCCCACATCAATTACCTTGAGTAGTGTTGAGAGTCTCTGAGCTCCCTCCGTTGTGCTGACTTTGATGTCTCCCCTCAGTGTCAGATCTCTTCTGCGATTGAGTCCAATGTTACACACTTCTTGTCTTAAATCCGATGATCTGTGGCCGGCAGGAACGGTAGCATATGCCCTTGAGGGGCCATGAACACTTGGACGAGCATCGTTCAGTAGGCAGGTTGCTGCTTCAGGCACAGAGTTGCAAGCGCTGACGCTTGGGATGAGCCGCAGCAAGCCTGTAGCTCGTCGCATCGTGGAATGAGAGCGGGAGAATGTTTTAAGATCATCTCTTCCTGACAACCAGACGCTTTGGATCACGTGGGAGCCACCAGCTTCCACTTTGGAGGAAGCTGGCTATCTATTCCAAGCGAGTTCCATAGAGACATTCAGGACCAAGTCCTCAGACCAAAGGTAGGACCATTGGTCCTTTAGAAACCGTAGCGATGGCCGGTGGCCCATTTGGCAAGATCGACTTTCTGGACGATAATCTGGTGCGCTCTGGATCAGCTCAGAGATAGATCAGATTTTGAGATATCGGAGCCTGGTTCCAGAATGATTACATGTTTGGTATTGACACCTTACTATATTTTCCTTGATAATTGGTCTCGCTTAACGCAAGCTAAATCTGCAGGGGAGGGTACTTGATGCCATCACCGCTGCAGTCCAAGACATTGCACAGCTGCTACAATCAAGCAGTTGTGGAGAGATTGGTACAACGAATGCTTTTGGGGACAAGCAACTGGAGGTAGAACATGAACAGGCGTTGCGCCCTAGGCTGTGAGCTGTATTATTGAAGGACTGGGGTCCTTCTGCCCCTCTCATTGCGAATGTGGTGCGGCAGATCGCTGTGTCCTAAATCAGCATCTTGCTCTGTAGGTAGATGTCAGGGCTGATGACATCATATTCCAGCGGCTGAGGGAGAGCACTGCTGTGGCAACGGCTTCATCTGAAGAGAGACCAGAGGAGATTCCCCTGGGAGGACGGGGTTTTGCAGTAAGCATCAGATCCCACCATTTCATGATGACTGATCCTCAAAAATGTTCAAACTTGCTGAGAGGTTCATCTGGTTGTACAGGTTGCTTTTGACCCCCTCGACGGTAGCAGCATCTTTAGCGCCAATTTCGCGGTGGGTGCCATCTTTGGAGTCTGGGCAGGCGACAGGCTGCTCAACAGGAGAGGTGCTGAGCAGGCGGCCGCGGCCTATGCTGTTTTTGGCCCCAGAACCACGCTTGTTGTGGCACTGCCAGATCCAGGTGAGACGCGATGAGGCCTATGATAAGAAGATGCATACCTGCGATCTACTCATCCCCACACATTCATGAGCTTGCGGGGTGGGAAATTTGTCAGTTACTGTGGTATGCTGTGAGATGCAGGATCTTCTGCGGGACAGGTTGTGCAAGAATATGCACTTGCACACGAAGATGGCTCGTCAACATGGAGTCTGATCCGAAAGAACATTCAGATTGGGGAGAAGAAGGTGCGCTATTCTAAAATCCTTTCAGTGTTGTGCAGTGATCTGAGTGTGTCCAATGACATGAAAGCAATTTTCCAAATGTGTCAATCGGCTTTATTGAGCGCACTCGAATTATTATCTTATCAGCTGTGCTATCGCACTGTGCATCAGGTCTTTGCTCCTGCAAATCTGCGGGCAGCTGCTGAGAACACAGTGTATCGAGATCTCATCTCTCAGTTCATTACGGATGAATACACATTGCGATACACTGGGGGCTTTGTACCAGACGTCCATCACATCTTGACAAAGGTGTGATGTGCTTCCCTGCTGTCACTGCTGGCCATGTCCATACAGCTGCTTGAGGCCAACCTAAGAAGTGGTCATGCCTCTTCCGACGTAGGGTGGTGGCATTTTCCTGAATCCGGTAAGCCCATCAGCGCCCGCAAAGTTGCGCCTGCTGTTTGAGTGCGCACCCCTTGCCTTCATTGTTGAGGCAGCTGGGGGCCAGTCAAGCGATGGCAGGACGTCCATACTAAACTTGGAGATTGGGTCATTAGATGCTCGTACACCAATCAGTATCGGCTCAAAAGCAGAGGTACAAAGGGCTTCAGGATCTCTGAAGATGCCTTAGCATACTAATATCCACGAGGCTGATTAACCAAGCATCAAGATGATTCATTTGCTGTATGCATCATTAGCAGATGTCAATGTACCTTCACCTGTGCCAACAGCGGCGTGCAGCCTGAGGCACTAAAGGCCATTGAAGAGTGCCTGATTTCTACATCTGGGGCTGGCATTGTAAACGCTCGTAGAACGTCATCACAGGAATGTTCACACCAGAACAATTAATTCTTGAGAGAATTGAGTACATGGATCTCCATCTCCAAAGAGAGGTATCTAAGCTTTTGCACCTCCAGACATTACCAATCATCGACCTCAATGGACAGCAGCAAAATGCCAAAGTATGTGTCTTATGCATACAATTCAATACTCGCTTCACAAGGTCATATTGCAAGATCTACTCAGCTTTCAAGTTACAGTCAGTCCGTCAACTTAAAGGATAAAAGTAGCATCCAATCACACCATCTTCCTTCTACAACAGCCCACTAGAAACCAGATAATCCAGAAAAGCGCCGTCAGCACCGCAAGCAAGAGGATAAATGACCCGACAACAATCGCTGCGATTGGAATCAGAGCAGCCACCTGTCCTTGCGACTGCGCAACACGGGCAGCAATGGGATTGCAGATGTATGGCAGCAAAGTCAAGCCATCATTGGTGCCGTTTTTGACAGGGATTGACCTGTAGTATGCATTTGGCCAGTATGCAGACTTGTTCACAGTCACATTCTTAGCTGGCGCGCTTGAAGGCATGCTGGAGCCCAAGAAATTTGATGTGATGCTCCTGCTGCAACCTGGTGGGTCTTCAACGCTATAATCGTAATAGTCAAAGTCCTCATCCTTGGCGATGTCATTGTTGCTGAAGCGGCCTTTGTCGTCAAACACGAGCCTGCACAGCACATCATTACTTGATGTTCTTGAGCCCAAGATCACTGCATTGTTGCTGCACTAGATTTGAAGCATCCCATTCTTCATTCATGGCCCTGAAGGTACCTGTGGTTTGCATCTCTTATTTCCTGAGATGAGAAAGGGGTGGTCTTCGCAAGCTGGGAAACAACACAGGATGGAATGCAACCAGGTCGCAACGATGTCAGCGGATCCAGCTGAGCCCGGGCATTACCAGCGGTGGGAAGAGCCTGAGATGACGCTGGGAAGGAAAAGAAGCTGCCAGCCTACTGGAAAAGCGTGCGCATAGGGTCTCGTAATATTGCAAGACTTCTTACCAGGACCCTGACTAGGTAAATAATATAGGATGGACTGGGGCAATCTATATGACGTCAATCTGATGGATGCAGTGTTCCCCCACGATGACTGACCCAGGCCTCTGCTTGGTGGGGCACCGCCAGATCGCTGATCTCCGACAGAAGCAATTACATTGATTGAGCCCCAACTAATGCAAATCAAGCAGAGACAGAAGCAAGAACTTGATGGAGACATCGATGCCCATGTTATGCTGGAAGATTCAGGTTTCGGAAGGCAATGCTGCAAGCTGTCGGGGGGAGTCAGAAGGCAGCTGACGTCACCCTGTTGGATCCAGCTGGAGGAAGCTTCCACCTTTGTTAGATTCATTCTTCTGCAGTGGCAGAGCGACAAGTTGTGCCAAGGATATCTTGCTTTGTAGCAACACAGCATTGCACAGAATTCGCAACTTGGTTTCTGGCGTCAAGTATTGTTTGAGAAGGGAAGATGAAAAGAATATTTGGAACCAAGAAAGAAAAGGCACCTGCACCGTCTATAGAGGATGCTTCAGGGAAACTAACTACACGAGGAGACACGTAAGTGTTCAGTGTTGAGTGTGGATTCTTTACCACTGAAGGCTTTGGGCAGTTTCTGGGGTTCATCAAGAAAGCACTACACAGAAGACCAGCTTGAATAAACGTTTGGGGACCCTGCAGGCTCGATGACAAAATCAGGAAACTGGATGAGCAACTTATGAAGCACAGAGACGTGATAAAGAAGACGAGGCCGGGTCCAGCACAGGACGCAGCAAAGCGCAGAGCCCTCAGCGTAAGTTATTTTGTGCCGAAGCTACAGCATTATTGCTGAGTGCACCTTGCAACATCATGGCGTCTGTAGCAGGTGGACTGAGCAAGTATAACTGTTGCACAGGTCCTGAAGCAGAAACGGTTGTATGAAAATCAGCGGGAGCAGCTTTACAACCAGCAGTTCAACATGGAGCAGACATCCTTTGCTATGGAGTCCATCAAAGACACAGCGCAGACTGTGCAGGCCATGAAGGCTGCTGGTGCAGAGCTGAAGACAGCCTTCAAGAAGCAGGACCTGAACATTGACTCCATAGAGAAGATGCAAGACGAGATGGCAGACCTCATGGTTGATCACTTGGGCTACTACCTACAACATTCTTCTGCAATGTCACGAGAGGTGGTACTTATTGACTGTTTGTCGGACATGGTGAGGATGTGCCTATGGCGTGCAGGACATGCACAACGAACTGCAGGATGTCATGGGACAAAGCTTTGGGGTGCCAGATGACATAGACGAGTCGGAGTTGATGGGTGAGCTGGATGCTCTGGAGGAGGAGCTGGCAATGGAGGCTGAGAACCCAACGGCGGGCGCTGTACCCTCCTACCTGCAGGTAAGTAGTGTCTCTTCTGAGCTGCTGCTTCCATGCATCACGCGGTAGCTTAGTATAGTGTGCACTTTTTCTAATCTGTATGTTTCACTTGTTCCACTTACACTGCGAGGCAGCCCTTCCTCCTCCCTTTTGGCGCTCGCTTTGCTTTGATGTCAGCATATTATTTTCTTTTCTCTGATTTGGTCTTGATCAATTGCTGACTTAGTCCTGGTGTGGTGCTCCGTATCAGGAACCTGATCTGCCAGAGGCGCCACATGCGCAGGCTGCAAGGCCCCATGCACAGCCCCTGGCCGAGGGCGACGAGTTCGGGCTCCCTGCTGTCCCTCAGCGCTCATAATATCGCTATCCCTCTGTAGCTGAAGACGCGTCGGCTTACAGTCTGGTTCTTTTGAAAATGTCCAGCGTGTTTGCGGCAGTGTCACGAGCCTCATGGTGAGGATTTCACATATGTACAAAATCCAGATCAGTACCTAGGACTGTATCAATCTGGACGATCCCAACTTGAAGGCCTGCTCCCTTGATGAATTTCGGCCTCAGACCCAAGAGGCGGCCTTTTGATCTGCCCTCTGCAGTTGCAACTTGTGCAACATCATGATGTTGTTTCAAGTTTCCTCGGTGGTCTCTCTCTGGTCATGCATTTGACATAGAAGTCATCCATTCAGGGCAATGTCCTTAACATTGGTGCGCCAGGGCCGCAGCGCCAGATGTGTACAGTGTAACAGAGGCGCCGCGCCATGGCGCCATATGCCAGTGGCACGTGGCGCACCAGTGCACCGTGCATGGCAGCCTGCGAGGCGCTTCTGCTCGGCAAAGGCATGTGCCCAGTGAGCAGGGCCATGAATGCTTGCCAGCAGCTAGATCAGTTTTGCACAATGCTACCCAGATGTACGCCAGTAATCTTTCTGCCTTCATCCATCCAATGATCAGAAGCACAAACCTAAGCCAAACCCTCTATATTGATGACGTGATGTGCAATCTGGATCTCTAGATAAGGCTTTGCTCTCCGAAATGCACAATTCTACTGCGATCGACACAGGCCTCCGAAATATATACACAATGTCTCAAATAATGCAAGGATTATTTGTGCAAAAAGGTGCTTCGCTTCAAGTTCGGCCACCCTCAAAGATTGGTGCGGTGAGGAACGTATCACCAAAGAAGACGGCGAAATCGAAAATTGTAGCCCAGGCAGTCGCTGAAGCAGACATTGCCGTACAAACTGGGACTGCCGCACGAAAGGTATGTCACTTATAAAGGCGTTCACCAAGCTCCTAGTCCTTTTGCAGTTGGGTGTTGTTTTCTCTCAGCATCGTAGCTTTGAGTCATTTGTTTTGCTGGTGAATTTCCTCTGATTGCTGTCTGCAGGTCGAAAATCCACCAGGAACGCCAATCGTACCTCCTCAGGTAAACGTTGCTTCACGTTGGTATCACGCACCTTCGTTCTATTGTCTGTATGCAACTATTTAATTGGAAATTATATTGCCGTGCAGGACATACTTTCCAGACCCAGGAGGAACAGAAGGAGCTCCAGCATTAGGGGAGCAATCTCCGAAACCTACGTTTCTCCTGCCAACCTGATTCTGCCAGTCTTCATTCACGATGGCGAGAAGAACATCCCAATCAGCTCCATGCCCGGCGTAGATAGGCTAGGGTGGAGGCATGGCCTGCTGTCCTCTGTGGCTGAAGCTCGCTCCTACGGAGTGAACAGCGTTGTCCTGTTCCCAAAGGTGCTGTCCTTGCTGCTTCTAGAGATGTCGATTGGACCTGATTTTACCTTGAGCTGGCTCTTGACTGCCTTTGCATGTGTCCTGTCTCAACCGACACACTCTTGCGCTTCTCACAATGTGCTGAAATCGCGTTTGCGGCATGCAGACCCCGGAAGATCTGAAGACGCGAACGGGAGAGGAGGCATTCAACCCTGATGGCCTTGTGCAGCGCAGCATCCGCCTGCTCAAGGACAAGTACCCCGACCTGGAGGTAGAAACTTGTTTTGTCATTCAGTGCCTGGCTCACATGCAATGTTCTCTTCATTTGCACAGGAGGTGCCGTTGGTATGATGCGTGCAACAGAGAGTCAATTGCTTTTGTGACACTTGCCATGCTGACGCTTCCCGCTGTGATACCCAGATCTACACAGATGTGGCGCTGGACCCCTACAATTCGGACGGCCATGACGGCATTGTGCGCGATGACGGAGTGATCCTGAACGATGAGACTGTGGAGTTCCTGTGCCGGCAAGCGGTGTCGCAGGCGCGCGCCGGGGCTGACTGCGTCTCACCCTCCGACATGATGGACGGCCGCGTGGGCGCCATCAGGTCAGCAGCATACTCCTTCATGCTTTGGAATTCCTGACGCTCTTGGAGCAAGGCTTGTGTAAGTTTGAAAGATATCTAAATTTGGAGAGATTGCACGAAATACAAGGCAGTGTGGGCATGATACACGGTAAATTGGTGGGCTACATTTCCGTATCTACATGCACTGAGAGACTTAAGAGTTGATTGATAGACACAGTGGTTTGACCATTGGGTGGTCCACAGACGCGCACTGGACAGGGAGGGGTTCAGCCATGTGTCCATCATGTCCTACACTGCCAAGTACGCATCCGCATACTATGGCCCCTTCAGGGATGCGCTTGCATCTGCACCCAAGGCCGGCCAGGAGCACCGCGTCATCCCCAGCAACAAGAAGACCTACCAGCAGGTGGCCCACGCTCATCGCAACAGTGCCATGGATCAACTTGCACAGATGGCCGTTACCGTGGCTTGCCTCCACAGGCGCTGACTGTTCGCCGCGTGCTTGGATGCAGGATCCAGCAAATTACAGGGAGGCTTTGAGGGAAGCGCGCTTAGATGAGGCGGAGGGTGCGGACATTATGATGGTCAAGCCTGGCTTGCCCTACCTCGACGTCATCCGCTTGCTCCGCGACAACTCCTCTCTGCCCATTGCTGCCTACCATGTGTCCGGTGAGCCTTCACTCCCCCATAGACCTCCTGGATCATGAGCCTTCCACGAGGACATGCAGTGTGGACTGCCATCATATTCCCCACTGCTGTCCATGCAAGCTGTATCTCTCTCGACGCAGAGATGACCGTAAGATCTGGGTGGGGCCATCTAGTGGGGCCACCAGCAAGCTGTGAATTTTGTCACTACATTCTGCAGGTGAGTACGCGATGCTGAAGGCAGCGGCAGAGAGGGGCTGGCTGGATGAGAGGGAGGCTGTGTTGGAAGCGCTGATGTCCTTCAGGCGCGCTGGCTCAGACATCATCCTCACATACTATGCCACTCAGGCCGCCAAATGGATGGCAGGAGAGGACTGAGGATCTGGTCTGGTGTCCATGTCAGCTGTCCAAGTCTGCTGCTTTGTGTGAAATGTAACTGTCGAGATTGACGGCCATTTTCCCTTTAATTCGTTGACAAATTTTTATTGCTGACATGCAAACCCTTGCGCAATGTGTATTGGCAATCAGGAGTACACAAGAACATCGGCCAATAATTTGTCTGAGATGTGCAATACAAACAACTCGTATGTTGAAAATTGGATGTCAGAGATTTGGCCCACAAAATTTTAAATAGACATGACAGACTTCAGGTCTGGAGCTCAGAACTGAGTTTGAGATCATTCCACAGAATATTTTGCTCTTGCAAAAGAAATCTTGCATGCCATGGGGAGAAACTTAATCTCTGTGCGCACTTCACAGTTCTCTGCACTCACACACTGCAGTCAAAATAAGCACCTTTGCTGCTCTCAGCAACTGGCACTATCAGCCTATTGGAGAGTGAGAAATTTTTCTAAGGCTAGTAGCAAATTGGGACCCCAATGTTTTTCCCGCGCTACCCATCCCATGTCTTCATAGCGTGTGTCAAATTCGCTAGCAAGCTCCCATTGCAGCTCTGCCCGCTGCCTTTCTAGGGGTCTCTCAGCATACAAGATGGCTGCTAGTGCTGCATGCACCTGCGGTATCCAATGCAGATATTGTTGACAGCGATTCAAGGACCAAGGATGCATCCCTCATATTCCCTCGTGCCAAATTTTTCGAGATAGCAAACATGAAGCCCAGGATATTTTTACCTCTGCATTGCCACGAAGAGCAACTTCTTCATCATCCAGTTCAAGGATAGCCTGCTGCACCTCCCCCGTCTCATAGAGCAAGACTGCTCTGCGTATTCTCGCTCTTTCACTCAATGCAAGCCCTGGAAATTTGGAGACAATTGATGAATATTGGTCCACAGCCTGCACAAAGAGGCACAAAACACTTTTGAGAATTCGGTATTCCCAGCCTGTAGCTCTTACAATTGAGGGACGCATTCTAACACTCACATCCCGGTAGGCTCCTGCATCTGCTGAAGCCTGCGCCTTGGCAGTCAGTTCATCGAATGCCCTGACTTGCTCAGGTATGCTCAAGCCTGGAGGACGTCCTGCATGCACCAACCTGAGATCTCCATTCCTTGCCTAGCAATACTGTGGACATCATGCCATATGCTGATAAAAGTGTTTGTTCCTACCTCTGTCGTTCAAGCTGGCAGCTGCATATGTATCAGAGGACTGTTGCTTCCTAACCACGTTGTTGGCAGCGGCAGGCTTCCCTAATGAAACAATTGTGAGACAGATGACTGAAGCTAGAGCGACTTTGACGGCGTGCTGGATGGTATTTCTGCTACTAGTACTATGTAGACCAGAGCAAGTGCACCTAGTAATATTCAGACTTTGAATGCCCCTAGAGGTACTCGTGCGATAGCACGTATGTGTAACAACATATTTTCTTCGAGATACTATCCTAACGCTCAACAAATCGTGAGCTTGAGCACCTCGGCATCGGTATAGCATCAAATCTCCACTCGGATTTCTGTAGGAGGGATGCTTCCCTGTGGTGCAACGTCGTTTCACAAGGAATTTCACGAGGAATGAAGGAGTCCGCTGAGTTGCAGATTTGCCGAAAATTCGACATGATCTTGAGATCGGAGATCAAGACGTCATGCATGCACGTGCCCATTTCCTTTGCTAAACATGCATGTCGGAAATCTCGACTGTGATGCGCAGAATCAATCTAAGTTCTGTAACATCCTGAAGACCCAAGAAGGGCAGAAGAGCGACATGGCAAAACGGAAGGACCTCGAACCTGATAGAGCAAGAGTTCCTGTGAGGCTGCTGGCGTGCGATGATCTGGGCCTGCTCCAAGGTACTTCTGGAGCTTTTGAACGTCGTTGAATGTTCTGGGTACTGATCCATTCTAGACTACCCACTATATGTGTGCAGGTGTCCAGGCTCCTGATCTCAATCGATTTGAGGATGCAAAGGTGGTCAGTCGTTGGTAAGTCCTGGAATTTTCAACCTGTTTTTTGGATCGGCAGGTCACATTCATGCTTTGGTCTAATAAATTGTGTGTATTTAGGGGAGAAGCAGACAGACGCCAGAATGCAGCGCGTTGTCTGGCTGTCTCAGCCAGCACAGAACAGGAGCAGAACGCAGGGCCTTCAGGGTCGTTCCTGGTAGCCGTGGGGCGTACAGCTGGACGCATCTCTGTCTTGGACGGGCAGACAGGCCAGTTACGGGATACCATCACATGTGATACCAGCTCCAGTGGAAGTTCACCGCCAGAAGGGTATGTGGTCTTCGCTTGGCAGAACTTGCACAAGAAGGTGGCACTATCGTGCAAATCGTGAGCGGTGTTGGTCTGTGTGCAGGAATGTAGCAGGTCTGCATTTCCTCACCAGTCAGACGCCTGATCGGCCTCAACTGCTGTCATGCACGCATGGCGGCTCAGTGGATATTCATTCTCCGGCCCTCCACTCAGATGATGAGAAGTGGGAACGGCTGTCCCACTGGACAGTCCCTGGAAAAGTGTCCTCAATGGTGTGTCCCCCAGGGCTCGTATGGCAACACCTTGATATGCACACTGTCTGTGAACCGCTCTAAAGTAAGTGTGGTCCACAGGCAGTGAGCGAGGATGAAAGCTGCGTGGCGGTGGGTTGTGAGGGCAGTGAGCTCAATATCTGGGACGTGCAGTCTCAGCAGCGGACTTTTCTGGCAAAGAGTGCTAAGCCAAACAGGATTGGACTTGTGGACCTACCCTTTTGCTCAGCCGTCGCTTTTGTGCCAGGCTCGGGAGCCTCACAGGTATGTTCACATTGATGCGGCTGGAGGTCACATCAGCTTCTAAACTTTGTCAAATAGCGCACTTGCAATGACACTTGAAACTAATGGTCACTCGCATGTGCAGGTGCTTATTGGAACAGGCAAGAGCAAGCTGCGGCTGTACGACACAAAACATGGCAGGCGGCCTGTGCTGGATCTGACATTTGGCGAGGCCAGAATCACCTCTCTCGCAGCTGAGCCCAACGGTGAGGCGTCTGCTTCCTGTGATGCTTGTTGTGTGTGTAGCTCGGGAGACCGATTGGCTCTCCCAGGATGAAACTCATGTGCGCTGGAATTCTGCTGATGTGCGTGCAAGGGAGCATTAGTGAGCCTCAGCCTGCTATTGTGGCGCTTGTTGCAGGCAAGAGGGTGTGGGTGGCCAATGCAGCAGGCAAGTTTGAGGTGCTGGACCTGCAAGCTGGCAAGATGGACGGCGCTGTGAAGGGAGCAATTGGATCAGTGCGCTCTCTGGCGCTGCACCCCACAGAGCCGTTGCTGGCCTCAGTTGGCCTGGATCGGTTTGTGAGGGTGCACAACACAACCAGCCGCAAGCAGCTCTGCGCTGTGTACTTGAAGCAGCAGCTGAACGGGGTATCCTTCTGCCCCGCGTCCCATCAGGAAGAAGCAAAGGAATGCGCGCAGGAACAGCAGGCAGCTGCAGGCAGACATGGGGACAGGCGCAGGAAGCAAGCAAAGTCCAGCAAGTGAGGACTCCTTGAAAGAACACATGTCAACGCGAGACTCTTTTGTTGAACCCATTTGAACCATGACGCGGTTTGCTACCAGCGACACTCACCAGAATTCTGATCATGATTGAGGATCGTATGGGTATGTTGACGCTGAACCAGAGTCAATCATACCGTGTGTGCCTGAGCGAGTATTACAAATTTCTGAACACATGTGAAGCAAGTTTATGGCATGATCATAGTTGCATGCATATCTTGACATCAAGAAAATAGTAGGTGTGTCTTATCGCTTAATTAACATGTGTACACCTGTGCGCAGAGTGGAATGATTTCCGCTTCAGAAACTGTAAATGACGTGTGCACATGTGGTCCAGTGGCTCTCTTGCAGAAAGTCAATTGATTGGAATACTTTGATATTCAAAATTTTGCATATTGATGGCACACATCATATGGAGCGCTGCGGTTGCAGTGCTATAGTTGCAACTGCAGTACACTCATGCGCATGTCACACACTTCTCGCCTCATCCCTGCTCATCCTCGCTGCACAATGACCACAGCCATTTCAGTGGCAGTTACCATACAGTGAAAGTTTACTGCTGTATCAGTATTTCTAATTGCATTGCATTGCCTTGGCTGCACCACCCAAGTCTTCAAGGGCTGTCATTATACCTGTCTGGTACGAGATCATACATGCTGTCATCGAACATTTGCTCCTCGCCACCAGGCGTTGGAGCTTCATCATCCAGAGCTGCAGCAGCAGTGCTGGGAGTAGACTGCTCTGCTTCCCCTGCAAACAGGCAAGATCCTAGGTGCTGTGCCTCATTAGACATTGCATGACATGCATGCTAAGGCCGAAATTCAACCATGCGCCTTTAATCAAGCATGCGCACCCGACTCTGTCGGCCCATGTATTTGAGCGTGGTCGAAGGCTGCACCTGCTGACCCCTGACTGATTGGAGCAGTGCCCAGAGACATCACTGCATCCTTGTACCCCAGACCGCCATCAATGGGTGCTACGCCAGATGTAGACAGGAGAACGCTGGGCTGCGGGGCGGCCTCGTTTGCTGGCGGCTGCTTGTTTGCTGGTGCGACGCTTGATTCTGTCTCCTGTGCTGCCGCACCTGTGACTGGTGCGGCATGCCTGGCAGCCGGTGCAGTGAGCAGCCTTGCCAGAGGGACATCGTCTTCGGAGTCGTCCTCATCTTCATTGCCTGGGTCCCTCTCTGAGGAGCAACAAAGCAAGACAATATATTAGTCATCAACAGAGACTTGCAAAAAGTGCACTGTCGGTCATAGACACCCATCAGAGCAGACATGGCATGAACAGGTTTGCACCTGTTTCAGCACATGCTCTAGCGCGTCGCCTGCAGCCCATGTTTTCCACCAGAGACACACCCATCCTCTCTGTGTTTGCAGGGTGCTTGTCTGCTTTCCTGCGCCAACCACCCTGAGTTTAGCTTCAGCGCCTCATGTGATACTCCAAATGAAGCACCAGAATGCAAGGCAGAACCAGTGGGGCGCAGGCATCCGCACTTGTCCCAGCCGAAGGGTCTCAGCAAGTGCAGCTCTCTGCGGGTGCGCGCATTCATCTGGGCCGACTGTGGGGGTCCTTCCTGGACTGCACTGGGGGATGGGCCCTCTGCGCTGCCCGTCTCTTTCACCCTGTCCTGCCGAGGGACAGTGCCTTGCTGCTTGGGAGGGGACGCCTGCATTGCCTCCACCCTGCCATCGGCTGCTACACTGCCCGAGCCAGGCACCAGCGAGTGCAGCCGCACGATGAAAGGCTGGCTCTGCTGGCAGGCCTCGCTCGCAAGGGCTGGGTTGTCTGAGGGTGCTTCAGGACTGCTGGTCAGCGCATCGCCTGCCTCATCTCGCAGGTCTATCACTGACTTGGACTGCTTGCTGTTAGTGGCAGGAGCTGATGAGCGGCGCTCTTGTGCTCCTGTGCTGCCTTGGTGGCCGTGTTGTCGCCCTGCTCCTGGGGTGTTATGTGCAGGGGAGGCCTCTGAGGGGTTGCCTGCATCGTGGCCATGCGACTGCTCTGGGTGCTCATCCACCCTGTCAAGCCCTGCCAGCTCGCCTGCACCCAGCAGCGGAACCTGCGCCTGCTCCTGGTCCTCAGAGTCAGGGATCTGCAACAGTCGCTGGGGCCTGACTGGCCAGGCATCCACATCCGTCTCGGAGTCGCTGCTCTCAGCACCATCCGTCTGATCCACATCCGCTTGGGAAGACTGGCTGTCACTGGCATCATCCGATGAGCGGCGCCGCGCACTTCGCTGCTCGCGAAGGCGTCTCAAAGCTTCCTCTGCCTGTGCAGGCCTCTTCTTTGCCCTCCTTGGCCCGTCCGGCTTAGCAAACTGCCCTCGGGGCGGATGCTTCTCTGCCGACCTGCATATGCAATTGCACTTTCTGGCGCAGTAAACATTAACACATCTTTGACGGCAGCATAATGGCAGCATGCCCTGACCCTGAGAAACCATGCATTTTGTGTTTAAACAAAAGCGCTTATGACCAGAAGTGCTTGGTGGGAGTCTCACTCTCGCGACTCCCAGCCAAACGGCTCCAGGCCCTCCGGGATTGGAGGTCCGGGCGTGGAAGGCGGCTCCCGGCTCTTGCGAGGCGGCGCATGCCACGGAGATTTGTCCCTCACCGCACCATGCTGCCTAGCAGCAGTGGGAACTCGTCCCTGGCGCCCTGAGGGCGGCCGATCCAGGGGCAAAGCTGCGGCTGCAGGGGAAGCCAGCAGGGCATCCTCACGCTGCGACTCAGGGGAGGCTCCGCTGATCTCCCTGACCTCAAGCCGGGTGTGGAGCAGCTCCTGGTGAGCCCTGGGTGAGTAATCTGCGCTGTCGGCCGAGTACTCGCTGCTGTTGCTGCTGTACAAGTCCTCCCCAAAAGAGTCGCTGGCTAAAGAGCGCGGCTCGCTTGGGAACGGTGCCATGCGCGCTGTGGCAGCCATGCTGTTGGGCAGCGGTGCCTGCCGGCTGTAGCCTGCAGCTTGCTCCGTGGTGAGTTGATGCCTGCGCCGCTTCCTGGGCACGCCCTCAGCCTGCCCGGCCACAGCAGGTCGGTTGCTGGGACCCCTGCGGCGCCTGCCGCTGCGGCCCGAGGCTGTGTTCGCGCGGCGCTCTGCCGCCCACCAACAGTGACCGCATGTCAAATTCACTGTCTCAAAAATGCCAGCCTGCCAATTTTATGCAGCATATTTTGAAGACATGAGAATTTGGCGCACAGCCACAGGGTAGATGCACCTCGGATGCGGCCGACCGGCTGGGGACCAGATCCATTGTAGAAATTTCCGGCAGGGCCTCTCGGCTGATCAAGCTGCACCACCGGCCTCCCAGCATCCTCACACAGATCCAGTGGGGAGTCCTCTGGTCTCTGTTCAGGCTCCTCGACAGTATCCACCTAATAAACCACACTCCCCTCTTTACAAGTTTGTGCTTTAGGCATCAGCAAGCAATCAACACATTTTCTTTCCCAGATAAAGGCTCACCTGGGCATTCATGACTGGGCGGAGAACAGTTGAATCAAACTCCCTAAAGTGCTCGTCTGCCTCTGGGAAATCCCTGAACAGCCCACAAGAACAACTTTCAGCTTTCAAATTCCCTTGTTGGACTTTAGATAACGCAATATAACATTTACATGTACGGCGGCACATCTGAGAGGTGGAGGTATATAGAGTGCCAGGGCCTCACATCTGTTTCAGTCGAAGGCATCCAGTCTCACTCTCGTCCCTCTGCAGGCCAGCCTGTAGCGCTGCCTCCATGATCCTGCTTTCCAACTCGCGTTCCGCTTCCCACACCACCACAAGCTGCAGCGACTTGTGACTGGCCAGCAGCTTGCACAGCTCCTCGACAGCTGGGGCATCCAGTTGTTCTGCCCCAGTATCTTGTGAGGCGCCGCTTCCATGCACACTGCCTGGCGGCCCAATCTTCAGGATCTGCAAGTGCCTGACGCTCGATGCACTCGTGCTCAGAACTGTAAGGATTCGCCGGATATCCACATTTGTGAAACCTGCAAAGTGCAATGGATACTGAAGCGATTGAAGACAAATTACGATGGCAAGCACAGGCTGTGGTGTGCAGGGAGGAGCATACCAGCATGGTCAAATTTGAGCACCCGGACTGGATTCCGGTTCACGACAATTTTGAAGCATTCCAATGCAAAGGAGGACTCTGCACAATCAATGCCGCTTGTCAAGAGTGATGTCTAATGCAATCCAAGAAGAGTATATACAGGAGAATTGATCCTTCATCACAGAATACACAGATACCTGGGAAGCAGAGGTGTTTGTTGTGACTGACATCAAGCCTTGTCCAGTAAACAGGTGTGCAGAATAGCTGAAGGAAGAGCAGGCCTGCATGCAATGATGGCACAATTTGGTTAAACACTGCCACACAACTTCGAAGCTTGCAATTATCAGTTGCACAATGGGATCTTGCAAATGAACAGAGGTACCTACCGGCTAATTCACTGGTGAGCCCACAATTTGCCAACCTCAGCGAGGTCATGGAACTGGACTTCAGGGCGCTTATGAGGCGTGTGAGAGCTTTGAAATCCTGCTCGTCAACCTACATCATAGCGTGATCAGGACATAGGCAAATCATAAACGAATCAAATCCATTGCAGGCCGAGACCTCCTTTTTGCCAAGCGGATGGGTTTGACTGGCAAGACATGAGGAAGTAGGGTTAAGTACCTCGGTGTCAGACACGCTGATCTGAGCAACGTAGGACAGACCAGCGTCCTCCCATGATCCCGATTCCCTGTGTGAGGCATGACACCTGAGGTTGCTGCAGATACAGCCCCAGTCAGAATGTAGTGTAATACATACTTGTCGTCTGCTCGTCTGCCGCACCTCAAATCCTCGCAGGCAGCGCTGAATTCCTTGCAGAGTTCCGAAAACGTACATGCTGAAGACTTTACGTTCAGATCGGCCCCATACCCAGGTGCCCTCTGTAATGTACCGTTCGCTTTCTCTGCGCAATAACAGCTTTGATCTCCTTCAAAAATGAAGTGATGTCCATCAGCAAATAAAGAGCAAGGGTTTCTGCTAACAAGTCACATATATGATTCTTACAGAAATGCAAGCTTGACAGGAATCACCCATGGAAACCTTGTCCTGTATAGTCTTGATGGCATCTGCAGCGAGGAGCTGATGCACAGGCTCCATGGGAGATTTAAAAACCGTGCGACAGATCTCCGATGTGCACCTGTGTTGTTCAAGAATGGCACAGACAGGACTTATCAATGTGGGGAGGCCGCTTCAATGCAAGATCCTGCATGACTCTGCACGCTCTGCAACACCAAGAGTCCAGAGGTCCATCCAATCGCATAATGCATCATCGCCTCGTTGAAGGTAGCGCGCATGCAGATAACAAGGAAGACTGTCAGAAAGTGTCCTACAAAATTTCAAGGTCGGTGACATGCTCAGGAATGTGTCAAGGGAATTGTGGCTCCAGGGTTTAGGGTTTATCCGTGGCCGTCGTCGTCTTGCAAGTACATTGCATCACAAAAAGAAGTCATTGAAGCCACCAGTTTGTTGCGATGGCAGGTGCATTTGGGGCTGTGTTTACTTCTTCATCCAGACCTTGCTGTCACATTGGAGCCCCCTCCTTCTCGAGGCTAGATGTGCTCAGGACAGGTTCCAGAAAGCCAGTGCAAGCAGAGCAGTTGGGAAGCAGACCATGTACAGCATGGCCTCTGAGGGTGGCTACAGGTGTGAAATAGTGGACGAGACTGTTAATGTCACAGGATTTTGAAACACGTTCTTGGGGTGCTGCATTTGTGCTGAACCGTCCTTTCTGTGGTTGCAGTGGAGGCTGAGGCTGCCAGTTCGCCTGCAAATGCCCTTTCCCGTAGCCCTCAGACAGATAAATATGCTGTTGTAGGTAAAGTTCAGCCTTGTGCTCTGATTTTGTCAAAAGGCACGATGCAAGTTTGTTGCTTTCCACTGCAGCCAGGGTGCCTCTGACGAGGTTTGTTACCAACGTGTGTATAAATTTTTTCCTACAAACATGTGACTGAGGCTCTCAATTGCCCTCAACGAGCTGAGCCTTTGAGGCTGGTGTGCTGCAGACCTAGGTGGCACACAGATATTGGTGGAGGAGGGAAGGTGGTACACATGCAACCGGTTACAGGTAAGCTGATCTTTCTGTGCTGTGAGATCCTCAGCATGATGTGTGCATGCTGTAAAGGTGCAACCTTAGCTGTCATAATTGTGTCCAATTGAAGATTGCTAGTGTGTGTGAAGAGTGCTGGTGTGGAACTGCAGGCTGAGCCAGGCAGCAAGGTGCAGCTGGGTCGCGTGCTTGCCTTGAAAGATGAGGGCGTCTTCCATGTTGGCAAGCCCTACCTGGAGACTGTGATTGTGGAGGCAGAGGTGCTGGAGGACACCAAGGGGCCCAAGCTGACCATCTTCAAAATGAACTCCAAGAAGCACTACAGGAGGAAGACAGGCCACCGCCAGCCGCTCACCAAGTTCTTGATCACAAAGATTGACAAGCAGTAGTAGGATGTTCTGATGGCAGATGTTCAGCCCTGAGAGAGGCGCAGCAAAACCCACCGAGACTCAAAATATTGATGCCAGGATGAAGGGGTCCATATAGCGCATTTTGCAGATGCGAACTGTGATGACTGATACTACAAGAGTTGGCGCATGTGAATTAAGTCTACTTGCTTTGCTGCGGCTTCCTGTATCGGGTAGTGTCTGATGTTGAAGACATCTTCTGGTTGTGACACCTCCCAGTGTCACATGATAGCGATCGGAACAACTATCCAGGGGTACAACATTGCTGAGTCTGAGTTGTCTTTGGGCCTCATGAAGCATAGATTGCGGCAATGTTGCCTCTCAATGGCCAGGCTGGCCAGTCCACAAAGGTAGGAGCAGAGCGCTGTGCGGCATTATCATGATCAACTCAGCAGACACATAGAATGGTAATTTTGATGCAGTGATCGGCATCATGTATGATAAGTTTGATCTCAAAGTTTAGACTTAAACGCTCCAGTACTTCAAATTAGATTACTCATGAGTTGCTGATCAACAACTTGCAAAGCATAAGGCGCCTGCAGCAGCTGCCATGGCAGTACGCACTGGGGCAGCCTGCAGCCCTGAGGGCCCACGCACAGCGTGGCGCGCAGATTCGGCGTGCAGATTCTAGAACACCACTGCAGCTGGCATATCTGCATGGCATTTCTGCGGTGATTGTACTGTTAAATCAAGCAGCCTTAACTTCAGGTGCAATTTCGCAAAAACCCTCCTCGTGTGTGTTCCTCCCTTTTCTTCCATCGGAACCTCACTTTGTGAATTGATAATGACACAACCAACTGCTGGCTTCCTTATCCTGGGAAGCCATGACTCAACATTCACCTCACTCTGTGCATTTGCTGGATACATCTCATGTGCAAACAAAATCAGAGGAGTAACGAGCTGGAAGTAATGAACCATGATCAAATGCAGTGTGGCAGAGGCAATTCTAAGCCCTCCTCCTTTTCGGTGTCGCACATGCATTCCATCATCACTGTCAACCAGTTCAGTCAACAGTCATGACAGAAATTTGCCGGCACGGTCCCAATCCTTCAGGCACAAAAATGTCATTAGATCTTGGCGAAGTCTCAAAAGTCCAAGATCACAATGGTACGCCCACATCAAAGAGCTCTCACAAGTACTTGAAATGTAGGTGACATCGGGAATCTTGCTCATCTTTCTTTGTTTGGCAGGGTTAGAACGGCAGCAAGTACGGCGTACGGATTGCCATCAAGGCTTGAGGAGGACAAAGGTAAGCTGTTCATCGGGTTCATAATGGGCAAGTAAGAGCTGGCGAGCTTGATGAGAAAGTGCACCAAGCAACACAACCGGTAAAAGGCAATACACCGCAGGAGCCACCTTCCTTAGAACAACACTGCCGCTGGCGTTGTCTCTGGCGCTATGCAACATGGACCGCATTGTTCTTAGTGTAGCTATAGTTCCTATTGCCAAGGAATTTGGCTTTGGCATTGCTGCCCAGGTGAGCCCTTGGCACCCTGCTTGTGCAACCTCACATACATGCACTGCTAATGCTTGAACATATGGCAAGAGTCAGGTGATTGGCTGACTGTGTGCATTCAGGGTCTGATACAATCCGCATTCTTGTGGGGTTACATGGGAACTCAATTGCTGGTGGGCACCTCAAAACTCTAATTCCTCCTGTGTGTGAAAATTTGTGTCTTTCTCAGCCGATTCGAGCTCTGATGGATGACTGAGACTGTGGCAAAATCAGGGCGGAACGATGGCTGATCGTGTGGGAGGCAAGCTGGTGATGGCATGGGGCATTGCCGTCTTCTCGCTGACATCCCTTCTGATGCCACTGGCCCTCTCCAAAGCTGTGAGGTCCCAGCGTTGCAACACATTGATTCAGCTCTGCTTTTATGCATGCTTTGGGAGGGATGCACGGCCTGACGTGAAAATTGAGACTGATCCCAGCAACACATCTGTGGCGTCACAGGTCGCTGCTGCTGCCCTGACATTCCCAGCAGTGTTGGCCACGCGAGTCTGCATTGGCCTGGGAGAAGGCGTTGCCTTGCCAGCGATGAATAACATGGTGGCTGGTTTGCAACGCGAAAAGCGATCTACCGCTCTAGGCATCGCATTCACAGGGTTCCATTGCGGTACGGGAAATGCTCAACATTTGCGCTATGCTTTGCTTCCCCTTGGCAGTCTTTACAATGTGCACCAAGTCATTCAGAAAATGTGCTGCTCCTGCTGCAGGCAACCTCATTGGCTTGGCGGTGTCGCCCATCATTCTTGCTGCATTCGGCTGGCGCTCCCTCTTCCTGATCTTTGGCATCCTGGGTGGCCCATTACTGGCATTCTGGCTCTCTGTCGTGCCTACCTCAACTCCAAAGGGTGTGCACCAGTCACAGGCCAAACTCGCTACCCACAGCATTGCGACAGAGAAAGATTTTAAGTTGCTGCTTCTATCACGGCTGACTTGTGTCTTGTGTTTCAGGACGAGAGGGAACAATTTCACCAGCAAAGAAGAAGGTCAATGCTGCGATTCTGCTGCGCAGCCCTGCCACATGGGCAATCATTGTTGTGAACATCGTCAATCACTGGGGGTGAAAATGCTTGTCTTTTTCCCTATCTGGCTTGCGAATCAGGCTGTTGATGTTCAAAGGTCCTGGCATGCTGGCCAATGTGTCTTTTGAGTTGCTAAGCTGTCACAAACAGGTACTTCATCTACCTCAACTGGATGCCATCCTACTTTCACCACGTCTTTGGCCTCGATATGAAGTCCTCCAGCTTCCTATCCTTCCTGCCATGGACCGTGAGTCCTGCCACTAGATTCCCTCTTCTTAATTGGCATTACACTGGGGGATGGAGGGGTTAACCATGAGCAGTACATTATCTAACAGGGCTACAGATCTTCACCGTTTGTGGTGGTGAATATGGTGGTGTGTACTGGTGGTAAGAGCTCAGAGATATGACTGTTGCAGGTCATGGCGCTGGGGTCCATGTCAGCGGGCTTGCTGGCCGATGGGCTGGTGAGGAGGGGGATGTCAGTCACCAATGTGCGCAAGGCCGTCCAGACGGTGGCGTTCCTGATACCGGCTGCAGCCCTCATCGTGCTTGCCAACCCGGGCATCTCCACCACCACAGCTGTGGCCTGCCTCACCATCGCGCTCGGCACCACCTCCCTTGGTAACCTCCCACATCCCAAAACCTGTCCGTCTCTATGTTTACATTTGTATCTATGTTGACAGATCTGTCACGTTGGGTGCATTTTAACATCCGTGCATAAGTGCTTGAATGTCCTGCCCTTGATGATTTGCGTGCTAGCTATGACAGCCTCTTTTGGCCCAATATCACCACCATGCCTCAATTCATGTGGCAAGACAATCTAGTGTTGCTGGCCAAATTTATCAGGAATTTGTTGGAAAGGGTATACATGGGATCGGGCACCCAAGACATCTAACCAGCCTTGTTGGCTTGCAATATAATAATTCTCACTTTCTGAGGTGCCTGTGGACTGCTGCAGGGCAGGCAGGCTTTGTGGCCAACATGGCCGACATCGCCCCTGGGAATGCCGGGCAGATGTTCGGGCTGTGCAACACCTTTGGCTCCCTGTCTGGCATTGTGGGTGTCTCCCTCGTTGGCTATGTGGTGCAGCTGACGGGCTCTTTCAGCCCGGTCTTCAAGATGACCGCCGGCTTGTACATCTTTGGCACCATTGTTTGGAACCTGTTCTGTACAGGAAACGTGGTTTTTGACTAGGTCCTCAGCATTCTTGCAAATCTGCAGAATGGCAACGGCCAGAATGAAGTGTGCATGGATTGGGATTTCAGGAAATGTCTGAATGAGCCCATGCCAATGGCAGATGGTCTGACTGTACAGCCTGTCCCTGCTCTTCTGCAAAGATGTACAGCCACTGTGTCCAGATTATGAGTCATTTGAGTAAGTTACTTGTATAAAAACGAGAGTTCGCAAGCTGGATTCCTTCTAGCAATGTCATGCCAAGCATTGAATGAGCAGCTTCCAGACCTTAAGGGAGCTCTGGAGCTTTCAAGTATAGCACTGTAAGTTGCCCAGGACACCCCTTCGGTATGCCATGTGGGCGCATGCCTGTGGCATGCATGTGGGTGCACTCCATTTTAGGAAGGTGCACATGCGTATTTTCCTCGCCGTGCGGCATGTGGACACTGACGTGTGGCTGCCATCCACCACTGGTGCCAGCTCCAAGCTTTCAGCTATAGCCATACCAGTAATACTAGTAGTCCGGGTCTGAGCAGATTGCAATTGCTGGTCCCGACCACAAGGCGCGGGTGCCGACTGCAACCACACAGCTGACGGTAGCCTTAAAAAGAATAGCGCGCGCCGCCGCGGGCCATTGTGGCCCCGGGCCGCGTGACGAGCGGCCGCGGCGTTTCGCGCATTGCGCACCGGTGCCGCACAAGAATAGCGCGGCGCTGCCGGTACGTACCGGCATACCGGCAGCAGGTTTACCGGCAGCAGGCTATGAGCCTACACTGGGGGGTACATAACGGTGCTCTCGCAAAAGGATCATAAATTGATCAAGAAGGAATAAATGATAGGCTGCCGCAGACTCCTGTAGGCCCCGCAGATGTGGCTGCAGACGCCCTGCGTGTATGCCCTGTGGCCCTCTGGGCTCTGGGTGCGCCACTCATAAAATTATTATTAAAATTATTATTATTTGTGAGATATTGCCTTTTACTCGCCAGGACCTGTCATGCCATTGTGGGCAAACCCTAATCTAACCCTCTGGCCAGCTGGCCAGAGGAGGGCGTTCCAGAAAGAGGAAGTTGCTGGAATTGACCAGATTCCTAGGAAAGGACTAGCACACACTTTTCTGCAGCCAAAACAACATCCGGAGTTCAGGAAAATCGTCCAAGACTCGCTACGTGCAATAATATGTCAGGTTGTCTCTGAGGATCTCGGGGCGTCTTCTGGTCAAAGTGGGTGGTGTTTACTCTTTGCAACCTTTGCCCGTGATCTGTTGGGCCAGCCAACAGACGGGATTGAAAAGTATAGCGTGAACCCACAAAAGGGCTGTGATCAAAGGCTTCCCCTCCTTTCTTTACCCGTGTTGGAGGGTCTTCAAGGCTTCTAAAACATAGTTTTCAGAGAGTGAGCACGAATGGAAGGCGTCGTGCAACTTGTCAATCGCTTGCAAAGCGCAGCAACATTGCTCGGGGACAATGCTGCTAGCGACAAGACACTGCCGAGTCTCTGGGAGCTTCTTCCCAGCATCGTGGTTATCGGTGGCCAGGTCTGTGCTGCTCCCCCCCCTCTGTGTTTCAAGTATGTCCTTGATGTGAGGATGGATGCAAATAATTACCTCACACCTTCGAGACATTGTATTTTGTCTTGGAAGGTTATGACTCAAACGGATCTGAAGTTTACAGTAGACTTGATCGAGCACACTGTAGCTCAGAACCATGATATTGTTTCCCATGTACAACGAGACACGAGTACGAAAGTTCCCGGATGATGAGCGCTCTCATGGTCTGGATGCCTTAGAATTCTGTACTTGACACTGCAGAGTTCTGGGAAAAGCTCTGTCCTGGAGGCAGTGGTGGGCAAGGATTTTCTGCCCAGAGGAACCGGCATTGTCACTAGGCGACCTCTGTTGCTCCAGCTGGTGCGCTTGGAGGACCCAAATGCCCGCGAGTATGGAGAATTCCTGCACAACAACCGTGAGAAGATGTACAACTTTGGTTCGTCTCCATCAGCGCATCATGTTTTCCATCTGTCACGCTTTTGTCTTCGACACAGAGTACTTTTACGGCACCCAATTCAGCTGCCATTTCTGAAAGGCTATCACTTCACATTGCTATTGTTCTGCAGAGGCAATCAGGGACGAGATTGAGAACGAGACAAATCGATATCTCAAGGGGAAGGGCCGCGCTGTGGCTCCTGAGCCAATCCAGCTCACGGTGTACTCCCCGAATGTACCCAACCTCACCCTGGTGGATATGCCAGGTAGGCTGCAAGGCTACCTGATTAAGCATGCAGAACGCTTTGCACCCCTTTGCCTGTAGTGCTGAGCAGATTGGCCCAAACTTTTGTCCTTATTTAAACTCTCTGCCGCATGCAGGCTTGACAAAGGTGCCAATTGATGGTCAGCCAAAAAGCATTGTGAGGGAACTGGAGGACATGGCGCGCTCATACATCAAGGTGAAACTGGCCACTGCTGTGTTTGACGTTGCTTGTCGAAGACTCGGTGCTTGCCACTCGATCTGATCTAGTTGATGTTCTGTACAGACGTGAAACATTCTTGATGCTTTCTCGACAGGGTGACAATGCTATCATCCTGGCAGTGACACCGGCGAACGCAGATCTGGCCACATCAGATGCCTTGCACCTGGCACGGGAAGTAGACCCCACAGGAGAGCGCACAATTGGTGCGCCACCTGCCATCTCAGTGCCTGCTTTCCTGTCCATTGGGGCATGGGAACACATATGCTTACCATCACAATTGGTTGAGCATAGCTTTTGCCTTCGTTGAATTGTGAAATCTCTGTGCTACAGGCGTGCTGACAAAGCTGGATATCATGGACCCCGGAACAGATGCCAGAGATGTGCTCATGGGCCAGGCTGTGCGCCTCAAGAATGGCTGGATAGGCATTGTCAACCGCGGGCAGGCTGACATCATGTCCAAGGTGCATTTAAATTCTCCATATCTACCGCCATGTGCATGCAATGGACAAGTTTTAAGCCATATGCAATGGTGGACTCCTTGGATTGCCATGTTCTCGGAGTCAGCGTGGCATGCATGGTACAGGTCCCGATGGAGGAGGCACGGAAGAAGGAGCTGGACTTCTTCAAGGGCTCGCGGCACTATTCGGACCTTAAAAACGTGGGCACGGGCTTCCTGAGCAGCAAGCTGTCCACGCACCTGATCACGGCCATCCGCAAGCAGCTGCCCATCATCCAGCACTCCATCAACGATGGCATCATCAACCTGGAGCGCGAGCTTGAGGCGCTGGGAGGCCCTGCAGTCACCACCCGCGGCGCCATGGTCCACCTCATCCTTCAGGTGACCACCCTCCGCCTAGCTCATGTAAACTTATGTCTCAGTGAGCCCGTCAAGGGATTTTGCCTTGGTGTTCATGTGGTGTCTGCTGTGTGTATATGTCTTATCCACATAGGAGCCGGTGCGGCTGTACGGGAACAGCAGGAGGAGCATTTTGGAAAAGAAGTGTACTGGAACTCTGCATTTTACTTGTGTATTGATTATTGGGCTTGCTGGGGAGCAGCTGTGCCGCCAATTCGAGGAGGCCTTTGCAAAGTCGGTGGATGGTGGGAAGGGCGGCGGGGAGCAGATCCTGCTGGTGTTTGAGAAGCGGCTGACAGACAACATCCGCAAGCTCAACTTTGACAAGATCCTGGACCCCGCCAATGTCAAACGCATTGTGGAGGAGGCCGACGGCTACCAGCCCCATCTCATCGCCCCTGAGATGGGCTACCGCCGGCTGCTGCAGGCACGCGCCCCATTCTCACCATCTGTGCGCAATTCGTCATTTTGCTGCAGCATTCCTGCCTCTGCACATGCTCATGTTTATCCACATCTGCTTGGTAGCTTTTCAACCTTTTCAAGGGCTGGGGTGAACGCCAAGAAGGGTGAGAGGGCATGCAACATGCCGATTATCCAGGCGCCTGATACGTGTTCGCTCAGCCAATGCCCTGCAAATGTCCATGCATTCATCTCCACATCCAGGGGAGTTGAAGCTGTCCGCCTTGGGAGGCTGAATATAGTTTGTGCCGGCAGGAATGCCTGGTCCTGTTCAAGGGGCCTTCGGACGTGGCGGTGGAGGAGGTGCACGCCATCCTGCGCCAGATCGTGGCGCGCACGCTGGAGAGCGAGGAGTGCAAGGGCCTCGCGCAGTATGGGCAGCTCAAGCGCGAGATCGCCACTACGGGCGCGGCCGCGCTGGAGTCCATGAAGGACGACGCGCGCAAGATGGTGCTGACCATGGTCGAGATGGAGCGCTCCTACCTCACCGCCGAGGTCTTCCGCGAGATCCTGCAGCAGAATGGCCGCTCCGGCGAGCACGGCGAAGTCATGCGCACCCTCTCCGGCCGCCAGGTGCACCCCTGCTGCTATTCCCTCTGTTGTACAGGGCCTGCCCAGGCTTCGGAGGCTAGTGGCTACCGCCTTCATGTGCGGAGTGTTTCCTCGGTGCCAGGCTTGATGTGTCGCATTGAATTTACTGGTCGTGGCCTGAGTGGCCTGGATGCTGGGGGTTGCATGAATATTTGGTGAGTAATTTGGACATGTGTGCAGATGTCGGACGTGATGGCGGACGAGCGGTCGACGCCGTCGGACAAGCACACGCAGAAGATTGCGTCGCACGTGAGCGCGTACATCCACCACGTGCGCACGCAGCTCAAGCAGACCATCCCCAAGGCCATCGTGCACTGCCTGGTGCGACCATCCTCTCCCTCGCTCCCAAACTTGCTCGAACAGGTTGATGCTCAGCTGGGGAAAGGCACTCCTTGTTCTACCTTCAGCAGTGTGGAGCCAAGGCTTTGAGGTGTGCAGGCTTTGATGCACACTTAGTGATGTGTCAGTGTTTGCTCACTCTGTGGAGCAGTCTTCAGGAAGGGGTTTGTCTGCTGTTCCGCAGGTGATACAGGCAAAGAAACGCCTACTGGACGACTTGCATGCAGAGGTGGCGTCCAGCGAAGATGGCAAGCTGAAGCGAATGCTGATCGAGGACGAGACCACCCTCAAGCGCCGGGAGCAGTGCACGCACCGGCTCAAGCTCCTGAAAAAGGCTGCAGAAGAGCTCAGTGCAGCCTCATATTAAGCCACCCTGTCCCTGTGCTTTCCTGTCTGCGCGCCAGCAGGCAGGGTGACAGCATTTGTCCTGTTTCTATGGTTAGCAGAAATCGACGTGAAGGTCCGCATCAGGAGGGGTAGAGGGATGCTTTGTCAAGAATTTGTTTACAAATAAGCCATTGTACTGTATGTCATCACAATCGATATTACCATGTGTGCTAGTGCTGTTTGCAGCAAGCCTGGCTGCTGGGCTGGTAGCATGATTACACCCCTGCAGCCCACAATTCTTCTTAATAGATATGGTATGCCTGTGCCGTGGCCTCAGTCACCTGTGTGCCTCACTCTTGGTGTTGCAAGTGCCAACAACACTTATATTGTGTAAATCGCGATCAGCTTCTTTTTGAGCCGGCTTGACTTTGTTACAATCACATGCATGGTACCCGTAATTCTCCTGTTGATTTGATCTTTAACTGGGAGGACTCCGGAGATCCTTGGAGACTGTGTCCCTGCTCATATCATGTCATGCCCTGGCAATGAGGCTAGCCACAATGGTGATTTGGGCCACACACGCGTGCCAGATCCACGGATGCGCCTCGATGTTAATTAATTCATGCATGCTAGCGCGCTGAATGAGATCCAAGCAGCAGATAGATCGTCCCATGTCTCTAGCAACCAGACATTCGTGTCCTCTACTTTGAGAGGGAAGTGTGGTCTGCATGATTCAAAAGATCCAAAGCTTGCTCCCACGAGCATCAGAAGCATGTCCAGCATATCTCGAAAGGAGATTCACTGGGGAGATGAGTCAGCAGCTGGCTGTCCTTGCTCATCGGACTCGTGCCTGCTCCAGAAATAAAGGACACTGCGCACTGCTCTTGAAACATTTTGATCTGACATCAACGTTGCAAGATGGCGTGGGACAGTGGATTCGCGCGCGACCTTTTCGTTCCTAGGGACGCCCGCAACGCTCGACTCCTGCGAGCTGGGTGAGCATGTCACGTTTGTACAGCATCTTTTATGCTTCTCACGAGGCTGGGCGGCTTGAGTATGTTACTTGGCATGAGTTTGATACTGTAACCTCCATCGGAGCGATTCCGATGTCACCGTTTGATGAGCTGTGTGCTTTGCTTTGACTCGATCGCTTTGTCAGCATCCCACACGGGAGCAGTACCGACTAACTGAGAGCATGTTCTGATTGCGCCAGATATGCCGAGTTCCTGGGGACGTTGCTGTTCCAATTCCTCGTGGGTTTCACGGGGACGGATCCCTTGGCGTCCGGCCTTTCTTACGGAATCCTCGGTGAGTGCTCTCCGCAACGCTCTGCCGATCTGCAACACGTGAACTGTTGCGAACAATCGTCGTTCTGATCCATTAAAGCACAAGGAGTGCTAAAAGCAACAACATCAAGCGTTGCCATTGTACACGTCTGCATTACGATGTCGTGTAGGCTTGCTTCGATTTCCATCGGCATGTCCATGTGTGTACTACGAGAAGTTACCGTGATATTTGCTGCCCTCGTGCTATTGAGGTGTAGCATATTTTCCAAGCCATTCTTGAATTAACCGCTTTGCTTTGCCTGTGCAGTCTACTCCACCCAGCAAGTCAGCGGAGGTCACCTCAACCCGTACGCCCTCCTTGCTGTCCCCAAAGCCCTTTCAAAAAGAAACATGTCTCCATGCATGCATGTGAGTTTGCAGTCACAAAGCGAGCTGCTCACAATGGTGATCCTTGAACAGGGCAATCACTCTGGCTGCCACCCTGAGCGGGCACTTCAACTATGTCACCAGCATCGTGTACATCATCGCACAGGTGTGCTCCCCTGCCATCCTAAGTCTCTGCTTAGCAAACCAACATGCAGGCAGTGGCAGGACTTGACCGGGCAAGCAGCCTGATTGAAATAAAATTTTGTGTTTGCATGCAGATTGTTGGCGCAGCCATTGGAGCAATGCTGCAGGTCGCTCTTGTACCAGGCATCCACTGGTAACACTCCAGAACCACTTAAGTGCTTGAAACTGCTGGACAATTACCAGAAAAATTACTGTGCTCTTTGTATCAATTAAATTGCTTGTAGTTTGCTGCACATCAGCAGAGACCTATTTGTCTTCTGGGAGCAAATGGTGGTCGACATGCATGTGCATGCAAGGCAGTCTTGCAGCCAGGAGTGGTCCATGGCCTTGTGTGCGGATGTGCAGGGGCCAGCAGCCGTCCTCGCCAGGCTGCTATGACCCCAACCCTGCCCTGACCGGCGTTGAGACGTGGGCCTGGGAGACCATCCTCACCTTTGTGCTCATCTACGTGGTCTACGCCACCGCCATCGCATCCCCCGGCCACGGATCGCTGTCGCCCCTGGCCATCGGGCTCACTGTTTATGTTGCCACTGTTGCAGGCAAGTGCCAGGCCAATACAAGTGAATGCAAGAACACTTCACTGTCAACCAGCGTTTTTGGCACATGCCAGGCCCTTCAATAACCAACCCTTCAATAACCAAGATTACTTGACTTAATCAGCTTTGTTTGCTCTGCAAGGTGGTATCCAAGCATTTTCAAATGTTAAGAGAAAGAGAGTTGAGTCAGCAGTGCACTCACAGGCGGCAACTGGACTGGGGCGTCCCTGAACCCTGCAAGAGTCCTGGCCGGCCTGATTGTGTACGGCTGCAACCTACATGGCATCTGGTGGATCTACCTGCTTGGCCAGATCGTCGGCGCTATCCTGGCATCTGCGGTGCGCTCTCTTTTCTGTCATTCTTCTCTCTCCATGCATGCAGAGAGTGAATTTCCTTGATAGATGGAGGAGGGCAGTGTGAAAAGGAAGCATCAGAATAGTTTTGGAGCCTCAATCTACCCAGAAGAAGTGCATCTCTCTCCATGCATGCAGAGAGGGGTTGTCCTTGATGAATTGAGGAGAGCAGTGTGACCTGGGAAGCATTGGAATAGATTTGGAGCCACAATTTTCCCAGAAAAAGTGCATGCTGGCTGAAGTGTCTTTATGCCAGATCTCACAACAAAGGCCTTCGATGCGTGCAGGTGGCAGCATCAGTCTTTGGCTGGGGCAACGGATACACCGATGGGGATGAGGCCAGGCGCGACCCTCTGCTGCGCAGCCGCGAGACAGGAGAGAATGTGTAAACACACTGGGAGTGCAGTGAGCCCAGCCAGCAGCAGTGATGGCCCAAATGCATGAGTCAATGCAGGGTCGCAAGAAACAGCTGAGCGCCAGCTGCAGTGCATATGGGCTCAGCGTCATGAATAGTCCTGTGTTTAAAACTGCGTGCATGCCTCCTGGTCCATCTTATGATCATGTGCAATGGGATTGCATGGGCAAGTTAGTAGGGTAGGCACATGTTGGATTGTTCCCTGCATTACAATGACGAGCATCATTTGATGAACTGCTGTCAACGGTTGTGGAAATGTCAACTTCAACTTTGCACAATTGTCAGGTTGCTCACAGTGGGGTGCAGAGGATCCCATACATACTGCAATAGTCTTTCAAGTATAACAGTTCAAAAGTTATCCAGGTCTAGATCTCATCTGTAAGGAACTGAGTTGCACACAAGGCCGTAACATGGGCCATTGGTTGGCACACCAGGGGAGAACCACACAAGCACAGACACGGACATCGCAAGTTCCTGTCAGGGAGCAGATCTCTGTCCTGCCTCCAGAGATAGCACAAGGGGCTTTGCATTTGCATTGCTGACCTCCAGTGCCATGAAGCCCTGAAAGTCTTGGACGAGCTGCTTCAGATGACGCAATTTCTGCCTCAGCACGTCAACCTGGCCCTGTCTTGCCAGAGAATATGCGTCCCTTGTTGTCAGACCTGGGCAGCAACATTACTTTAGTGCCCTCAACTTTGATAATAACTTGGGGAGACCATCTAGTGTAAAATTCTAAGCAAGAGTTGGTGATTAGGGACAGGCTGATCACCTAGAAATTCCACGAGAAATGAGTCACACACTGCCACGATCTGCACTCTGCCACTTGTGCTGTCCTCAATGCTCATGTCCAGTTTCCAGCCGTCCAGCACAGCCCTGTTCTCGTCCATGAAGTGAAGGTTGCTCACCTGCAACACATCAAAAGCTGTAAGTCAACGAGCAACCTTGATTCAGATGTAAAACTGGATCACAGAAAATGTTGCATACGGGTGATGCTCACCATGCCCACAATGCTCCCATGCACTCGTACAGTGGCAGGGTAGTCCTTCTCATCCAAGTCTGCAAGCTGGGACAGGGAAGTCAGAGCTCCCCGCATCTCGCACATTTCCTGTGCCCTGTCAGGCTTATCAGCAGCGCTGGCGCGAGGTCGGGACTGTGGCGGTTGCTCGGACAGGGACTCCTGCTCATCATCCTCAATGATCAGCTGCGCAGGCGCCTTTCTCTTCAGCCTGTTGCGTCCCCGCTCGGCCAACGCCGCCGCGTGGTCGCCCCAGCTGTCAAGCGAGCTCTCGCTGTCAGCTGGCGCATCACCGCGCCCCTCTGCATCGCTGACATCTATCACCTCGACTTCCTGGCTGTCAGACTGCTGCATCAGCCCACCAGCTGCACCCTGGCCCACCTCCCTGGCACTCCTCTGCTGGCGGGCTGGAGTGGGCCTGGCTGCCTGCGCAATGTTCCCCTGATTCTGACTGCGTGGCACGGGCGCAGGAGGGGGGATGTTTCTGGGGTGGACCTGGGGGTTGATCCTGGATTCAGGTGCCTGCTGTCTCTGTGGACTGTGAGCGGCTGGTGGCAACTGGGGCAGCTGTGGCGGCACTCCTGGGACTCCATCAGCGGCCTGCTGGGGCCATGCAGCGGCAGTTGCTGCCACAAACAGATTCACAGTGGCGCCGTTCCTTCCAGAGCTGCATGCCACGGGCTGCTTCCACCGCTCAACCATCCTCTGGCGAGCTTGCTCCATCCTCTCCACCTAGGGGGGGGCGCATAGAGATGTGTGCATCGGGTTGCTCAGCTGTGATGCATTATGCCATGAGCATGAGATCTTCAGTTTCACGTTCAAGAAAACGGCCCTCTGCAGATGCTTTGAACCTCACCTCGCCTCCAATGACACTGATGTTCTCTGGCTTGAGAACAAGCATGCCCCTCTTGATTGGTGCATCTGTGATGACCACCTAGGCATGCAAGACCATTCATCTCAGCCTGCTGTTGAACGAATACGCCAAGCTGAGCCCACACTGTGGCTGCACATACCTTCAAGCCTGCAGGGCAGAGAGTTTTGATGGCCGCTATAGGTGTCTGCTCAAAGGCAAAGGCACGGCGCTGTCCTGGACCAAAAAAGAGCATGTCAAATGCACAATGCAGAGAGTGATTATCACTGAGGTCACATGCATGGGTCGGGCTCGCACCATCCGTGAGAGACAGCTTCAGGCACCTCCTGCCTCCCGCCCCTTCATATCTGCAGACATCGAAGAGTGATTGGAATGCCTGTATCATAAGGATAGTCAACAATCAGCTAGAGAGGCGTATTTGACCCACCTCTGCTTTGCACAGGCTGCCGTGTCGACGGCCTCATCAACTTGCAGCACATGCCGGCCCCTCAGCACAGAGTTGTGTTCGGAGTGCAGATTGTGTGGGAGGCATCCCGATCCGCACATATTGAGGTCAGCGGTCAAGAAATGAGACATTATGAGCTGGACTCGCTCCTCTACTGGAGCTGTGGGCGTAGTGAGAAGTCTCATGACTTTGGTGATGAAGGCAGATTTCAGATGGATGCCCATCTCAGCCAACGATGCCTTCACTTCATCCATCAGCTATATAATATTACTCGTTTGGGGACCTGAGCTTCTTGCATCTTTGTTATACACAACGTAATTTTGGGCTCACAGCGGACATCTTCCAATCTGAGCTTTGCCTATAGGTCGAATTATAAATGCAACCAAAATCTGTGGTATCGCTACATTACTGTGCTGCATAAAAGGGACCACGTATTCCACCCCAATGTGTAAGTACTTGCCGATGTCACAAGCCCATATAACTAGGGGCAGCAACGTTGTCTTATTATACTAAAATATACTAATATTATCTTTCTGGGCAGTGCCCTTACAGAATTGGGTAGGAGGGGCGAGGAAATGTCCTTCAATGTGCACAACGAAACCCTACTTTAACTTGGGGAAGCGAAAGGGTCATCAACGAAACAGTGGTGATCTAGCTGCAGCAGTTCTGGGCTCAGAAAAGCGATCAATCGCATGAAGTGATTATCAGTGGTGTGTACTGACTCACCTATCGAGGTACCGAGGGCGTTTTCTATCAGATCAGATCGCTTTCCCGGCTTGCACTCTGAATTTCCTAGTGGAAATTGTGAGATGGCTCCGAAGAAAGCCAAGAAGAAGAACAACAAACTAGATTTCGAGGACGACGAAAGTGCTGACATAAACTTGGGAGACATTCCTGCAGCTGTGGAAAGCTCTGTTAAGGCTAAAGCAAGTGCGCCAAAGAAGAAGAAGACAAAAAAGAAGCCTACCGCCGGGGACTGGTCAGACGATGAGATTGCAGAAGCTCCCGCAGCTCCAGGAATGGATGAAGAGGACGATACACCAGCATCAGGCCGCAAGGCGGCCAAAGCGGCCCCTACGTTTGCACTCTTGCAGGCACGGTCGCTGCCATCAGAGTTCAATATGCCCTCAAATTTGCTGCATTCATCTATAATTGGACCAAGTTCTATTTGTGTTTTGGGTACGTATGAAGTAGCCAACTAGGTGTCTTGCTGTACTTCTCAGCTGCTGAGCATATTTCTTCTGGCTCTGCAGGAGGACGCAGACAGTGTAGAGGAGGAAGAAGAGGAACAGGAATCAGTGGCAGCACCCAGGCTGGGTGGTTTCGACGCACTGGCAGTGGAGGAGAGTGATGAGGAAGCACCAAGCTCAACACAGACGCCGGAGGCCAGGAAGCCAGAGGAAGCTGCTAGACCTGAAGAGGTATGGTGAGACTCATTTGCGATGCAAGCTACCTTCATTACTGATTTGGATAAAACTTCAGGCAGCCAGAGCAGCGCTCTGTTTTGCAGATGGGACTCGTTTGCGCGGAGGTAGTGAAGGTCTCCCGGCATGCTAATGCCGATCGGTTGAAGACCTGCCAAGTGCGCACCGACATGGAGACGCTGCAGGTCGTGACTAACGCACCCAACATTAGAGAGGGCCTGAAGGTGGCTTTTGCGGTGAGCAGCCTTGCACACTCTCCTCACGCCGTATTCCCGCCGCCTGGTGGTGATAAAATATTGATCATTAGTTAATGGGTCCTTAACAGCCAGTGTTCATGCAGGGGGATGGTGTCACAACGCCCGGCAGCGGGATCCAGGTCAGTACAGCCACAGTGCGGGGAGTCAAGAGCTTTGGGATGATCTGCTCGGCATATGACTTGGGGTGGATGGAGGAGGCCAATGGGTTTGCGGTGGAGCTGCCGCAGGGGATGCAACCGGGGGATGCTCTTGAGGGGACCCCACTGAAGGTGCAGTTGCTCTCGATGTCTGCTATGTCTATGAATGTCATTATGATTGCACTTTCTTGCAGAAACTTTGACCAGTTGTGTCAAATTCTTGTTGCTTGGCTGAGTTTCTATTCCCTGGTCTTTTCTGTTTGGCTGCAAGAGGTACTGTGAAGTGAATACCCCTGGGTCTTCCAGGGAGCCATTCTGAGCGAAGAGGACGCAGCGGAGGCAAGCGGCAAGGAGAAGCCATCCAAAGGCAAGAAGGGCGAGTCCAAGTCCAAGAAGGACATCTCAAATGCCTTTGATGCCCTGGACCTGGAGGGTGAGGAGGACGGTGCCATTGCAAATGGAAAACATGATGCGGCTGAGGAGCCCAGCAGCAACGGCGCCCTGGCAGATGAGGATGAGGATGGCGCCCTGAACTTGCTGCCAAAGCCCAAGAAGGGGAAGAAGAAGAAGGGTGTGGATATCGCTGGAGCCTTTGCTGCTTTGGCTGTTGAGGATGGTGGTGAGGAGGCTCCAGCGGCCACAGCAGATGCTGCCACAGCAGAGGTGGTGGATGGGGTTGCGCAGGAGAGGGGCTCTGATGCGCAGGCGACCACCAGCCAAGCGGATGCAGATGACTTTGTGCTGGGACCCAAAAAGGGTGAGTTTTTCCCTCTGTGAACACAAAGTACCATACAGAATCCGAAAGTGAAACTTTCAGTTTTCTGGTGTGAGCACCTGTGATCGAATCATAAATGACGAGGGTACACCCTGTTGCAGGCAAGAAGAAGAAGGACAAGAAGCAGGGCAATGCAGACATTGATGCCTTGCTGGCAGCCATGGATGAAAGCCCGTCAGAGCAGGCAGGTCCTGGCGACGGCGAGGGTGGAGAGCAGGCCACAGGCACAAAGAAGAAGAAGAAGAAGAAGGACAATGGGCTTGAAGACATCGATGCCTTGCTGGCCAACATCAAAGGCGAGGCTCCAGCTGCAGGGGAGGCTGAGGGTGATACTGCCCAAGATGCAGCTGCCAGCACTGCAACACCATCAGCATCAGGCGTGGCAGGAGACGAGCAAGCCCCTACTGAGCCAGAGAGCACAAGCAAGGCTAAGAAGGGGAAGAAGAAGGGCAAGCAGGTCTGAACGCTTTGCTGCACCCCGTTGCTATCCTGAGGTCTCGTGCCCGTGTTCATTCTTTTTATGACGCGCAAATCAGAAGGCATGACGGGTGCTCAAGGAACTAAGTTCAAAGGGTTTGGCTGCAGGCAGCAGCAAAGCAGGAGGAGGAGGACCTGGATGCCCTGCTTGCTGAATTGGGAGAGGGGCCGCCCGCCGTGCAAGAGGCGCCTGCCAGCACCGAGGCACCCCTGGAAGCAGCCCCGGAGGAAGCCGCGGAAGGCAAGAGCAAGGGAAAGAAGGCCAAGAAGAAGGGAAAGCAGGTGCGACAGCGTTGCTGTGTTTCCTTTTTAGATTGCTGTATGCAAGGATATGCAAGGGTATGCATTGTGCTGAAACAAATGCCCCTCCTGAGAAGAGAATATTATAATGTTCAGCATGTGGCGTTCAGGCGGCAGCAAAGCAGGATGAGGAGGATTTGGATGCCCTGCTTGCGGAGCTGGGAGAGGGGCCGGCAGCTGCAGCGCCTCAGCCTGCAGCTGCAGAGTCGGAACCTGCCTACGCAGCCGCTGCGGCTTCAGTTGAAACAGCTGAAGGCGGCGCGGAGGAAGATGCAGCTGAAACGGGGGTAAGCATCGCTCGAGTATCCCTGGAGCGTTCTTTGGGCTGGCTGTGTTTTTGCACTTGCGGTGGAACTTGATCTCTTTCAAAGCGACACTGGAGTTGCCGAGTGTAGGCAGTGGGGACACCTATGGCTGTGACAGCAGGGCTCTTCAGGAACGCCCGCTGAAGGTACTGAGAACTGTTTCGCACAGGAAATGAGCGCGGCAGCCAAAAAGAAGGCAAAGAAGAAGGCCAAGGAGAAGGCCAAGAAGGCTGTCGGGACGGCCGAGGGCGACGAAGAGGATGCGCCGGTTGCGGCGCCCAAGAAGGGCGCCAAGAAGGAGAGCGCTGCAGTGCGGCGCATGCGCGAGGCCCTGGAGAAGCAGGAGCGCGAGGCCGAGGAGGCCCGCATCGCTGAAGCCGAGCGCATCCGCCAGGTGCCGGCTCCCTCCCTCCCCACCACCTTGCCGCGCACCTCGAACACTCTCCTGTCCTTTACATGGCATATCCAGATGCCAGCCCCAAGGCAGTCAGGCAGCATGCAGGGGCACTGGCAATGACAGTCGCAGCAATGGCGTCGCTGAGTTCCAGTGGGTGAAATGCTCATGTCGTGTGCGCCAGGAGGAAGAGGCGGCCCGGCTGGCGGAAGAGGTGGAGGCGACCAGGGCGGCGGATGCGGAGCGGCGGAAAGCGGAGCGGCTAGCGCGCCGCGCAGAAGCAAAGCGGCAGGGCCTCATCCTCACCGGCAAGGCCAAGAAGGAGGCGGAGCGCCTGGCCGCCATGCGCGAGCAGATCCTCAAGAACGCCAACCTTGATGAAGTTGGTGCGGCCCCTACCCCAACTAGTTGATGTTAGTACCTCTTATGCCATGCCAAGGCCCTTTGTTGTGCATGCTTGAGAGTGCTGGGGAAAGCAATGGTGGGTAATCTTTATTGCGTATGTGCAGGTGAGCAAGAGGAGAGGTCTGCACCAAAGAAGGTGGTGTATGGGAGGAAGAAGTCGGCAAAGAGGCAGGACAGCGGCGAGGCCAAGACGGCGGAGGAGATGGAGCAGGAAGCTGCTGCTGCCAAGGCTGCGCTCGAAGCTCAGCGGCAACAGGTGAGCGCTCCCCCCACTCATGAAGATGCATCATTCGAGTTGCCACATGACACTTCCTAGTCATCCTAAACAGTGTCCTGGGAGGGTGATCTGCTGTCCTGGTGTGCGCAAGGATTCAGTTCATTAAAATGCCTGGAAAAAGAGCACGCCATTGTAATGTGCAGGAGGAGGAGCAGAGAAGGCAGGAGGAAGAGGCCAGGAAGGCGGAGGAAGAGGCGGCTGCGCGTGCAGCAGCGGAGGCACACGTGTCAGAGTCAGAGGAGGACACCAACTGGGAGGACATGGACCTGGATGCAGTCAAGCTTCCTGGCATCGAGGAGGAGCCCAGCCCTGCAGAGGTTGCCAAGAGGGCCGCAGCTGACGCAGCTGCAGAGGTGTGCTCGCACTTGCATGAGAGTATGTTGGCATCAAAGCAGCATTCGGCAAGCAGGGCCTCCTCATGACACGGCACCGCCAACGAGCAATAGGGATGACATGTTGCAGGTCATTATGCATAAAATCCAATGCCCAGAGTATTTCGGTGTTACTGCTCAGGATGATGTATCCGCAAAGAAGTCCAAGGTGGAGGAGGAGCAAGAGGAGGAAGCAGGCTCATCTGAGTTGGAGGACGAAGACAGTGACAGCGACGAGGAGACATCTTCTGACAGCGACGATTCAGACAGCTCCGATGAGGTGAAGATCTGCAACCATCCCTCTCATGCTTGCAGGCTGTGCCAGACCCCAGATGAAGCGTCAGGAACTCTGATCAACATGTCCTTACATTCATTACTTGCGAAAGGGATGGCCCTGTGTCCGTTCACCAGAGATGCTCAGAAGGGGTGGGGTGTATACTGACGTGTTAACTGCGCGTTGCAGGACTCCTCCTCGGAGGATTACAGCAGCTCGGAGGTGGACAGCGAGGAGGCGAGGGAGAATGAGCAGCGGGACCGGCTCAAAAAGGTGCAGGCAGAAGCCAATGCCCGCCTCAAGGCCGCCAAGGAGGCTGGCTCGCGGGACGTCCTGCGCTCTCCAATCTGCTGCATCCTGGGCCACGTCGACACTGGTCAGTCGCAGCTGCCTTTTGCATGCACCCAACCTTTGCGTCAGGAATTTTTCAGCTTGGTAGCCTATGTGACATACCAGTCAGGGAGTCAGCAGTGATTATATGCATGCATGGTGCGGGTGCTCTACAGTGAGTGGTGACAGGGGCGCTCAACGAGTGTGCTTGGGGCTTTGCAGGCAAGACGAAGCTGCTGGACAACGTACGGCGGACGACTGTGCAGGAGGGTGAGGCAGGCGGCATCACGCAGCAAATCGGCGCCACCTACGTCCCTGGCGACGCCATCTGCATGCGCACAGAGGCCCTGCGCAAGGGCAAGGAGTTTGAGCTCAAGCTGCCCGGCCTCCTCATCATCGACACCCCAGGTGAGCGCCCCATTCACATGCCCTATACCTCTTGGTTTCCAGGGCGTTTTGGGCAGCCGGCGCCATGAACATGACACCCATGGTGCCTTTCAGCTGTGTCCTATAAGACTCGTCATGCGGTGGTTGGGCGTCCCAGTGTCTTAAGCTTGTGGTGTCGCCTGGCAGGTCACGAGTCGTTTACGAACCTGCGCTCGCGCGGCTCCGGGCTGTGCGACATTGCCATCCTGGTGGTGGACATCATGCACGGCATGGAGCAGCAGACCATGGAGTCCATCAACCTGCTCAAGATGCGCAACACCCCCTTCATCGTCGCCCTCAACAAGGTCTCTCTCCCCTTACCTGCACCTGTGGGATCTGCTTGCAATGATTTGAGCACCATATACTTCTGAGTTGGCGTGCCTTCCTGCTGCTTGGGCCTGGCATTCATGCGCAAGTAGTTCATCTAATACTGTCCAATAGCGTTGTCCATGGTGGCCAAGATGCGGAGCAAGCAGATCTGACCTGTTGGCATTGTGTCCTGTCCAGGTGGACCGGCTGTTTGAGTGGCAGGCCGTCAAGGACGCGCCGATCATGGAGGCCCTGGAGCGGCAGAAGCCGCATGTGAAGGCCCAGTTTGAGCAGCGCCTGCAGCAGAGCATCCTCAACCTCAACGAGCAGGGCCTCAACGTGGCGCTGTACTGGAAGAACCCGGACAAGAGGAAATATGTCAACATTGTGCCCACGTCCGCCATCTCCGGGGAGGGCATCCCCGACATGCTCCAGCTGCTTGTCCGCCTCACCCAGGTGACCCCCTAAACTGCTGTTTGGGGATTTTTTTCAAGAGGTCATAGAGGTCGCCTTGCTGGTGGCTAGCATGCAGCCGCGTCCTCATCAGCAGCAGAAGCTCTGTGCACACGCATGACACCCTTCCATGCAGCTGCTTGTCGTGTGGCTGTGTGGCTGCTCAGGGGCAACCTCTCTTGAGCACTTACAGACTGGAGTTCTTTATGGTGGTATGATGTTGAATGACGCTCCCGGGGGGTGCCCTGCGCAGGACATGATGTCGGAGCGGCTGATGTTCATCAGCGAGCTGCAGTGCACGGTGCTGGAGGTGAAGGTGGTGGAGGGCCTGGGCACCACTGTGGACGTCGTCCTGGTCAACGGCGTGCTGCACGAGGGCGACACCATCGTCCTCTGCGGCATGAATGGCCCCATCGTCACCAACATCCGCTCCCTGCTCACTCCCCACCCCCTCAAGGTGCGCCGTAGCCCCTTCTGCAGCTCAGCCAATGCAACCTGACACTCTTTTGTACACCAGCAGCCTGCAATAAAGTTCTACGGGAGGCTGGAACCTCTATCCATTGCTGTCTCCAAGCAAGTGGTCATTCTGGGAGTAATTAGGACATGGCTAGGTGCGGCGGCCCGATACTGGGGATGTGGGGGTGACCTGCTGTGCTGTGCTGGCGCAGGAGCTGCGAGTGAAGGGCAGCTACGTGCACCACAAGGAGATCCAGGCAGCGCAGGGCGTCAAGCTCGCTGCGCAGAACCTGGAGACGGCGGTGGCGGGCACGCAGCTGCACGTGCTGCACAAGCCTGAAGACCTGGAGGGGCTCAAGCTGCTGGCCATGAAGGACATGGAGGACATCTTCAAGTCTGTCGACCGCTCCGGTGAGCCCCAGGCCTGCACAATCACGTGCACTCTGTTGGCCTTACGTACTTTATCATTTCGCCTCACCTCTCTGCACGTCAGCCCAACTTGGCGCTGCACAACCGGCATGCAAATATGGAGGGTTGCAGCCTGCAAGTGCCAATGGCTCGCAATGAGCCAGGAGTGACAAGCACATTTTGCCTACTGACATGTGGTCAAATGCTGAAAGGGGTTGTGTTGCTGGCGGCGCAGGGGAGGGCGTGTGCGTGCAGGCGAGCACGCTGGGGTCGCTGGAAGCGCTGCTTGAGTTTTTGCGGTCGCCGGCCGTGAAGATCCCGGTGTCGGGCATTGCGATCGGCCCCATCCACAAGAAGGACGTGATGCGCGCAAGCGTGATGCTGGAGAAGGGCCGCCAGAAGTTTGCGGTCATCCTGGCCTTTGACGTGCCCGTGACCAAGGAGGCGCGCGAGCTGGCCGAGTCCCTGGGCGTCCGCATCTTCACTGCTGACATCATCTACCACCTCTTCGACCAGTTCACCGCCTACCTCAGACAGGCAGGGCTTCCACTTGCTCTCCGCTGCCCCCTGCCCTGCAGTTGAACTTGCTGACACTGATTCAACAAACACAAATACAGGATATGATTGGGGTGACCGTTGCGGACAGAGTAGCGCTGCTAGAATCACCGAGGGCCCATTCACTGCCTATCATTGGTGCAGCTTGGCAAGAGGTGGATTGCGTGAGCATGAGCTGCCGCTTGCGGTCTTAGTTGATGAAGGAATGGTCAGTCATGCGAAAGTGGCAGGGGGTGTCTGAAGCGGTGCGGCGGTGGGGTGCAGGTGAAGGATGCGGAGCAGGAGGCGGCCAAGGGCGATGCGGTGTTCCCCTGCATCCTCAAGATCCTGCCCACCTGCGTCTTCAACGCCAAGGACCCCATCGTGCTCGGCGTAGACGTCGTGGAGGGCATCGCCAAGGTGCGCCACGTTTCTTTCCTGCCGTCTTTTCAAGCCGGCATTCCCGTTGCTCGATTGTCCTGTACTTCCCATGCTGCAGCCGCCACATCCTCTCATGCATTCTTTGTGCTGAAAGGAGAAGTTATGACATCTCCTCTCGCCAGAAGTGAGTGTGCAAATGACAAGCGCTATTTATATCCTGATGAAATATCCTGCGACAAAACGTGACCAGGACACATCCTTCAGAGCTGAGATGTGGATGTGTGGCTGTGCAGGTGGGCACGCCCATCTGCGTGCCTTCTCAGGGCGGCGTGGATTTGGGAAAGATTGCGTCGCTGGAGCTGAACCACAAGCCGGTAGATACCGCGAAGAAGGGCCAGTCCGTGGCCATGAAGATTGAGGCCCAGACCACGACTGAGGCCACCCGCCTCTACGGCCGCCATTTTGACTTCAAGGTGCATGCAACTCCTCCTTCAACAGTGCTGACTTGCTGGGCATGTCTTTAGTACTCATACTTGCTGCCTGGTTTTGTCACGGTGGTGGGCTGTGCCTGCCCTGAGCGGGACATTCGCCTTTGGGAGGGTGTCCAAAGGCATGAGAGAGGACTGAAGTGCTTGCGCTGCGTGCAGGACGAGCTGGTGAGCCGCATCTCGCGCAAGTCCATCAACCTGCTGAAGGATCACTTCAGGGAGGACATGAGCAAGGAGAACTGGCAGTTGGTCATGAAGCTCAAGAAGGTGTTCAACATCGACTGAGCGCCGCACCAGCGTCAGCAACCTCAAAGGCTGGCTGTTTGTAGTACACGATGGGCTGGCCAGGGCTGACAAGAAGTGCAATTTGAGCTGCGAGCAAATTTTGAGCATTTCCAAATAAGAATGTCAGGTTCTTGGCAGGCCCTACTGTTATTGAGAAGAAGTATCTAAGCAAGGCATGCTTTGGACCATGAAGGACATAAATAGCCTAGTAGCTGCTCAATAAGGGACTCTTTCTACGTCGTCAGCAGTTTCTGGCTTCCTGCAGGTCACTGCCATTGGAGAGCTCATTCTAGTTAGGTCTCATCTTGTACGACAATTGCACAGCTAAATGAGACTGAGGGTTTCTATTACCGAGTTGTCAGGCAGCAAAGAAGGCGTCTAGTCTTCTCTGTTGTCTGGCATAACATTTGTAAACCTTACGTATTGTGAGTATACTCACGTAGCTGCCCAAATCAAGTATACTGGTCTTGATTACGCCTATGCATGTGATATTTTAGAGGGGCTGGTCATTCTATCTTACAGTACTGGCATGGCTCTCATGGGCATCCATAGATCTAGAAGCACCCCGCAGTCGCACAAACACAAGAAGTGCATGCGCATGACAGTATCGGAACATTGGCTGGCTGCTGCTCGCAGCCAGCGATAATGCGTGATACTGCCACCTTGAACCACAATTATTCAAACACTGATCGTGGCCACAAAGACGGCACCCTGGCATCTGCAGAGTCTGAGATGGCCATCATGGTGTGGCGCATACGTACGCGCGGTGATCTTTTCACATGCCGTGCATGCAGGTGTGCCCACTTGTGCTTCACGAGAAGGACTTATGCCTGCGTTAGAAGATTTAGCTGCTGTTTGCTGAGCGAGGGACTGTCTTGCTGCTACCACTGGCGGCCCACCAGGCCATGGGAAGTCAACCATGCATGTGGCATTGACTAATAAAGTGAGTCACCTCCAGAATGCACAAGCCTCTCTTTGTGAAGGACATTGTTCACAGACTAATGTACCAAACGGTACTTTGGTGCAAAGTTACCAGACATTGACACTGCAAGACTGGACGACAACAAATACTATAAGGAAAATTCGGTCATGTTTTAGCATGGAATAGATGGCTATCTTGCTGAGGAGACCATCGTCCCTCCAAAAGCACTGGAACATATTGGGATTGTCACGTTTATTATGCACAAGTTCTAGCCTATCCCAGCAATCCCTTGATCTTTCAGAAGGTGGGTAGTGATCTGATGTCTAGACTTCCTTTGTTTCTGGTGTTCACATTTGTATTAATTCTGAAAGTGAGCGTGCGATGCACTTTCGCAAGACGATAATTGCATGTTTGGCTGGTTGCAGAGGTGCAACGATTAACTGCTATCGAGCGTGAAGGTGGAGGCTCGCGTGTAGCAGCACGCCTCAGAAAAACCGGCCGCACACCTGCAATATTGTTTTCTCTGCCTCAGAACGAGTCTAGACTCATATCAGTGGATTCCAAAGAAGCCACGTCTTTGGTAAGGCACCTGTATGTTGAGGAGGCGCTGTCTCTATTTCGAGAGGAGGAGGTTCAGTGCTCATTGATGGTCATGGATGTGCAGGTCAGAATACATGGAAGGAAGGGATTGCTGAGTCGAATATTTCAACTGGACCTGGCAGTGCCAGATAAGCCTGTGCAATCCTATCCAGTTCTGGTATGACACCCTTGGCATGCACTGATGTGCATGCTGCGGACCGCATGTCGTGTCTTGTTAATTGAGCGGGTTTCAAGTGCCCTCAAATGACTGTTGTTTGTGGTTGCTGCAGCCGAGGCTTGTCCATATCAACTCTGTGACTGATGAAGTGGAGAACATTACCTTGATGCACTGTCCACCAGATCGGATGGTCACAATTGCCGTTCCAATAAAGGCAAGTGCCTGGAAATTTTGGAGCATTTCCATGCAAACTATGCCTTGCATTTTGTCCTGTCTTGAAGCATGATAATTAGATGCCAGGCATTGAATTGTGCATGCGCATGAATGTGCAGATTGTGGGCGAGGAATTGTCTCCTGGGATAAAGAAAGGAGGACATCTAAACCTTGTGCAGAGGACTGTGAAATGCATGGGTCCTGCCTCGGCAATTCCAGAGTCCATTGAGATTGACATTTCATCTCTTGATTTTGGCCAGCGCATCTACCCATCTGGTGTTGCCATTCCTCCTGGGGTCTCAACCGTGGGGCTGGTGAGTGGACATTCCTTACAAGCTTTTGCTTGAAGATTATGTTATCTGCTTTCGCTGCTAAATATACATGTGCGCTGTTGCAAAGTGAATTTGCACTGCAATGCAGGTGGCGGGGCAGCCGCTTTGCAAGTTGGCTGGCCGTGCCGCACGAGACTGATGACAAATGTGGTCTGCGAAGTACTGCCACTGGTTTACTACTTCACTAATTTAGACCTCATCCTGTCGTAGCATGCCTTGTCATTGCGTTCTGCAGTTCACATGACAAACTTATAGCTGTGTGCAGATGCTCCAAGATGACAGTATGTCACACAGTAAGCAGATTGTGATGGCATCCTTACATGCTACCTGCTGACATGCTCCCATCACAACTGTAAAGTTACATTGCTGTCCACAGTTCAAGACCTTTCCGCCTGCCTGTCAGCGTCATTTATCAGGGAAACAAATAGCTGTAAGAAGTCATCAACGGTCAACGTTTCTGCACGAGCTGTGCTCGCAATCCTCAGAGCTGTCAGTTCTTTTATTACAGCGTCCGGTGAAAACCTCACTTTCAGGTTGTTCACAAGCGTTTTGCGCTTGGATACAAAAGCTGCACTAACAAAGTCCAGAAACTCTTGCTCTCCAGCGCCATGCAGCTGGTCGGTCTTTGAGGCAAGCGCAAATTCCGTGAAAGCTGAGTCAACATGCGGCTCTGGAAAGAAAGCGTTCCTGGTGCAGGGAAGTATGCTATCAGAGGCAACCTTCAGAATGAGCAGCACTCCGCACGTGACCCTTTGGGAATCAGATGGGCTCGACAATCAATCAGTTCAAATTTCAGGCAGCTAAGATTGGTGGGCCACACCTGCCGACTTTGAATGAGTATCTTGGGTTGGCATAGAAATTGATGAGCACAGATATAGCCCTGCTCAGATACCAGACACATATATCAGTCAAACCTTTGACAGTTGCAATGCAGTCTTACACGACCAAATTGCAAACAGCCGGAGTCCATGCAGGCACCAAATGTGTTGACTTGATTGTATAGTGCAATTCCCTTCTTACCTGTAATCTTTGTCTCCAGGTCTAGCCTCAGTCAACCGCCTCGCTGCCCCATCCTGAAAGGGTCAGGAGACATTTAAGCGATGCTGATGGCATTGACGTGTGCTGATCAGGCTGCTTGAGTGTAAGCAATAAATTGATGGATGGCTCCAATAGACTTCGCACCTCTAGTAGGAGGTGCACATGTGAAAGCTGGTGTTTCAAAGGCAACATCATCTTCAGCACATCTGCGCAGGACAGCCCACTCTCGTCATCTCAGCGGTGCGAAAAATTTCCGATGCAAACTGCAGGGTGCAGATTGTATCAGCCACGCACCAGAAGTGATGTTGTATGGTATATTGGCCACCACTCTGACAGAGGGCTGTTCACTGTCCCCTTTGAAATCATCCAGTATCTGCCTGATATTCTTGAGCAAAAGAACATCGCTGTGTATGAGAGACACAGCAGGCTCCTGTCAAGCACAGCAGTTCTCATGCTATAGAAGATGCCTACACAGGATGGTCCAAAGCTGGTGATAAGATTATACTTTAGTATGAGGTTGGGGATGTGCCTTTGCAAACTTCTGTTGTAGGTGCCCATAGAGGACGTCGTCCTTCTCAATGGCCAGTACTGAAGCCCCGCAATCGAGGAGGCAGTCTGTCAAGGATCCCAATCCTGGTCCAATCTCCAAGATTTTGTCACCCCTTCTTATCTTTGCAGATGCTATGATCCGCTGGAGGACCTCCTCTGACGTGACGAAATTCTGGCCTAGTGACCTGCACATGCACCACTTCTTATTGAGGTCTTGGCAGCTTGACACAATTTATATTCTACAAAACTGCTGCATTAGTAATACCTTTTTGGGTTTATTCTCAGTAGTCTGAGTTCCTTCTGCACAGTGTCGGCCAGTCTAGCATGCACCCTCAGACAAGCAGTGGCGTTCGTTCGCACGGACACTGGGACCAGTCTCCTTACCAATATACCATGACACATCAAAGCTGAAGATCGAGGTCTATTGCTGCCCGGTTATCGTGTCGGAAGAGCACTTTTCTTGAGGAGCACGTCATCACGTGCAAGCAGATTACCAGCACATGCGATTTGACATGCGACACTTCTGACCTTCTGGTCTTCGCCGACCAGGGCCTCCTTCAGATTTGAATTACGGCTTCATGAGATCGTGATGCTTGCGAGACGCGCTCTCGCTTTGTGGCGCCGCATCGCTGGCACTTCACTTTCTGAGAATCTGAACAACTGCAAACCCTTTTGTGCACCACATAGCACCAGCGCTAGCACGCAGGAGAGCTTAGAAGAAATCCGAGCTCGTATTTTTGGCAATCATATCGGTAACAATCTTCGATCTGGGAGGAAGTTGCTGAGAAAGAGGCTCATTGGGGAGAAGGTGGCGAGCTACTATCCTGAGCCCATCTCGAAAATCGATCCCATGTTCGTTGACATGGATCTGGAAAGGTACGAATATCACGTCTTGCAACGTGTATGCCTATTGCAATTTCGTGTTATAGCAGCGGCATGTGGGTCTTGATGCTGTGACTTTGGTGGGACTATTGCCACTGCTCACTGGTTCACCCCGATGCTTACCAGCCCCGATGCTTACCAGGAAAAAGATGAAGTTAGATAAGCTCAAACGCCGTGGAAAGGCCCCACCGAAGAAGGGACAAGGAAAGCGAGCCACAAAGGCTAAGAAGCGCTGAGGAGTGAGGAGAGTCAGGGAGTTCAAAGCCTTTGCCTCGCAGTAGACAGCCTGCTTAGCTTTCTTCGAATGGTACTTGTCGAAACACACAAAATATATCACGATTCATAGCTATGATATCTTCAAGGCAGAAAGCAAATCCAGTGCTTCATTTGCTAGACAGCGGTTGCCATCATCATGAGTCCGCAGGCCATTGAACCTCTGGGGATCTGTAGGCTTCCAGTCAAATGGCTAATGTGTGGTGATTGGGCAAGCTGTTCATGCGATGCTTGACGAAATTTCTGTCAGCATGGGCTTGATGGCGTTGGACCTCTGCATCTCGAGACCCTATCACTGGCAAAGCACAAGTGGCTGCAAACATTTGATAATTGCAGCTGACAGACTGAATTGTAATGTTTGGTAATAAATATTTCCTGGGTCTGGAAGATCCAAAAGTATAGCCTGCAGCTTCGTTCATAAGAGTTCCTTATCAATATTGTTCATGGTTTTGGTTCCACTTGCTACCGGAAAATGGCAAATTGAGATACGGTGTATCAAGCCGTCGATGTCTGCATGCCCATTGCGGTATCAATTTTCACTTTCCTGTCCTGAGCCCTCTTCAGATCAATCTCTCTGTCATGCTTGGCCAGCGCAGTGTCCAGCGCCAGCCGCAGCGGCTTCAGGAGCTGTGTGATGTGCATGCGCTCAATTCCCTGGGATGACTCCTGCAGTGCAAGCAACTAGATGCGTCAGAGGCAGTCGCAAATGAGAAACTTCACTATCTCCAATTTACCGCAACATCCTGGGCAAATGCAGGGAGAACAAATATTGTTGTGATATGTGGAAAGTGTCACAACCGCAAACACCTGGTACTTTCCTCAGCTCGTACGTTGATTTAAACCGCAAAACAGAGGAAGCGGGGGGCACCTGCATGGCAGTCGTGCGGTCATATTGGTCCGCCAGCGCCTTTTTGAGGCGCAGCGCCCTGGCCTCGCGGGTGGCGCTGCTGAGTGGGAACGCCGCCCAGAAGTGCCGCAGCAGCTCATTCACCGTCAGGCACGCCTCGCGCAGCACCGCCTCCATCTGCGGCGACAGGTTCTCCTGCGGCGGCCCCGACGCCGCCCGCAGCGCGTCGTCCAACCCTGGGCCGGCCGCGCCGCTCTGCGCTGCCACATCGGCCAGCGCAGCCTCCGCCGCGCGCGAGCTCACCGGTGCATTACTAATCCCGGCTGCCCGCAGAGTCTGCACGGCCTTCAGCGCGTCGGCGCTCGTCCTTCGCCGGCCCGGCGCGGCGGCGGGGGCGGTCGCGCCGGCGGCTCCCGGCGTGGCGTCGTAGCAGCGCTTGGGGTCCTGGATGCGCAGCTCCGCGAAGCCGGCCGTCCAGGGCTTGCGCAGGTCGTCCAGCACCAGGCTGCTGGCAGCCTCGCCCGCATCGCCGCTGCTCGCGGCGGGCCGGCCGGCATCCGGGGCCATGCCGGGCGTGGGAATGCCGTCCAAGACCACCGCCGCGTGCTTGTTGATGTCCCGGATCATGTTCCTGTTCTCGGGCGCCTCTGTCTCTGATGGCATCGAGTCCTGGGTGCATAATCCAGGTTTTGTACAGCATTGAGAGGCACATGCAGCTCTCTTGACATCATATTCAATCTTTCAGAGCCTTCATAAGGACAGCAATGTCTTTCCTCACCCGGTCAAAGGAGTCAGCTGCAAGGTTGACGGTGGCATTGACAAACTGCAGCCTTTTCTGGGCTTCCCTGAAGTCCAGCTCCTCGTCCATGAACTCCTTGTAGGGGTCCTCAAGATCGTCTCCTGCTCCCCTGCCCTGGCGCTTTGCCTGACAAGTCAAGCACTCAAAATTATCAGGCCGCCCAGATAGCCCACCCCTTGTGCTCAGACAATAGAGATCACGTAAGTCATTTTTTTAACAGAAGGCACACCTTCCTGGCCACTTCATAGTTGAAGTAGCGCTCCCAGAACTCCTTCTCACTCAGCCTCTCAGGGACCATTGCCGTGTGAGCCCGGTGCAGGTGCGGCTTCTCTGCAAAGAGCTGCCGGACAATCTCTGGGGTGAGGCTCAGTGTCACCTGCAAAGAGCGTCCCGATGTGACCCCTACTTTCGGTGATTTTGCTCACGAACTTCCTGATGAAAGAGCTTGTTCTTCAAGGGGTACAGCAGTAAGAGTGCTTGCCTTGCGGCTGCCACCCTCGCCGGCCTGCTCAGAGATCATGGCAGTCTTGAAGCCGGCCTGCTGCCTCGCGTCCCGGCTGCCTCGCAAGCTCTCCCTCAGCAGGTTCTGGCGCCCCTTCCAGAACTCTGCCTCGCTCAGGATCCCGCCCACAACCAGCTGATTGTACAGCTGCTGCAGGTCCCTGATTGACAATCACATGCTCCTTGGACACATTTCTTACGCTCAGAGAGGATGCGTTCCTGTCAAAAATTTGCACTTGAGGTTGGAAGGCAAAGCTGCACTCCTGAGCAAAGGAATCAGGCACCTGTCCTCCTGCAGCAGCTTCTGCTTGAGGGCAGCCTGGGGACCTTGCAGGCCAGAGGCTGGCTGCTGCGGGTCAGTCATGGGCGCCTTTCCCTTGCGCTGTGCCTCCTTCAGGATGGGAGTGATCACATCCACGGCCTGATCCCGGTCCACTTCTGACTCGAACTCAAAGACAAGCGGGCGGTTGGGCACAGGTACTCGCAGCAGCGGCTTGCCCTTGGCTCGCTGCAAGGAATCTGCAATGAAAGGATGCGCTTCATCAGTTCGTGATGCACAAAGGATTACCTCCAGCTCATTTCTGCAACAATTTATTTGTCCATCCTGGAGAGCCACGGCTCAGATCATCACCTGGGATCGTCTTGATGTCGACATACACTGGCTGGCTCTGCGTGGGATCGTGAGGCGCCCAGCACATCTGTGTTTCGGTCACCGTGAGCACGCCAGGCACCTTCAACTCCTTGCTGACGGTGAATTTGACCCGCTTGACAAGCAGTGACATGCTGCCATCTCTGCCATCCATTCTGTACGCAATGCTTTCCGCACATAATCAGTATGGGCATAGCAGGTTGCTACAGCATCTACATTAGAAATGAGTGGCTCACAGCAATGCTGGGAGTTTATCTCAAAACGAGATGCAAACTAACTGATGGTTTTCCCCTTGCATCTGGGTTTTCTCGACAGCACTCCTCAACTACCGCACTGATCTTCCCAGATACATCCGATTTGCTTCTTTGTAGCAGAAGAAGAAAGAAAGAAAGAAAGAAAGAAGAAGAAGAAGAAGAAGAAGAAGAAAGGAACGCAGAACAGGAGACCCCGGGGGGGACCCCTGCCACGTGCGTACGGGCGCAGCAGTGAAGCTACGCTTCTTTGTACAAGATGTGATGGGATTCGCGTCCGTATGATGCATGTGTGCCGCCGACTGCCTCCTACGGTTGTGAGGTGTGGGGCCTGCGCAGCCTTCCTGGTGGCGACAGCCGGCGGGGCCGGGCTGCCTTGGCCTCCTCTCACCTGAAAATTCTGAGAGACATTGCTGGCGTCCCCACCTCTGTGCATGGTGCCATCTTGCTTAAGGAGTTGAATCAGCAGACCCTTGATTGTGTGTGGTGGCGGCGCATTATCAAGTTCTGGAACAATTTGGCTGCCTTGCCTGCAAATAATTTTCACAGGCAAGTGGCCCTTGATGATTGTTGGGATGCCATAACCCGTAATGTTAAGAATTGGGCTTGGGCCTTCATGCGGGGCTTGCGCCGAATTGGGTATGAGTTTGTTATTCGGTTTGACACCCTTGTTCCTGTGGAAGTTGATGCTGTGATGCAGCTGCTAGATGCGCAAGCACTGCAGGTTTGGGATGACATTGACATTTGCCCTAGGACCTGCCCGTCCAGCAATGCCACCTTGTGTACATATCACAGATGGTTTGCTAGGCCAGCTTGTGTGCGCCACCCTTGCCAGCTCTTACAGCAGCCTTTGAGTGCCCGTTGCTTGCGTATACTGTTGAAGTTCAGGATGGGTTGTCATAGTCTGCCCAATGTCTCGGGCCGCTGGGCAAGGATTCCCCGGCCCCAGCGTTTGTGCATGCGTTGTGCCCAGCAGGTTATTGGGGATGAGCGCCACCTTGTGTTTGAGTGCCCTGCCTTGCAATCTGTTCGGGACAGATATCCTGGGCTGTTTGGTGCAGCCATTGTGACGATGCAGCAATTCATGTGGCAGTTGGACATTGTTGGTGTTGCACATTTTGTGATGGATTGTTTTGATTATTTGGATGCTGCCAGTTCATCCAATCAGCCCTAGGCGGCTGGAGTGATGTAATCTTCCTTCCTTCCTTCCTTCCTTCCGTGGGAAAAGCAGGATGCATATGCAGCATGTGGCCACGTGCTAGCATGAAGCTACCTATCAGCTGCAGGGAAAGCAATGGTTACACTTCAGGGGGGCTGTACTAGAAGACAAGCGGACGGCAAGGCCCAGCGCGCGCTTTGGCCCATGTGCGCAATTAGGATCGATGATCTGTTGCTTCTGGTGCACTTTGCAAGGTACTTTCTAGGGCATTGTCACAATGATTACTACCATCAATGATGGGCATTTTCCGCTCCTTCTGACACTATTAGCACACGCCCACAAGAAATACTGGTGTACAAAGGCTGCCAGCAGGCTGCCTGCAGTGCATGCATTGCCAATGCAACTGCACAAGATGGCAATTAAGCACAGTCTCAACTGATACACAAAGTAGCACAACGAAACCAACAGGCTTCCAGGCAATGTTACATATATGAAGCCATCAAATTAAGAACTCCACTGCTTTACGACAGGTTCTTCCACCGCGGCCGCCGAGGTGCAGCCAAGCCAAAGCCGGCTCCACCAAATGGACCGCTGCCGCGCGTTCCCGAGAAGCCGAGGAAGGGGTGCGGCAGGCGGTCAAAATCGCCGCCTACCGCACCGGCGGGAAAGTATGAGTGCGGCACCACCAAGTGCGGGCCTGTCCCTGGATAAGGCAGCCTGGGCTCGTGTGCCATGCGCCTGCAGCAATACAACTTGATCAGCACTTCTTAATATCACCAGTGCAGTACCCACTGCAACTGTTTGGCCTGCACCTTGTTCTGTGGCCCTGATCACTTGGCATCATATTGTCAACAGCAGATGGAAGGGTATGAATGTGCACCTGCGCTGGCGGCGGCGCCGTTCGCGTTCGGTCCAGCGCGCGCCGAAGGCATGCATGAACGCGCCGGTGCCGGGGAGCAGGCCGTCCGCAGGTGATGGCGCACCGAACTCGGCCACGAGCAGCGGCTCCCACAGGACTTCGCTGCTGGCCACGTGCCGCAAGTCCCTGCTCGCACACGCCAGCGCCGCCAGATCGCGCGCCTGCATCCCCAGACCAGCCATACCAAGATCAAGATTGCTTTCGTCTGCAAGGCACCTTGCAGTAATTTTGGACTTCGAGAGTGTTCACCACACTGGTGTGCTCACAACTCCTGGTCCCATAACAGAATTTGAGCATCAGAGCTATGTTGCAATTGGTGGCACGGAGGGCTGAGTATTGGGAGCATCTCAAGCTTGAGCAGACCTGGAGGTGGCGCAGGCAGAGCAGCTTGAGCTCGGTGGGCAGGAGCTGCAGGGAGGGTGGAGGCTGCCTGCCCTCCTCAGCGCACAGCGCAATGAGGATGGGGTGGATGAAGCCGTCCTTGAGCCGCATGTACAGACCGCTGAGGTCTCTGGCGCTCAATCTTGGCTCGCTGCCTGACTTGCCTGGCTGAGAGTGTATATAGTCTACGGCTGCTATGCTGATGTGGGACATCCTGCCGCTGGCTGTAGAGCCCCAGACGACCAGGCTACCCCCGAAGGTCACATACTTGACAGTGCATGGGGCGCGCATGGCTGATGGCTCATCTCCAGGGAGCGTCCGGAGCACATACTGTAACTCGCTTCCAATTGTGGGTGGGGGTGCCGCATCATTGCTCTCTTCCTGCGCAGGCATGAGCAGCGTGATGTTGAGTCTCTTGTTGCCACTCCAAATACATGTTATGCAAAACGCATGCAAGGAGAAAAGCTGGACAGCTCGTGGTGTTGCAGACCTGTAGCAGCTCAAGGCCAGACTCCAGCAGTGCAGCGTGTACGAGCCAGCGAAGGGCCTCCAAGGGGCAGGAACTAACAAAGGTCATGCTCGAGCTCTGCTCATTAGCAGCAGCTGTCGTCTTGTCTCCAGGTGAGGCAACTGAGCTGCTCGCTCCTTCAGGGAGGCCTGCCCGTGAAGGCGAGGCATCAGGTTGGGCGGTGACCATGACCCACAGGAGGTCGCCGCTGCGCAATCCCAAGGACTTGACAGAAGCTTGAGATTCTCCACAAAGCTCGTCCTGAAACACAATAGTCCTTCCCAGTCAGTACAACACTTCCCTTTCTTGGGCATACTTGCGGCACTACGTTAATCGCTGGTCTGTCACTACATGCAGAAGTCACATAAGCTCTCCTGGCACCTTTTTGTTCAGAGAGAGCGTGAAGTCTCCAAGATTATTTGCCTTGAGCAGTTCCTGCACAATTTGTGATTGCAGCTGCTCCAGCGTGCAGTCATCATCGAGGCGTATGGGGATCGAGGATGACTGCACCGAAGTACCGCAAAGCTTCAAACGCAAGCGCATGTTGTCCTAGTCAGGATGATGTGCCTCAAAAGGCCAATATTTCGATCAATGATGGGTTAGGTACGATTTGTCAGATATATTGGTCCGCAATCAGACAAATATCTACGATCTTTCCATATTTCTTCATCAAAATTTGCTTCCTTGCCCTGTGTTGGGCAATTTGCTCAGGAACGCCTCCGAAACCTGGATCTCCACCTCAAGCGGGGGGACCTATCCTGTGAGCCGCAGGAGTTTCCCTGTACTTGAACATTGAAGCTCTCAAGGTATGCAAGGCAAATTGACGTAGAGACATTTCTAGAGAAGGGATCTACCAGTCGGTGCTGAAGTTGCGGAAGATCAGGCTGCCATCATGCAGGCCTCAGCTTTCTTTGGCGCTCGCATGACCTCAGGTCTTGTTGCCAGCAGACCCAGCTCGGGAACACCTTGCCGCCAGACAACAACATGCATGGCAAAGAAAAAGGGTGCGCCTTCTGTTTAAATGCAGATTGTCTTCTGGAATCGTGTGAACTTACTATTAATGACGTGGGTGACCTCATTTTTTTGCAGGAGTTCGGTGCATTGTGACGCTGGAGTGCACTGAGGCAAGGAAAGAAGGTGGCACACCGTCAAGATACACAACACAGAAGGTAGTGGCCGCTGAGATTGGATCCAGTCTGGTGCATCCATTACAGTATGGACCTGTATGGGTACAGGTGTGCTTAAAGATCTGTCAAGTCTGCAGGTTTTGCGATTGATTTGGTTCTGTGAGTGCAGAACCGAAAGAACACATCGGAGAGGTTAGAGCTGAAGAAGTACAACAAGTTTCTGCGGAGAGTTACGGTGAACACCCCTTTCCTTGTTCAGCCTCATACATGCTGTTGCTCTTCACGAGGATCACAGGCAGTGGCTGTCAGGCACATTTGTGATCCTGAACTTGATCCGGGTTGGACAGGTGCACAAGGAGATCAAGTGAGGCAGGACGGACTATGATGCAGCGAGTTCACCCTTCAGCCTGCTCAGGCAGGCACAACTATGTGCAACAACAAGCAGATCAAGCAAAACAACAGAACGGAAATATAGTGTTTCCAAAGTTGTCTGCACTTTCATAATTTGCCTGTCCCACTTTGGGAGAGCGGTTGCAATATAGAGGTCTGTGATACAAACAGTACGATATCAATTGTTGACAACCTGCTCAGACATTGCTCAACGATGAAACAGTAGCATCAGCAGTACTTGGTGCAACTTGCCCTCAATGCAGGTCAAGCGTTGTAATACTGGTAGATTGCAGTAGTCACTGCAGAGACAATCGTTGCAACGCTCCTCACTCTCTGAAGTATATTGTTATTTGGGGAGGCTGCAGTGCGGTATGCAGAAGGCACACGACGAGTGGCAGCACTGGGTGAAAGTGGTGTGCCACAAGCTGCTTCAGTTGGCGGCTAGACTGCTGTGGAGGGGTTGCCAGCAAGGGTTGCACCTGGACCCACACAGTTCTGTCAAGCATTGCAGAACCTTTCTGGGCGTATCTAAATTGTCCTCCAGGCATGCATCCATTTGCACGGGCTCCCCTGTTTTCAACAACGAGACCAAACAAAACACTCTGAGGCATGTGTATAGAGCAGAGGCGCACCTTGAAGCGCGAAGCGGCAGGGTGCGCTCTGGACACGAACTTCAACGGCTGCTCTGTGTAGCCGCGCATCTTCAGCGTGGCAGAGATGAGCTTGTCATCATACGAAAACAAATTCGCGTCCAGGAAGGGCGATGTGCACAAAGCCTGCGCCGTTGCAGGCACATTTGCCAGGATCCTGCGCACTACCTGCTCCCCCACAGCTCCATTATATGACTCATGCATATGCAAGTTCTCTCACATTATGTCCATTACAAACCACCACACTCAACACTGTTGGCATGGCAGACACTGAAAGCTGCACTTACCTCAAATCGTTATTAAATGATAACACGACCTGCTGATGATAAATCCTTCTTCCTCATACATTCAGCAGCATGCGGTGCTGATCCAGCTAGGAAGAGCTTAGCCCTCCTCATGCAGAACAGCATATCAAAAAAATAGGAGCGGGGTGCGCTCACCTGGCTCTGCGACCAGGGCTGGGGGGATTGGGGGTCTGGCAGGTGCAGGCTGGCAGGGCAGGGTGTCAGGAATCGCGCCCAGGGCTGGCTCATGCAGGCGGCGTGGAAGTAGGGCGTGTGCTTCAGGTACAAGCCCAGCAGCGCCTCATTCTTGTTGTCATAGAATCCCACCACCTGGCCCGAGTCCCGGTCATACACCACCAGAAAATACGCCTGCACCACAGTCGGTCAGTCAAACTACATCCTTGCAGCCAACTCGGGTCCAACGCGATGCCTGACTCCATTAATCACCGTCAGCGCCCAGCATGATATCCGTCTCTGCAGCGCTTGTGTGATCACGTGCCGCTCAGCTCGCAGTCAGCAGGCATCTTGCAAAGGCGGATTGCTTCAAAAGTTACTATCAAACACATTGGCAACACAATTTGCGTAATAGTAAGTCATGCATAAAAGACGGCTGGACGTACGCTGTTGGATCGGACTTGGGTGGCGTTGCGCAGGCCCATGCTGAGCAGCAGCCGGCTCCTGTCAAGAAATTGCACCTGCGCAGCAGCACCCATTTCAATTTTTCTGCACCACAACTTCAAAAGCCTCCTTCTCCCTGAATCTCCCTCTCGAGTAAAGAAAATCCTCACAGGAGTGACTTTCATGGTGAGGCACCTAACTCATTGAGCAGCACCCACCTAAGTATCGAAGGCGGGGTTTCCAGACACAAGCAAGATTTTTCCATGCATGCTTCATACTGGGCCCTAAGAACTTCCCAGGACGTGCTTGTTTTTTGACAATGGTCCCACACATCCACCCCATCCCATGCAGGTGCCAGAGGGCACTGTGATGGGACGCTGATGGGCAAGTGGCGAGGTGCCAGAGTACTCGATTTCTTTTACCAACGACGTTGGTGGCAACATTTCTCCGGTGATTGGTGGATTCGGCGGCTCAGGCGGTCAAGATAGACTCATGCAGCCCGCCGAAATGAGACTTTTTGGAAGGCACCGAACCTTCCAGATCACGAGAGTGGCGTAGGCTTCGAAGGAGTAGAAGAAGCGGCGCAGCGCATCGGACGGCGCGCGGCCGTCACGGTAGCGCTCCAGGAACAGGAAGGCCAGGATGCGCTGCGTGATGCCCTCTACCAGCGCGCTTCCCTCAGGCGCCGCCGCTGCCGAATGTACTTCCTGCTCCGGTGCTGCAGCGCTGCCTGCACGCGCATGGACACCTCATATCTTAAGACCGGCTTGGGTTACAAGGGCTCGCAATGCTCTTGTTCACGAGTTCTGACGGCTTTTGAGGTAAGGGGATTCTAGGCCAATGCAGTGCATACAACTACAGGTGCAGCATGGACAATGAAATTCTGATGCAAAGGCAGGGGTTGCTGGAGATCAAAAGTCGGGCGTGTATTTGAATTGCAGGGAGGTCAGCACACAGACCTGCTCGCTGGAGTAGCATGGGGACCGGTGGCCGAGTGGCGGCCTCTGGCTGTGTAGGCGCCTGAACCGCTCCAGGTGCGCCTTGCGCCGCATCGGTCCTGCACATAATTGAGAGGCTGTGACTCCAGTGATGCACGCAGATGTCACAGCCCAAGCAATTGGCAACCCGGAAATCATGGGTGTGATGGTCCAGAGCATACCTTGGAGCTGCCTCATTTACTGCAGCAACCCCTCTCGCAGCGTTTGCCAAACCTGCGCCACCTGCACCTTCTCTTGCAGGAGGCGGAGCGTCGACAATTCCCTACAGCAGAAGACTGCATCCTCAACATCCCAAGAGTTTTGGTTTGGATCGCTGAATAGCTGCCACACTACAGGGCAAGGGCAGGGAAAGCACGTGCCTGAGAGCTGCGCCAGAGCTGCTCGGCATGAGCCTGCTCTGAAAGGTTGAGTTCGTCGTCGTCCCAGCAGTGCCTCCCAAACTGCTGCACCTTCACCATCCGCCCTCCCGGCAGCACTTGCAGCAGGTGCACCGCCTGCCCATGTATCTGAGACACCACTCCAGCCATCAGGTGAATGCCCGCAACGTTGCCCGCATGCCCGCCCATGGTATAATCAATGACCTACGGGCCTAATTGCTGCCATGGCCTAATTGCATGCCATTGCTATCTGCTGCCATCATCACTCACCGTGAGGATGGCCAGGAGATCATCGTGGAGGTACACCCCACTGTTGTTGCTCAAGTGGATGCAGTCATTGCTGATCGAGTACCTGTCGCACACGGTGCCGTCTTCCAGACGCACCTGCACCAACATGTTCATTCGTAAAGGCAGAGCCCAATTTACTGAGTGCGAGAAATGAGCGAGATGGTGGGGAAACTCACCAGGTGGAACGTGGTAGAGGCATACACGGGCACGTTCTGCACGACGCTGTCCCGGGGATAGGCTGCATCTGTGCTGCTCAGCGGCACAGTGGAGGATGCAAGGATCAAATACTGCTCCCCATGGGCCACCTGCACCGGCTCACCTGTCGTCTTCAGAAAGTCTGCAGATGGTGATAGAGGCATATTATCAAAATTTCCCCCCATGTCAGGATGTAGTAGAGCTGGTGGGCTCACCAGGCAAAAGTCTTTGATCAAGCTCTCCGCCCCGTGGGCAACCAGTCGGCGGTAGTGCACCTGGAAGAAACTGCACCACAAGTTCTTCCAGTCAGTAGCGAGCCCAATAGTCAAATAGTGCTCTGCATTAATTGGCTATGCGATCTGTAGTAGGCAGACCTGTCAAAGCGCAATTCTCTGGATGGTGCTTGACTCTCTGAGTCCCCCGGTAGGGACACTCCATAGCCCAGACATCTGTAGACCACCAGATCATGCAGCAGGGCATCAAAGCAGACCTGCATCAGATTTTGTGAGAAGGGTTTACTTGCGCTTTTGTCAGGACCCAACAGGTGCTAGCAAATCCAGCGCCAGTAGAGCTCAGAGATGAGGACCTACCAGAAATTCGCCTTGTCCCACGAATTTGCAGAAATGATCCTTGAAAGTCTCGGTGTCAGTAGCCTGCAAGCCACAGACTTTTCAATGTGCAACACTATGAACATGAATAGCATGACACTCAGTTGTTTATTATTCATTGGGAACGTACCACAGCCTGTGGACCAAGTGATTCGTAGTATCTGCGCACCGAGCTCACCTGGTATATCACACAAGTTAGCAGGAGCTAGAAAGACACGCTGAATGCAGAGGAAAGATTTTGCGAAGCTTTTCCTATGGTCTACTATATCCAAATCGCTCACCGAGGTTCCTGTTGCGAAAGAATACAATTGACGATTCCTCAGACGATGTAGGAGGTTCAAGGGTTGTTTAGCAAGCATAAGGTTGACGATCGTTTCTGGTCATCTGCGTTGGAAGGACTTCTGGGTCAAATGGACGAATACTAACCGACATACTTCTCTCAATAGACTCGATATTATTTCTTTCAGAGGAGTATTTTGTTCAGATGCCGAAACACAGTCTTGGGACTCGATAGTGAGATTGCACTTGGCCACGTACTTCTTCCTTGAATTCGAATTTTGAATCGTCTTTTGAAGTTTGGACAACAACAGTGACAAAGATGTTCAGTCCTTCCCCAGATTTGCAGTCTTAAATCTCCTTTGGCCTTGAACTCACAGTTTCATTGTTTATAAACTTCCTTAGCTCTGATCACCCAACATATGCATGCAAGTACATCAGCATGCCGCATGCGCACCGGAGGGTACCCATGTGACTTTGGAACATCCTCCGCAGAGACTTCCGTTGTGAGGAGCATCCACTCTGATTATGATCTGCTCTCGAGGACGGGTTCACTTTCTCACATGTGATTCAGCTGCCATTCATTGCATTGAGGTAGCTACCGACACTTGCGGAGGTACCACCGATGGCAAACTTTGGAATTTGAATGCCACAGCAGTGCTACTGTGCAATTGCAAAGCTCCGAGCGTCTCCGACAAAAGTCATTAAATGGCTTAATCTTGGCTGCTCATCTCGGGATACATTTCACACCAGCGTTCTTGAGCAGGAATCATTGCACTTGAGATCACTGGATCAAGCATGCCAGTGAAATGCAGAGCTCTACATATCTGCTGCCGAGTTGCCTGACATCTACTGCTCCACAGCTACGGCAGAGAAAAAGGCTCGCATGAGGCTTCCGGGACCTCCTGCTGGCATGAATGGAGTCCAGGCATCATCCTTGAGGGAGTACATCTCCATGGCAGTATTGTAATTCTGCATATTTGAGGCGAGCCCTCCAAACGCCAGTGCCTGTGCCACGCCACAGACCATACGTCAAGAACAGGTCAAGGGCGGCCCATCCCCACTACGGCAGCCTGACAAGACAAGCATGCAGGGTCAACAGGAGGCTATCCTCCTCTCCGCCGGCCATTGACAGAAGCCGGGCTCACTTCAGAAGACTGGCCAACACAGGCAGGCCAGAGAAGAGATGATTGAGACAGCAATTGTTTGGGGTAGGATTATGGCAGCCTTGAACTGCAGCTTGTCTGCGCGACGCACCTTGCCTCCTGGCAGGAAAATAATGTAATGATAATAATGCTGATTTGTTTGTTGGGAAGAGGGGAGCAGAACACACTGCACCTGGTCAGCATTGACAGCGACTCCGCCACCAAAGGCGCGCCCGGCTGACATGGACGCTGCCGGCCGCCATTTGCCGGAGCGCAGGTCGAGCACTTCGCAGGACGCCACGCTCTCCGAGCCATTGAAGCCCCCGATCGCCAGCAGACTCGTCTCCCCCAGAGTGCACACTGCAAAGCTGCCGCGCCTCGATGACATGCGCGAAGGCAGTGTCATCCACCTGCACCGAGCAAGAAGTCTCAGGTCTGCAGGACTCATGAATGCTTTTGAGTAAGGTATGAGAGTGCTGCACGTTGCTCCGCGGCTGTTGCTTGCAAAGGATCATCTTGAACAAGTAAGGATGCTCTGAAGAGAGCGGACAGTAGAGCTGACCTGCCCTCCCTTGGGTCAAAGGTCTCTGCAGTGTCCAGGTACTCAGTGCCCTTCAGGCCACCCACGCACACTATGGAGCCCTTGACAACGGAGGATGCCAGTGCAAAGCGGGGCGTCTCCAATCCTTGTGGCAGCATCCTCCATCGGTCTGTGATGGGATTGTATCTGCACCAGACAAAATGCGGTCACACAAGAATACTGCCCCTCTTCAGGAAATTTACAAAGTCATGTAAAAAATGAGCATGGTGGTTTGGTGCATTCACATTGATGGAGCAGCAAGAGCACTGCAGCATACCCTTCGACCAATGAGTACTGCTCAGAAGGAATGCCGCCGCCAATTGCATAGAAAGTTCCTCCCAGGAAGCTCAGAGCCAGGCTTCCACGAATCTTTGACATGGGGGCAACTGTTGACCACCCGTCCTGGTCATCACCATTGCCAACATACCTGCAAGGACCACATCTAGAGTCAAAAGCAAATTGAAGCTGTTTAGCCAGTATCCTCATACACTGCCGACTGACAAGGGTGTAGATTGAGAGTCACACCTCCTCACATCCTTTGACCACTTGCTTCCATCACTGCCTCCAAAGAGGTACACATGATTGTAGATCGATCCTGCTGCTGCAAAAGAGATTGGCGATTCCAGAGGAAGTAGCTTCGTCCACTCCTTCCTGTACACAGACAAACAAAGCACCTGGGGAACTCCATACCTTGTAGAGATAAGGAGCAGCGTTACAGGTCAACGTCTCATAATAAAAATCGATCATATCTCATTTACGTCTTTCATGTCTCATTTGATTTTGAATAAGATGGGAACCCGCTCACTTCGAGATGCTGAACTGCTCAGCAGTAGCCAGCCACTGCTTGCTGTCATGGCCACCACAGACACAAATCTGCCTGCTAGAATCTTCCGCACATTCCTCTGGAGGTGATTCATCTGCCTGCTGATGCTGCCCGCTTGCTCCTCCACTTTCCTTGGTAGAGTCCTGTACACAACCAGGAAAGTCAGGGATGCCAATAAGTCAATGTTCCGCCTCAATCCTCCAAAAGACCAGCAAGGATACAATTCTTTGCATGATGGATGAAGATCTGGACGATGTGACGGGGAGGTGGAATCTGCTCCAAGATTCACCTGAGATATGCGCGTTGACCCCTCAGCAAACCGACTTCTTCCATTGGGCACGGTTGATGGCACGGTTTGTGCTCTTTCAACCGGAGCATCTGCGACTGTTGCTGCTGCGGCCACGGCAGAAGCTGCTGAGGGAAGGTTCAGGTGCTGCCTTATTGCATCGACCTCAATCTGCAATGCTTGTAGCTGGGCTTTCAGAGCAATCAAGTCCTGCATGCACACATGCTTGAAGGAAAGCCTTCTGAATTGCAAAGGTCAAGCAGAGTTCACCAAACAACTTTCTGCAGATGACGCTTATTTGATGGCAAGGAGCTCTATAGAGGAGCAACATGCCTCGCTTCCTGCAGCACTGTTTGAATCTGCAACTGGCTGTACTGCTTTGACTGGCTGCGCTGCGGCACCGTTTGCTGTGGCTGGGGTTGCTGCAAAGTTACGGGCAGGTACTGCACGCAAAGGCAGTGGGTGCAGAGATTTGTCGCTGTGAGAGTTCTGTCGGGCTTTGGGTACCTCTGAAAGCACTTTTCCTGCAGGGCAGCTACACATTCAGGTACCCGGAAGATCGAAGGGATTGCCATGATCACACTTCATTTGAGTGTGCAAGTACCATGAAGCAATAAGGATCATGTATATGCCATGAGAGCACCTTTCTTGGGGGCTGCTTGGAAGCCTGGCGGAACGTCACAGGAGGAATTTGAGGCTGTGTCTGCCTGATCTCTGTCTGGGCATGTTGGAATTGCCAGCAGCTTCTTCACACTTCCAGGAGGGTTTACCAGTGAGACATATTGGTTCTCACACCTGAAAATGTCAGGCCTTGATTGGAGAAACATCTGAAGCCGGCCCTGTGTGCAGAGGCAACACATGATTATTGCCTTTCTCTGTCTGAAGAAAGGCACAGCAAGAATAGAAGGGCCTGGAACTCACCGATGTGTTGATTTTCAGCTCCCTGTTGACATATTGTCCAACGTGTGAACCAAGATGCGCAGGCCTTCCAAATTCCACCAGGTAATCCACCAGTTTGATTTGCAATGCATCCTGACCGGTTTCGGTGTCCAGAGAAGGGTTGAGCACTGCTTTCACCGTGTCACTCTCCACCTGCATAGCAGGGTGTATGCACGTGAAGAATGGTTGATCCATCCAGTCATTATGGTGCATCGGTACCACATATAACATGAATTGAGTAGTTATGGTAGTTATGTATTCTGATCTTAAGGTGGAAGACACGCACTGTGAAGAGGTGTGGCCTCTCCTGACACCAAGCCTTCAGCCCTTTCTGATGGTTGAATCCTGTCTTTTTAACATGGACTCCTGCTCGCACCAAAGGCAGAAATTGTCGTGGTGCGCGCAAGAGCGCCTGAGTCAAGGCCTCTTCAGCCCTTTTGGCCTCTGTCTCTGTCATGTTGCTTGGTGATGTCGTTATATCATTCCTGATTGAAGGGATGATCGGAGCGAGCCCATATCTTACTGATCTGCATTGAACGGCATATTAAAGGAATTGCCACGAGGCCGAGCGAGGGCCGCCACTCTGCAGCAGCATCGCCTTACATCCAAGACTGTGTGCCTCCCATATAGTGAAATTAAGGCTCCTATGTATATAGCTGAACGACAGTGAACACACTATCTACATTCGAATAGGAGAAATCAAAGGTATTCGGCAATGGAAAGGAAACAAGTCGTGCTGAGCTTTATGCAGTGAGTCATCATCAGACATTTTGACTCATCATGTTGTTGAAGATGTTGAAGTCTTCATGGTTTGCATGCGGGGATGCTATTAATTTTGCTTCTAGGTAAATATTATTATTATTGTTAATGTTATTATAAGCAGGTCGGCGAACCCAAAGCCAGAGGCCATAGGGCATACACGCAGAGAGTCTGCAGCCACTTCCGCGGGGCCTACAAAAGTCTGCAGGCGCCTGTCAATCATGTCATCACGTGCACTCGACTGTGATACTGATCTCAAGAATATAATGTTTGCATGCCAAAATTGTCAAAAGGTTTGGGACATCTGAGTTTGCTGAATGATGGAATCTAAATCTCTGAGAGGTCGAGTTCAGCCACTACACCGTATGACCGTGACGGTGCCGCAATGTATTAGAGAAATTCCTATGCTGACAGTATTGCGTAATTACAGTTACAACTGTGGCAGTGGCTGCCAGCTGGCTGTCATAGTGCCCATATCACACATATTGGCTGCATTGCAGCTTCCTAGATATTTGCTGCCAAGTTGGCAGTGCCAACTGATATTTCCTAGTGAAAAATTACTAAGAAAGCAGATAGTCCACCTCTTCTGCACTCAAGGGTTTGCTTGCACATGTGCATGACTTATTTGCTCGAAGCCACGCCATCACCCGCCCAAGAACATCTTCTCAAGAGGCCCGGCAGAGGGCTCTTCACCCAGCTCCCCCTGGATCTTTGAGCATTGGAGCCTTCCCAGAGGCTCGCGCGCACAGGTGTCAATGGCACTCACAGCATTCACGATGGCGCTCCCTTCTCCGCGCTCCTGCCAGTAGTACTTGGTGCCGTACTTTGAGCTCAGCCGCGTCCAGAAGTTCTGCAGCACCAATGCAACACACTGTGTTGAACTCAATCTTAAAAAAGAGATATGCACACATCCTGGCAGAGCGAGCGTCAGAGCAAGGAGAAAGAAATCGTCTGCAAATATTCAAAGTGGGTCCTTGTCATGATTTCTCTCAAGATTGCCAATTCAAGCCTTTCCAGCTCAAAATGGAAGATCACAATCAGCCTTGGTGCTATTTCTCTGTGTCCTGCAGAGCATGCCAGCGGAGTGCCAGCTTTGGGAGGCATGCAGGAAATGTGGACTTGCCCGGGGGATGCGCAGATCTATGTTGGCGCCAACGTTGAAGTTGAGAATGTTGCCGCCCAGAGATGGGTCTGCCACAAACACAACGGTGTCCTCATCCACCTTCCAGTAGTCTCGCACTGCCAGGCCCGGAGTTGTGGGGTAGTTCTGGGCAAGCACCCGCAGCTTCACCCCTGTGTCACTCTCAAGGGACTCCACTTCTTTGATTATGCGGGTCTCCTGCCGCAAGTAAGCAGAGAAATGGCGTCATGAACATGTGAGCATGCAGGATCAAGGAGCAAAGTTATCCACTGGACCAGCACCCCATGTCCCAGGAAGTAGCCCACCTCGCCAGGAGTCAGGAAGCCCGCTACGTCTATGACTGTTGTGAAGGTGTCCGGCAACAATTCTGGTTTGTTGACACCTTCCAGCCGAGCATGTGCACCTGGACAGAACAGAGGGATCTGTCTGTGAACTGTCTGAGAGCAGATTGCGCAAGCAGAGGTCAGTTGACGCATAATAAAAATACCTGCGACAGTTAGGAGAGTACTGCAAGCCACAGCAGCTGCTGCTTTCGCTACGCTGGACATTAGCTGCTTGACGTGTCGTTCAGCTACAGCAGAACAGTGGACGGTTGAGTTTGAGTTAGATTGAGAAGAGTGTCGTAAATTTGACATCCTTCTCAAGGGCTTCAAGCGACTTGTGAAAGCTACACATCTACTGTTGCCCAGTCCTGGGCAGGAGAGCGACATCTCATGGCATGCCATGAGGCTGTTGGGCTTTACAGTGTTTGTTTTTGCCTCTGCACCAGATCTGAGATGCTCTTTGGCATATGCACAGAGAACTCAGAACACCTGTTGAATCTGTGACCTCACAACAAAGCGTCCTTCTAGCTGCTCAGAGCAAGTCGTGACGTCAGCAGCACCACATGATCATCAAAGGGAACGCTTTCCATCTGCGTTGAAGTTTGATCCATGCATTATTCGCAGAAATAGCAGGACCATGACCTGTAATTGACAGCAGCGATCGGCTTGCCTGGCCATGATCTGTGAAAACGGTGTTTGCTATGTCCAAGGACAGAAGGAGAAGCAGAGCAAGTCTAAGCTACAGCCAGTAGCCGCTGTCTTTCACACAGTAGCCCTCACCTGGTACCTGTATGTGTGGACCTGGCATTTTGTTAGCAACGCTGCGAGTGTACTTCCTGGAGCTAGTGGTTTTGGGAGATTCTTCAGGTGTGCTCCCCCTCCAATATAGCGTGGCGATCTTCCTCAGATCATGAATGCTGCGCTGGCATCGATGACTCTGCTTACTCTTACAGAGTCCCGCGTTCGGTGAGGTGCCTGTGATCTGAGCAGGTACTTGACCTTTTACTCTTATACCCTGCAGCTCATTCAGCTCTCAGCGTCACTTTTATGTCATCTACCCAGGGTGAGTCTCTTTCCCCGTTCATTGATCTCATTTGTCGATCTCCCCTCCCACCGCGGTCCTTCAAGCACTACTTGTGATCCTTTCCCTGGTGCGCAGGCACTAAGACTCCCTGCGCCTGCCAGATTTGCAGATGACTTATCATGTGCAGTGTTTGGGCTGGCGAACGTGGTAAGATGCATTTCCTTGATTGGCTGCATAATTCATGTAAATAATGGCATCAAGCCTTAGAGCGTGAACTTGACAGCATGACTCCTGGTGCTGATCACAGGTGACGTGTATGTTCTACCTCATCGATGCTGCCACCAAGGATGTTGTGGAAGGGGGGGAGGTGGATCACCAAAGGCCACCATGGCTAGGTAGGTGGCAAGCAACTTTTGCCTCCTGGGCGTGTAATCCGGCACCTTGAAATGCACACCAGATGACACCACACGCAAAGCTATTGATGTGTATGTTCCTAGATGCCAAGACTATCACGATGGCCCTGTCATGCGTCAAAAGGTGGCTGCTGGGAGCAGGAATATCTGTGCATCTTCTGAATTCTGTGGTGGCCTGGCTTGACATTCTCCTCAGCCGCCCACGGAGTTTCAGCAGGCGCAGTCAGAACCTGTCCATCGGCCTAGTGATTTTTTATCTGCACTGGATTCTTCTCTGCTCGTTCGCGAACGGCCAGTTTCCGTACCCTTTCTTGAATAAGCTGCCACAGCCTCAGGTGAGCCTCTTGCATGTGTCACGATCAAAGAGTTCACAGTTCTTCCCATTGCGACTGACGACAGTGTGAAGTTTATGTTGCACTATTTGGGAGATCTACTACTTCTGCATTGCAGGGTTTTATTGGAGTGTCTGTGGGTGGCGTGTGCCTCTTTGTCTGCCTTTTCAGGGTTGGGAAGTGGCTGATGACTCCTATTCAGATATGGAAAGTGAAGCATGCATAGGAAATTGGCAAGCAGGGGTTGCGTTGTGAGGTGCACATCACCTGAGTGTTGGAAAGCATGCTCACCTGTTGTTGACATCGTATTCATGAATTTGAGCACACTGAAATTGGCACAGGGTCTTTGCCAAACACTGATCATGGCGAGTTGGCCAGGCAGACCATTTTGTATTGTGCACTTCACCAATGCAGTCTGTATGTTGCAGTGGAGCCCTTAGTATCCATTAAATGCAAGATGCTTCCAGAAGTGCCTAAGGAAGAGGGTTTGCGCTATGATGAGCTTCTGTGATGCAGATCTGTCTAGACCCCAACGTTGTTGATCAGTCCAGCCACACCACTGATTTGGGCATCGTCACCGCTAGAAAACAGGATAGAGCAGCCGTGTTTATGGTGGGAGCCAATTGGGCGCACACCTGCATGTGGATGCAAGGCAGCTGGCTATCAGAGGCGCTTGCAATGGTCCACCCTAACAGGACGCCTTAAATTTGCTGCTGCCAGTGGATTTCTAAATATGATATGGGAGCAAATGTGCATGACCATACGAAGCTGTATCATGTGTGTACGCCGTTGAACAGCCTATTGTGTTCTTGAAAAATTTCTTGTCAATTGCTTTTGTTACACAAGAGATACACATACTGTGCGTTAATCAATCTCTGACGGCCTGGGATCCTGAAATTCTTCCCTAACAGCATGCAGCACCTGAAATTCTCCCCATACAGCATGCAGCAGAGAATATTGGCTAAATCAGTAGGAATGACATCTGCAGAGTGAGCTCTCCTTAAGCTGCGGCCTGAGCTGCAGCGGCTGCCTTGAGGGCTGTCAGCTTCTTCTTTGCAAGGTAGAAGCCCTTTGCCTTCTCCAGCCTGCGAGCCTCCAGCTCTGCCACTGAAGCCTTGTGCTTCCATCCCACCTGCAACACAGGCACATACAGCATGTCAGGCCAACATTCTGCGACCACGCGCTTCACAGGCCCAATGGAGTAGGCATCTCTATCCTGCCCAACGTGCAATTTCCTGACACAACTTCGTGCTGCTTTCTCAAGACAGGCTTTGGGGCCTTATCCTTGAGCAGGAACTCCCATCTGCGCTGATGTAGCAATCCAGCTGGTGTCCACTGATGTGCAGACATGTGGGAAACAGGTTGCGGTGCACTCACCGAGGCGGCCAGGTCGCCAAGCTTGCAGAACTTGTGGCCGTGTTGCAGGCGCAGGACCTTCAGCGCGTCAGGCACCACCATGCGCTTAACCTTGTCGTACGGGGGCGGCACGCCCTCAAAGGTCTTCAGCCTCTCCAGAGCTGCTGCGCCGCGCTTTGTCTTGTGCGGCACCATTCTGCAGCCATACCACAGCCCCCCTCAGCCCGGCTCCCAGAGCTAAGAAGACAAAAGCTGACAATGGCTCGTGGCCTCTCAACCTCTTTGCATGGCTTGTGATGGCATGGCATGTAAATGCCGTCATAACCAGCATCGCTTGTTGATATGATCAGGAGATCCGGAACACACCCGCGCACTGTCCTCCAGAATATCCTGGATGGGGCGCGGAAGTGGATGGGTCCCTTCTTGGGGTTGGAGTTCATCCTTTTCCTCAAGAACCGCTCGTACTTCATCTTCTGACGCACGAGACCTCCTGACACATTGATCTCCTCTGCACGGGTCACGACCTGTGCACAGACAGGGCAAACGCTACTGAGCACCGTCCAGTTTTGTAAAGCGCACTTGTCAAACCATACATGCAACGGACTGCACAACACAAGCGTGGATCATGAATTCAGAATAAGAGGATGGGCTTACAATGTGCTGGCCATTCAGAGCCTGCTTGGCAACAATCGAAGCCAGGCGCCCAAGCATGTGCCCTCGGGCATCGATCACCACAGTCTGCGCAATGCAATACATCTATGAGTTCACGGAAAGATAAGGGTACATTCCACAATAGTTTGGAGTAGGATCCCCCCAAAACTTAGCGTCAACAGTTGCGATTCACGGATTTCTACAACCTCTGCCTAAGTTGCAGAGCATTTCAAAGTGGCAACATCGATCATTAGTCTCGGAACCTACCTTCGGCATCCTGGCTGCCTGACCTCACGTTCCCCGAGTCTGTTTGGTGAAATGCACCGCTGCTTGCTTTTGGCCGCCGCAGCATCGGAACGCCCGCAACCGGATTTCCATGACGCCAGCTCGGCAAACTCACGTGCGCCAGTTCTGCATGCAATTGACGATTGATGGTCTGGATCATCTGGTTTGCATGGTGCAGAACTATTTTAGTTAATAAGTGAGCCCTCGAAAGCAGCGTGCTAGAAAACTAGATTTCCTCTGCCACTTGATGAGAATGAATGGCGTCACTGACGGCACAGGACAGCCGCCGCCACTGGCAGCCTGAGTGCCACCTGTTTCCGAAAAAGTCATGGCTTTCAATTGGTCCACTGCCTGGTTGCAGGAGCGGCGATTCCTGACTGGGGAGTTGCTCATGCAGGCATGCCTCTTCCACCCATAATCTGGAAGAAACCTGCGATACATTTCATTCAATGATTCTTTTGTGCTGCACGAGACTGTGAAAGGGTGAGAAGTCATAACCGCCCTTGAAGCCAGCTTCAATTGAGCATTAAGTATTAAGTTTCTTATACCATCATAGCTATAAGAAATTGTGACAAGGATCAGGCCCCCCCCGGCCTGATATGTTTCAATGCCACATCCTGATAATTTTTAGCTGCTTACTGCTGGTAAGTCACCAGTGCATTGGTGTTTTTTCCTAAATCCAGTTAAATTCCTCACTGCCAGTGGCAGTTGACTGCGGCTCAGAACCTTCAAATCGACGCACACTGTGGCAGACCACTGCAACTCTGGGCAATGTGTCTACAGATTCAACTCACATAATGCACGTTTGGAAACGAGCCAGGAAAACACCCGAGCTAAACCCGTAACATGTGCTTCATTCGGCCAGGCCAAAATTGTTCATTGTGCGTTGCTGCACTCGCGCGCGGGCAGCCTCCCTGGCAGCCCGGGCCTGCTTTTCCTCCTCAGACAGATTCTCTGTTTTGGAGGCCCCGGCTGCGCCGTCCTCTCGTTTCCGCTTGGCTGCTGCCAGCTGCGTGCTGGATGATGCAACGCCCACCCCCTTGGAGCCGCCTATCCTGCCAGTCTCAGGCATCTGGTAGCCGCCGATGCCTGCCAACGGGTGCGCTGCCTTCACCGTTCTGGGCACCGCTTTAACCATTGCCGGCTTTGGTGCTGGCCCTGGTCAAAGAAAGGGGCACCTTCAGTAATTCTCTGCTGACTAGAGGAGCATGGTTGCAGTCATTCATCGGGGCAGTCTCTCTGGGTTGCCTGCGAGTGATTTCAATTGCTGCACGCCTCACCTGATGCACTGGCTGACTCGGCCTCTGGCAGCTTGAACAGCGATTCAGGAGGTATCTCAGGCTGCAGTGTCCATGCTGGCGGATCCCCGCCATAGTACATGCCTGTGTCCCTGCGCATCAGGTGTTGTGGAGTTCAGTACAATATGCATTACTTGCACATCCAAGCCCATCTGTGATAGATCATCAGTGCACACCTGCTGAAGTAGTACCGCTGCGCTGAGTTGTAGTAGTGCCCTGAATCCTCGTCAAGTACCTGGAAGGTGAGACAAGTTGTAATCACACGAAGGCCTTGAATGATGGCTGTTGCTGCAGGGAAGCAATGAGCAAAGAGGGGCACAGCAAGCGCACCCAGCTTCCATGGATGCTTTTCACAGCTTCCGCAGCTGCTAAATCCTTCTTGTATTGCCTCTGGGCGGCTGCCTCAATTGCACTCATGGTGGCTTCAGCAAGAACAGCCTCTTTCTTGTCCGTGTCGGCCCTTTGACGCATCTGCCGGAGCTCTGCAGTGTATATGAAACAGTCATGGAAAGCATTGCCGGACTTATTCAGTGCAAAAATGGATATGCAGTGACTTGCTTTGGAGATCCTTGGAACTTACTCCGCGCCACATTCTCCTTGTGCTTCATGCCCCTTTCATGGGTAGCTTTGGCGTTGGGATTGTCTTGCATCCATACTTTGCAGTAATCGCACCAGAACATAGGGTTGCTCTTCCATTTCTGCGCGTACATGTAATGAGCTCAGACGAGATGCCCATAATAGCGAGCTCCAACAAAGAGAACAAAGGTACATTATCAATACAGCATCATACCTCTGTCATCTTGTAAAGCCGAGGAGACTGCGAGGAGAGTGCGAGCTTCTCGACTGCTAAGATCTGGACAGACGCTTGTTCGTCTTTCAGCTCTCAAGCCCGCTCAGTCGCACTTGGTCGCTTGTGGCAAATTTATACTACGAGTAGAGCTTGCAATTGAGTATCTGAGCGTCCCGAACAATCGTATCTGGTCTTGACAGTAATGTTGCTAGTCGTGAAACGCATCACTTTGCTTGGAAGACGCGGAAATTATATTTCTAACACGCTCGAGAATTACCACTGACACTGCCTGTCTACTTGTAATTTGTCTGGTCTCCCTGGCTTCCAAATAAATAAACATTTTTGGTCATTCGCCATAAGGCGAATGCCCTTAACGGTCGCCCAACCTGGTACGATTTATCTCTAATTCTTACCCCTTCCCTATGCCATTTGGCTCCTGAGCAGGCGGCCACGCTTGCTGTACGGAACGCGAACCGGAGTCTAGAGGTCATTTCGAGGGGATTGCCCCGTTTTAGGCCCTAATTTATCTCTAAATATCTCCCTGGCGATTGGCTTTACGGGCCTGCGACTGGTTCTGCCCCCCAGCTCGCGTATGACCTCGTGGCCGCCCGCGGGCGCTCCCACTTGTCCCTTTTTCTTTCACAAGCTCTGAGGGAACGCCGTTCATTCGACGAGGAGGGAATTCAGCCTGCAGTAGCAGGTTGTTCCTTGATGAAGATGATTGTAGACAACTTATACCGTTTTTAGATTGTTTTATGAGGTTGTCAGAAAAGCAAGATTGTTCCACAACCATGAGAAGGCAACGCTGGTGATAGCGACAGCCATCACGATGAAGTTGTTAACGGATTTTACAAAGCTGTCCAAGGTGATTGGTGGGGTGATAGTCATAGGATATTTTGTGCAACTGATCGCACCATCGACAAGGGGTGTCTTTGCTTTGGTGCCTGGAAGGTTTCTGCCCTGCGTTTGGAACATCTTCACAGCTGGACTCCTTGAAGTCCACTTTTACAAGGTCAGCGCAGCTAGTACAATGAACCTCATTGATCCAATGATTTCAACTTGACATGAAAGGATCTGCTTGCATGCTTAAGGGTCATGTTCCCATGCAGGTCATTTTCAGTGTGGTGAGTTGCCTGGCCTTGGCACGCCTCATCGAGCCAGTCTGGGGCTCATCAGAATTTTTGAAATTTCTTGCCGCAACAAATGCTGCCACAGGGGCAGCGACCTTGTTCTTACTGTACATTTTCTTCGCCCTCACACAGTACTCTGAGAAGTCAGGAGACCTACTGTAAGTTCTCCATTCATGATTCCTCCTGCCTCTTGTCATTAAGGAACATTGGACTTGACCCCTGCTGCGCTTCCTAATTCAGCAAGTCCTCATAATCTTGACGTCATGCGACAGGTACAAGGAAGTGTCAGGTTTTGAGGGCGTCGTTGCTGGTTGTCTTGTGGCCATCAAGCAAATCATGCCAGACAATGAAATCATGCTGCTGACAGGGGTGATCCGTTTCCGAGTCAAGGTATGCATGCATGCCTGCACATACAGTGGTATTTAAAGCCTTTGTCCCTTGGTGCACTGTCTTTGAATGTCCAAAGCGTTTCACATCGGGTTTGTTGTGCAGCACCTGCCCAGTCTGTTTCTGGCATTTGCCGTGGCGGGCAGCTTTGTGTTGGGCACAGCTTTGAGTACAGTGCCCTTTGTCTGTTTTGGCACCTACTTTGCCTGGGTGTACCTGCGTTTCCTGCAATACAAGCCGGAGCTGTCTGCCAGGTGAGTCCTTAACCGTTATTTGTTCTCCAACTCACCAAAATTTAGCTCACCAACTCACCCAAATCCGTGCAGCTGTCCTCTGAAGTGGGTTATGACAACTGCCCTAAGTATCAATCATCTCAGAGAAGCCATGTGGGGTCGTCTGTGTGCAGGGGCGACCCATTCAATGAGGACTTCCGCTTTGCTTCGTTCTTCCCAGAATTTGTACAGCCACCTGTGGACAAGGTGGCGCAGGTGGTGGGTGTTGCCCTGAGGCTCGCCCCCAGGAGCCCTTCACGTGCTGCAGGCGGATTTGTGCCCGGTGCAGCGCCCCTGCCTGGCTCAGATGATGCTGATGCAGCCAGGAGAAGGTGCGTTGTACTTGGCAGCAGCTGCAAGAAGGCTGTCATGGCAGTTGGAGTGAAGAGGCTATTTGCATGAAGCAAAGCAGGATCAGGGTGCTTTGCTTGCATTCAGGAGCATTGAGCATCGCGTGTGTTTTACTTTTGAACGGCATTTATTACAGTGCAATCTGCCAGGTTAGTATGGAAACTTTGCTGAGCGACTATGTCATGGCAGGGAGCGGGGGGCGCGCGCGTTGGAGGAGAGGCTTGGATCCAGGAAGCCGGCATCTGTGCCTGTCAGCACAAATGCAGATATTGAAGCCCCGCTCGCAGAGGACAGGACAGCTCAGGCGGTCAGCTCTGGGGCTGAAGGCTCATAGGATTGAGCTGGCTCTGCTCAAAGTTTGCAAATTCTGAATCATTCCAAGAGATTTTGTCATTGGTGGTCACTGAGCAATTATCATGCACATGTGCACCCTCTGGCAACCGTTGGCAAGCAGTACTTGGCAACCATGATGGTGTTCAGCTCAAGCTCAAGTGTTGCTGTGACACCAGAGCACGTACTCTGATCTGTCTGTTCTATTGACTGTTGAGGAGCTGTGGGACATCTAATGAGCCCTGTGTGGCTGGCCAGGAACGATAGCAGACCATGGAACAATGTAATCATAATCTCTATCTCTGACACCGTGTGACAGTTGATCGGATCAGCTGACTGCAGTGCAGTCATGGGTTGTAGACTGCGAAGGTCAGGCTCCGTTAAATAGAACTGTGTCATATTGAACTTCTGTGAAGGATGTACTCCATTGAGAAAAACCCTGAACCTTCCTGCTCTATACTGCTGCCATTGGCACCAGCTTCCAAGCCCTAAGAAACCCATGCACCACCATATGACCATATGGTGCAAGGAACGCCATGGCACAGATGCCATGGGAGACTCCCCCCTTTCCATTCTCCCTCAACCTCTCGCTCAACCTCTGATTTAAGGAGTATTCACAGCATGCGTTACAGATCGAAATTGCTCTTGTATAACAACGTCCATCGCGCGCCTAATTTTGTTGCGTGGAGGATGCTGGTACAGATGTTATGATCAAAGTGCAACGCAGCTCAGATAATGGGTCCATCATTGCCAGGTTTGGAACTTTCAGCATGCACATATGATGTGTATGAATGAGGAATGGAGCAGCTGGTGCAAGAGCTGCAGGAAAAGCTGCAAAAGAGTGAAGCAAGCCGTATCAGATTGCGGGACAGTCTTGTAAGTTCCCCTGCTTTCTTGGAGTTCATATCTGCAACGGAAATTTTGTCAGCCTCTTGGAGTTGCTCAGATCGTTTAAGTCTTGCTTGATGGGCACAAAAAGCCTCCCATACTCCCAGACATCTGCAAACTCAACAAGGCCCTCACTCTCCTGTTGCTATCATGCAGAGGCAGCTCAAAGAACGAGCAGTGGACACAAGCGAACTTGTGCGGCAGCACCAACAGCTACAGGCTGAGTTGTCCCAAAAGGCTGAGGAGGCAGAAGAGCAGAAGGCTGCAAGAGAACGGCTTGTACGGGAGCTTGAGGCTGCAAAGAGTACCAACTCAGATGCAGCGCGTCATTCGCCAAGGCAAGACTCCTGATGGGTGTATCTACCATCTCTACAGTCTGTCTAGATCCGGCATCTTTATCACATTCACAAGGAACTTATATGAATTTCATCATGCTTGTGCAGGGAGGATGGAGACACAGCAAGGAAGCTGCAGGCCAGGCTGGAGAGGACGCAGCAGACAGCAGCAGATGCAAGCGCTGCAGCGCGTAAATCAGAGCATGAGTGCGCCAACCTGCAGAAGCAGAGCACGCAGTTGCGGGAGCGCATTAAGGAGGTGGAGCACATACAGAAGGTCAGTCCTGCGCCCCCAGCCTGTCTGGCATTGTTGTAGGACATACTGACGTTTTGACCAGTGGATACCACAGCCTGAACCTCTTCAGAGAGCTTGAGCTTTCTCTGTTCCTGCAGGCCACCGTTGGAGATGTGGTGCACCTTAATGGGCAGCTGGGCAAGCAGGCAGCAGCGATGCAGTCCATGTCCCAGCAGCTGAGCAGCATGTCTCGGCAGCAGGCCGCATGCGCGAGCCATGAGGCGATGGCGTCCCTGGCTGAGCAGGTGGCGCGGCTGGAGGGGGTTGCGGCAGCCAGCATAGCGGCCTGCGAGGCTGCGCAGGCGGACAGGGACCGGTTGTGGCAGCGGATGGAGGACATGCAGGCGCAGGCCAGCGCGTCGCTGGAGCAGCAACAGGCGGCGCTACAGCAGCTCGCGAGGTGGCAGAGTGCCTTCGGCGCATTTGCGCGTGAGGTCAGCGGCAGTCCCCGGCCGAGGAGAGCTGGCGCGGACACTGCCCCTACCAGGATGCTGCCTGCTGAGGGCGCTAGGGAGCCGGCCGGCAGCTTGCAGCTCGTTCCCTACAGCGGCAATGACAGCGCCTCCTCGGGCAGCGGCAGCAGCGGGCGCGCGATGCAAGCCGCTGTGGCGCCGATGATACCGGGAGACATTGTGAGGTTGCAGGCGCCGGTGTCTGATGGGCCCGCAGCCAGCACCGGCACGGTGGCGGGCCCTGGCGACGGCACTCCGCGGCACGTGGGGCGGGAGAGGCCGGCGGCGCATCCGGCCGAACTGCCGCCGGCAAAGCGGCACCGGCCGGACACGGCCGGCAGCGGGGGCGACGAGGGCAGCAATGCCGTGCGGACACCCACGGGGACCGTGCTCACTCCGCGGCAGCACCATGAGCGCGCGCAGGACGCCGTAGCGCAGCGCGTCAGCATGCCCGACAGCGGCCCCGCGCTGCACCGGCTCACCCCCGAAGCCGAAGGCGGCAGCGCGGCCTCGGGGACGGCCGTCACCAAGGCGTGGAAGTGCGAGAGCGCCGCCGTGAGCGTGGTGGAGGGGTGGCTGGGAGAGGTGACAGGGTGCGTCGACCAGCCGGTGACCGATGCGCTCGCGCGAGGGGCGGCGGCCGGCCTGCGCGATGCGCTCGCCGCCGGGCAGTGCCCGCTCAGCTGCGTGGTGGCCGGCTTTGAGACCGCGCTGCTGGAGTCTGCCGCGCCCCGCGGCCTTGGCTGCAACCCCGTGGAGGACTGCACAGGGGATGCTGCTTCCAGCGGCAACGCTCAGGCCGGGGTTATCGAAGACATCCCCTTCAGTGCGGTGTGGTGCCGGCGAGAGGTGCTGCAGACGAGGTGCTTCACCGGCCTCATGGTCTGTGCACGGGGGCTGGAGCGGCTGCTCGGGGCGCGGCAGCAGGACAGCTTTCTTAAAGGTCTCCTGCAGCGGCTGCATGCTGCTGCCGTTCGTCCGCCGCCTGGCCTGCACACAGCGCTCCACACCCCTGCATGCTCCGCCGCGGCTGCCTGTGCCTCACTGTACCGTGCCCAGGGGAACGTGCAGGCAAGCTCTCCCAATTATCCCTTCCCTGGGTCAGAACATGATTATTTCCATACCACTCGCTATACTTCAAAAATTTCTGGCTAATTTGCCTTGTCAAAACAGTGACACTGACTGTGCACTGGCATGACAGGCAATGCGGGTGCTGGTGTTTGAGCTGGCTACGGCAGAACCCGAGCTGAGCGCGCGCATGCTGCCGCGGCTGGCCGCTGCCGTGCTGGCCTGGCCGGCTGCGCTTGCTTCCGACCCTCGACCAGGCGGCGGTGTCCTGGGCTCTTCCTTGCTGGCCGCTCTCCACGACCTGAGCTCCACCGCGCTCCAGGAACAGGGCAGAGCAGTGGACGACACTGCTACGGCGGCCGGGTCGGTGTCGGGGACGACGTCAGCGACAGAGCTGCTCCCGGGAGTCTCGGCGGCGGCTGGGTCGCTGCTGCGAGTGTGCGAGGAATGTGGGGTGCGAGCCAGATTAGGCGGGCAAGGCCAGGAAAGGTGGCCGGCCTTGCTGGCGGCGCTTGGTGCTTCGCTCCGCCGGGCGACGGCACTGGCGGCGGCCGGAGCGGCTCAGCCTGACGCGTGGCACAATGTCGCCTGCGAACTGCGAGTCGCCACTGTGTGCCTGGGTCCAGCTCGCTGCAAGGGAGAGGTGAGCTGTTTTGACTGACACAAGCCATTGTCACTTTAATGCCAGCGCAGATAGATGTAAATTGGGCTGATGCAGCATCTCTCGCACTGCAATGCAACATCACCGTTTCTTTGTTGCTTGCAGGCAGTTGCCATTGGGGCATTCGATGTTCTGGTGGCAAAGATTGAAGGTCCGGAGAGAGAGATGTTGAAGTGGCTGTAGCAACAGCAAAGAGAAGAGAACCGACGTGGAACGCTCCAGAATGTATTTTTTTTTGTAAATGTGTCTTCTGTGCAATCATGTGACCACTGGAAGGATGACTTTTGCTGCTTTTCAGGTTCCTTGCTACCTGACGACAATTGGTAGGCTGTTTAGCTTTGTTCCAAGTTTTTTTTCTGCACAACTTTTGTGCGTACAAATCGTCATGTGTTTTATTGCACCGCTCAATCGTCAGATGACGTGCCCCAATGAATTGTGGTGAGAGAGTGTGTCCTCGTTTATGTGATCCTGTCGCTAGTATAATAAATATGCTGGCACAAGCTGGTGTGGCAGCCAGGTGCAGAACAGTTGCCGTCAGGTCAGTGCGGGGTGCAAACGAGTTCTTGGAGGTTCCCCTTTATACTCCTAGCTTGATCTCAGCTAAGATAATGAGTAATTGCAATTGGCTTTGCGAGGTCAATCATTCTGAAATAGCTCAAATGGTGTAGGTCAGCAGCGTGTATGTCCCAGCACCATGCTATGGTTGGGTGCCAATCAGAATCAGATCGCAGGATAGCCATGGCATTTGAAATCTTTATGCAGATGATCTGGGCCAGGTGCCGGCGCCGTCGCGGTGACCATATATGTGATTATATAATTGATCAACAGCAGTTTTGTAACCAGTTCTATCACAACAAATCCACTGCACGCTTGTGTCTCATCAGCTGCGTTCGTATGCCACTCATAAGACGACGAGGCTGCAGTGTGGCTACATGTTCTTGCGCTGTCTTTGCTGGTGCTGGCACCACTCCAGGACAGGTGGCCACCGAAATGGCATGCATGTGGCTGGACCGTCACGTGCTCTCTTGGATTCAAGATTGAAATAAATTCCTCGAAGAGGAAATTCTGTTTCAGACTCCAAAAAATGACCTTAGGTACATTTCTTCACCAAAGGTTGCTCAATCAAGGTACAAGAAGCAAACCACTGCACCATCTTGATAGTTTTTCTCAGAAGCTTCCTCTTGCAACGCATTTCTTCTACAAAGGTGCGCGAGACAATATTCATAAAACATTTTTGATTCACCTTTTCTGTACGTAAGCCCTTCGATGTCGACTGATGCTGCAAAATTTCGCATGTAAAAGGTGAGCATGACCATGCCGGAGTGGCAATCGTGCAAGCTGATCAAAACATACCTGAAGGTGGTGAGAGGGCGTCATCGACGTTAGACGATGTGTCATTAAGAGGACTATTGCTAGGATCGCCAGATCGCAAGAGGAAGAGGGACAGAGCCCCTTCTAACACACCGCCACACATCCCTTCTGTAGATGCGCACCCATCGCTTAATGGACATGCCACCAGCAGCAAAGCAGCACCTGATGAAATAAACCTTGATGAGTCTGGCCAACCAGCCATCCATGGACCCTCACGAAACGATCCTGACCTTGAAGCTCAGGAGAGGCACAGAAGGGCAGTCAGTTTTCTTCAGACCTTGAAGGTAGGCCACTGCTAATCCCATTGTTGTCATTGAGGCATCCAATGCCAGCGAGGAGTTTGATATCCAAGTCTGCAGTAGATTCACAATTTCACCATGGGCTTTGCATTGTGCAGGAAGATGTCACAGCAGCAGATGAGGCAGGGCTGGAGAACCTGCATGTGGTGCTGGGTGAGGCAAGCCATGCAGGGATCCTGGACATGGTCTTCAGCTCTGCATGGCTAGCGCTTCCTGTGGAAACCTTCTGCGGACTGCTTCTGCGGCTCGTGCCAAAGGATCAGGCGTACAGGCGTACCTGTGCGGCCCTCAGCGTGCTGCGCGTGCGGCTTGAGGCCCTTAGTGGCCCAGCACCGCGCACACTAGTGCTAGCCACCGTGCAGGCAGGCAAGTACATGCAGCACATGATGCATGCAATCTAAATCGCTTCTAAAAGCAAATCAGAGCACAATCACAGCTCAGTAGAGGGCCGTTCTGTATCCTGTACATTAGCTGCATGCAGATGAACGTGGTTTAAGATTTCCGAGGCTGGTGTCTGCACAGGAACATGGCATTCCCTTCCAGTGGCGCAAGGTGTGCTGGCAAGGCTGCTGGTGCAACCAAGCCTCAGCACGGCCCAGGCAGAGCTTCTGGTGAAGGTGTTGAAGGAGTGCCGTGCCTCGTGCCCTCCACTGGCCGCAGATGTGTTTGAGGCAGTTGCGGATGTGGCTGACTGGGGATCCTCCTGGAATGAGAACACTGTGGCAGCCATGTCCCAGATTGTGTCAGTCAATCCCTCCGCATCTCAGGAAAAGATCCAAAGACATGTCTCGGCGCTGTGCAACGCCGCGTCGCTGACACATCTGCGATCATCTGTCAAGCTTGCAAAGCTCTTTGTGTCCTTTGTCACTGCTTATGCCCCACAGTGCCGGTCGCAGCATGATGAGCTCTTGCAGGCTGCTGCTAAGGGCACATCCTTTCTTGCAAAGAGCTGCAGACAGAAGGTCGAGAGGTTGCTTACACATACATGACACTCTTGCAATTGTGCACCGGAATGGTAGCCATATGGCATGCATGAAATGTTTCTCTGATGTTCTGGCTTGTGTACACAATCGTCATGCAGAACATTCCTCTAGTGTTTGTGCTTCGGATTTTCATTTCTGACATGTACATTCGATTGATACAAGTAAAACAACATTGTACACTAGAATACAGTGTAACAGTTCATTGCTATTTTAAAAATGGGGTTCGCAAAGCTGATTCAACTGAGATTATGGAGCATGTGCTTTTGCTCAGTTTCCAGCTGGCCCATGTTCTCTTCCAATTGGCACACAAGCCTGTGCAGGAAGCTTGGCTGAAGCCAGAGGTATGCAGCACAGGCTGTGAGCAAAGAAACATAATCTGCTCCCAGCCGGTGCTCAGCTGATGCCTCACTGACACATGCCATCCGGTACATCTTCCCTGTGCTGCTGCCAAGCTCTGCAAAGAACCACACATTGCATTGCTTAACCACTGCAGAACCATGACATTATGCACCAGAGCAACAAGACACCAGAAAGAAATTTATCTGCAGTTGTTGTGGTGTGCGCCGCACCTATCGTGGGTATTTGCCGTGTGCTGTCACCGCTGTGATCACTGACAGGCTCCCTGCCTGCGCTGTCTGGCTTGCGTTCAAGGCCTGCTCGCTGCTTGATAGCCTTGACAATATCAGCGAGGCCCTCAGGAATGCTCGTGTCCCTAAACACATTTGAACGCAGGTAATCCATGTACGTTGAAAATCCCTTATCGCTCATTGCTGCCGCCTGTGCACACAACCCCATCTCACACCTGCTGCACAAATGATCATGATCTTCCACCCCTTCCTGCACCCTCGTCAATCTCTTTTTAAAAAATAGACATTAGCAACCACTAGCATCCGCCATGTTGCTCTTGGACTCCCAGAGAAATTCGTGGCACATTATGCAATGGGCACCCACCTGTAGAGCTGTGGCAGGGTATGCATGGGGCCCGGGCGACTGCTGCACTACAGCTCTGGCCCATGCCTGCCAATCAGGGCTCTGCCCTGTCGCTTCCCCTGGGATGTCCAGCTGGCAGCACAGCTTGAGGGTGACGAGCAGGATGGCCATGAGGTGGGCGTAGGGGTGCAGGAACACATCATCCTGCAGCCACACCTGGGGAGAGCCTGACTGGTAGATGTCAAACAGCCGCAGCGCCACAGGGGCCATCTCCTGCACCCAGACGTTTGAGTCCTTCCTACACGCCACCTTCTTCTTGTGGGAAACATGTACTCGATGACCTGACGGGTTGTGAGCTGAGGGAATGGTTGGATGTGGATAGTGCGAGCATGCACCCACCTCTGGCAATGCCAGGTCCTGCACATATCTGTGGATCAGGGCACCGGCGTTGACAGGTGGCAGCCGCAGCTTCAGCCTGCTGCCAATCTGCCCTGCCATTGCCACCAACTCCTGCACGCCCATGACACCTGCACCCCCCAAAGATCACACCATGATCACCCACTGGCACCTTTGCAAGGCTATTTCGAGCTCCTTCAGACCACGAAAACAGTGTGGTGATTGGGAGATATGGCCACAAACTGTCTTCAGGTGCTGTCTATGTGCAGAGCACCTGTGGGGTGCAGCAGAGCTGGAGGCAGGGTGCAATCAGCTTCCTGGGCAGACTGCAGGAGCTTTGCAGAGAGGGGTGGCAGGCTGAGGACGGGCAGGCGGCCATCGCTGGCCCAGCGCAGGATGTCCATGGGAGTCACTGCTTCCCTCAAATACCAGCAGCCCAGGAATGATACTGCCAGCACTGCATCCGGATTGAGCGCCTGCAAAAAACACAGCATTCATGAGACAACAAGACATAAGCGCAAGCAATGTCAGCTGGTGATTGCTGCATATTTGCAGAGGATAGGTCGCAGGTGAAAAAGGGGTCCAACCTTCCACACAGCCGCCTTCAGGGCTGTCCTCCAGACAGGTTTCCGGCTGCTCTCCACTGTTTCGTGCTCCTGGAGTGCAGGTGCCTCGAATGACTGCTCCACAATCCTGCCACGTGGAAGGGAAGTGTGACTTCCCTTCTCAATGATGTGAACGGCGAGGACTCAACTTCCGGAGAAAGTCTTTACAAGGCCACACGCTAGCCGCTATGAACAGAGCCCACACTGTATCTATGGTGCACCGGAGTGCCAACTGGATACAACAGGAATACCTAGCATTGCAAGAGCAATCCAAAATCTTTGCTGAACCCCAAACTACCTGTCTGAAGAGGCTGTTCTAACTAGCGCGCTCCACAACCACGAGGAGACTGCAAGTCACAGTCAAGAGGGCTTCACAAGCAGCATGTATGCTTGCCTGGAGAAGTTCTGGGTCAAAATGCCGCTCTCTGCAATGTTGGCCAGCCAGAGTCGCCGGACAACGGATGAAAGGGATGCACCCAGGCCACACTCTGTCTGCAGCACTGTGACGACATCCTGTACAACAAAGTTCATGAGGAGGTGATGCGCGGGTTTCTCAATCCAAGCACAAACGAATAACATGTCTTTTACGTCACAAGGGTGATACCACACCTGCAGAGCATGTTGCAGGCACCGACAGTACCACAGCATCATTTTCTGTATGCTGTCTGCTTTAGGAGTCTCATCAGTAGACCGGGCCTCTAGCTTGACCACAGGTGCTTTGCTTCTCTGAGCACGTTGACGATATCTGCTGTCATCGATACCTGTTTGGAATTCTTGGGCCTCCTCGACGTAGACCTGTGCAGAGGATTCCATGAGAAGTGACCATGCCGAATGATGGAAAAAAATGGTAGAGATGGCTATTCAATGTCATGGATGCTTGAAAACAGACGAATGCAATACCTGCGATTGGGTCCCACATGAATCACAGACTAGGACACCGTTGGTGAGAGACCACGATGTGCCAAAGCACAAAGGGCAGTGGGACGGAGCCGGGTCCATTTTCTTGCCATAAATAGCAGCGGTTGTAGGAGATTAAGTGCCAGAAAATTGCAATCTGCAAAATTCCTTTCTGGATTGAAGGCTACCAAGAAGAGTATGGGAAGAAAGAATGGAGGAAGCTCCCCCAATTCCCTGGGAAGCTTCCCAGTTGAGCAGACAAGCTTCCGACATTGCCTTCACTTTTGATGACATCGAAGTTAGAAATGCTGCAGACAAGAATACAAGCACACAATCCAATTAGTAACACATGAAGCTGCATGTCATCTGGAAGTTGTGACCCACTTGCCGATTCTCTCCTGGGGATCAGAAAGAAGAGGTCACCTTGCACGGTGCTGGTTCCAGTCCCCGGACTGGCCAGTGTATTTCATATTTCCTTTCTAACCCCTTCCCTCCTTGTCTCCTGATTGCACAACACGACCTGGTGCGCATGCTAGCTATTGCACCAGAGAGCAAAGCTCAAAATTCAGCGTTCAGTTTCTGATGATACATGCCGGCGGGCGCGTCAGAGATTCAAGGATGTGGGGGTCTGCAGACCAGCTGATACTGCTAGTCAATGATGCAGAATATGCTGCAGGCTGCACTGCCGACTCTGCTTTGCAAAGCTTCAATCCCACATGGGATACCGCTCAATCATGAAAAGGCCAGTTCTTGCGCGAATGTGAGGGATGCGTCTTTTTTAATAGATTTAGACGCAGTGACACATGTGCAGGCCTAGGTGTTTTACACAACCTTCAAGCTGGTGTCTGCAGTCCAGCCGGCTTTCATGCATGCGACCAGTATTCAGGATGGTGAGCTCAGGGCACAGACACAGGCACCTCATGCCAATTTCTCATTCCTCACAACAAAACTGGCAGCATCATCCATCAGTGAGCCCTGCTTGCTTCAGCACCTCCAAGAACTCATCCTCGTCATTGAAGGGCACTTCTGGGATCTCGTGTTTGAAGTACTCCGAGATGGAGTCCAGTATTCTCTTCTCCTGCATTGAGATGGAAGCGCTGTCAACACATCATCCGCAGGCCTAGCACTCAGAATGCATGTGTGCCAAGAAACACATAAGTGGGCAAATCATCAGAGGAGAAGAAGCACCTGCTCTCCGCTGACCAGGTTGAATGCAGCACCCTTGCGCCCAAAGCGGCCGCTGCGCCCGATGCGGTGCAGGTAGGTCTCATAGGCTGGAGTGGTCCAGTCTTTCTCCACCGGCACATCATAGTTGATCACCAGCGTCACCTGCACCCCACAACACTGTCAGCCGCTCTGTACACCCACTGGCCACACCAGCAGCGTGACATGGCAGATCATATGGCTGTCATGCATGTACTGTGCACAGAAGACGGACTCAAATGGCCACGTCAGCAGCGTCACATGGGCAAGCGTAAGGCTGTCATGGATGAAGTGAGCACGGAAGACCGACTCAAATGGCCGCGTTGGCGGAGTATCACACTACCGCTGTCAAGACTCAGAAGGCTTCCAATTTTGGAGGGTGTGCATGCAAGCTTGCCTGGGTGACATCAAAGCCGCGGGAGAGGACGTCGGTGGAGATGAGGATCTTGGTGGTGCCGTTACGGAACTCGTTGACCACCTTGTCCCGCAGCTCGTTGTCCATGTCGCCCCGGATGCTCGTGCACCGGTGGCCCTCGCTCTCCATCTGCCCACCCGCATGCATTATATTCATTATCGATTATTGCATACTGCACGGTATTGCTACCATAAGAACCAAGGTGCGTCTGCTGACAAGCCAGCATTTTTGGGAACCCCAGGCACATGCAAAAAGGATCGCAGTGTGAGGAGAGCAGCATCAGTTAGGAAAGGCAAGCAGGAGGTGGGAGGGCTCACGGCTGCGTGGAGGGAGCGGGCGACCTCTCTCGTCCTGACAAAGATGATGGTCTGGCCCAGCTTCTCACACTGAGGGAAGATCATCTCCTTCAGCACGCTCACCTTGTCCAGCGGAGTTGGACAGTCCTGTGACAATGATGACAAAAACTTGAGCGATGCTTTTGCTGCGCTTTGCAAGTATCAAAGGTGACTTGCGCAAGTGGTCACAGAGAGTATCAGCAGCAGGGACTCACCACCCTGTACTGCTTGATGACGTCCAGAGACAAGTCTTCCCGCGGCACAAACACCTGTTGCAAGAGATTATCATTCAGATCCAGGCACGAAGCAAAAGCACAGAGCATATCTGAGATAAAGTCATGGGATTCCTGCAGCACTGCAATAATTCGCACGCAGCACGCAGACACACTCTGACGTGGAGCAGGGAGCGCACCTGATTGGCATCCTCTCTGCCATTGTCCCTGACCACCCTCAGCGCATAGTTCTTCACCTTCTCGTTGAAGGTGGCCGAGAACAGCAGGATCTGCACATGCTGCTGCGCATCCTTGCGCAGAGTCCCAATCATCCTCACGGAGTCCGATGCAAAGCCATCCATCTGCACAGGCGCACCACTCAAAACGTCTTGGACATTTGAGCCTGCCGCCTCAACATTCAGTAGTCAAGTAGTCTTTGGGCATCATTCACAGCTGTGCAGGTCTGGCTCTGACCCTCCGACCAGGCATGCAAAATTAGGCCATACATTCCAGGGGAGGTACCAGAAATTCAAGGTTAAATAGGGGTGTCCCACCTTCAGCATCTCATCTGCCTCGTCAAAGACCAGGATTCTGGCAAATCTGAAGCTGAGGATCCGCTTGGACATCCAGTTTTTCAGCGTGCCATGCGTGCCTATGACCACCTGCTCTGTGATCCTATGGTTCCTGCAATTGGATCAGTGCAACAGAATCGTCAGGCCAAAGTATAAACAGGGGCAAGAAGCACATTGAAATTCGCGCTGAGGCAGTGCAGGCGCACCGAGAGAACTGGGTGCCGGCCAGGGAGGACGTGGCCTTGATGGTTGTGTGTTTGGCCATCTTCTCAAGCACCATCAGGTTCTGAGCCACCAGCTCCCTGCATGCACCCTTGTCGTCAGCACTGGCTGCTGCCATGCACAAAGCAGAGCGCCCAAAAATGAAATCCTTGGCGGCCAGTGCATTTTCTTCTTTAACTCGTCCATATGCGGACCAATATGCTGCAATGGACAAGGCGGCGAGGGACCAAAGAGACCTGGTGGGGCAGACACAGATGGCCTGGGGCTGTGCTACTGCTGGGTCGACTCTGCTGAGCATGGCAAGCGTGAAGCAGGTGGTCTTCCCGCTGCCATTGTGGGCCTGCACAATGCAATGCATGTGCTTAGATCCCTATATGATGTCATTGTCTTGTTATAAAAGGCCAGCATGTCGCTTGCATCCAGTGCAGCTCTTCTTTGCATGGACAGTACCTGAGCTATGAGACTCCTGTGTGGGGGAGTGAGGATCATTGGTAGCGTGAGGGCCTGAATGCGCGATGGTTTCTCAAATTTCATTTCTGTGTATATGCCCTGCAACCCACAGCAAAGCCATCTGAGTCACTTGGCACTGGTAGAGTCATTTTGATGACAGGCAGCATGCTTGTAAGGGGAATCAGATAAACATGGCACCCCTGCCTTCAAGAGGTCTTCAGACAAGCGGAGATCCTCAAAGGACGTTGCTGATGCATAGATGGTGTCTCCAGCAGGAACTGTCTTAATGTCTTCAGCTTCCGGCTCCTGCAACCCTTGTGGGCTGGGACTGGGTTCATCTGCAGTCCCATTCTCACCACCAGCCTGTGACGGACCAGATAGATAGCTGAGATCTTGAGCCCAAAACATGAACACAAGACGTGCACCCAGAATTTGAAGCTTAGCTGTCAATTAAGCACCTCCTGTGATCTGCTGACCTCCTCATTCAGGTTGTGTGTCCCAGGATTGACGCTCTCAAGACCTGGAGGACCTGACATGTGCAAACCAGCTCTTTTAATCCCTGCTCATTTCAATGTACTTCAGTGAATTCTTCATTTTTTTCTATGTGGGTCACAGGACCAACGCAACGAATTCAGAGAATTCGACAAAAAGTGATGATCTGCATACCACTGCCACTATTTCTATCTCCATCAAGGCTACCAAGATCTTGGTGTCCCTGCAACATGCAACAGTTGCATTCAGCAAGTTGAAAAGATTTGATCAGCCTAATCTGTCATGATCAGCAGACGTAGGATGCTTCACCTGACTGCTCTCCATCTGCTCCAATAAATAGGGCCAATATTATATTGGAGAGTGTGAATTGTCTCCAAAAAGTAATTCAAATATTTTTCACGAAGATGCAGTCATGTTTATTCAAGCGTGATTCTCCTCATCTGAACACAGCTGAACTCAGCTCTCGGCAGCTGCTCAGAGCTTCTACGGATCCTACGGGCGCTGCCATGCCAAGACATGTGACTGCGACATATGAATGCGCAAGCAGTGTAAGGTGGTCTTTTCGTACAAATTGCAAGACATCTGTCAACACTTAAGGTAATGGGTGATTGTCCAAATCTCACGGCAGCACACACAGCGCGATCTTTGCTGCAGGCCACCACTGATAGTATTAATTAGGAGAGTTCGATGCAGAGCAGAGTTATAACCAGATTTCAGAAACCTGATATTGTAGAAAAGAATATTTGGTTCTGTACTTAGTCACCTAATAGCGGATCAAGCAAGAAGTAGTCACAGATCAGGGCTGTCATGTTTCCTGATTTTGCCTTGTGACGATCATTTGATCGGCCTCAATGCAGAATCGATAACTTTGGAAATACAGTGTGAATCCACCTGCCTAGTATGGCGATTGGCAGGCTTCCTGCGACATTGTTCTGGATAAGCATCTTACTAGAGCTAGGCTTGGTATCCTTCTGTGCCCTCTGGCCCATTAGGGACCATCTCAGACATGCACCGTCAGTGCAATACCTCTGGAGCCTGTACAGCGTCGACTCCAATATGGATGTGTGGGTACAATGCCTATTGCACTGCCTGGTGCTTCCGTTCTGCTTCCTAAGAGTGGCAGGTCAGAATCGCCGGCATACGAGGCGCTACGCCAGTGCCAGGCTGGGAATCTCATGCATTGTGTACTTCTGCCAGGTGAGCTGACACCTCAGCATTGCATTTCCTGCATTGAAGTCTGATAATTACCATCATCGCTTGACACTGAGAGACTCTGCGTTGCAGTTGCTGTGCCTGGGAAAGGCAGTGCTGGTGGCGTTGCTTGGGAAGGAGATCCTGTGGCCAGGCAGGCATGGCAAAGCTGGACTGATATTCATGTACGGGGCAATCTGTGCGAGCTTAGTTGGACTCTTTGCACAGCTGCTGTCAGCCACAGCACTGGTGACAGGTGTGCACAGCATCTCACCACCATTCTGCTGCCCTTATTGTCCTGCAGCAGCATGGCCTCTTACACTTTGCAAATTGTTCTTCATCTGCTTTTGCTGGTGCACCTGTTTCTGAGGGGTACAATGCGGGGTGGCCAGCCTGGGAGGAAGGGCGTGAGGAACAGGGAGAAGAGGCGCAGTCGCTTCTGGGCAAGACGGAGGAGAAGGAGAGGGGCGCCAGGCGCAGGAGCACTGTGGCTGTGCTGCTTGCATTCAGCGCCCAGGACACATCACTCCTGCTGCTGGCATTCCTGGCAGGTAAGTGGGCGGCTGATCGAGAAAATCTGGCCCTTTGCCTGGCAACAAGGCTCCTCCCGCACTGTATATTCCCCCTCCGATCCCGGTAGCTTGCTCAATTAGCTGCATGATGTTATGCGCATGTCAGCTTCTCAAAGAGTGGATTGACATGTGAGCAGGGGCGGCGGCAGCGCTCGGGCAGGCGCTGATCCCGTACTACACAGGGGTGATCATAGACTGCGCGTCCATTGATCCGGACTTCAAGGAGTTCCAGTGGACCTGCCTGAAGCTGGTGATCGTGTCGCTGGGCTGCGCGGTCTTCACGGGCATCAGGGGCGGCCTGTTCACCATAGGCATGACGCGGCTGAACGTGCGGATACGCACTAGCCTGTTCGACTCCCTGATGCGGCAGGAGATCTCTTTCTTCAGTTCCACGCGGACAGGTTTGTTTGAGCACCTGTTTCATTGTTATTCTCGAGGGCTTTGTCCTGCTTAGTAGTCATTTGCAGACTAGCATCGTGCTGAGGAGCGCCATCCTTGAGTCTGGCTGCTCGTTTCTTACTGCATGTGCATGTGGACAGTGCCTGATTCACTGTCAGACATATTGACAAGAGAAAGGCATTGAACTTTGGCCTGGGCTCTAGCCTTGTACGCTATCATCAGGCAGAAGGGATGCTTGGTGGTGTCATAGCGGTATATCAAGCACAGCAGAGTAACATACCTGGCTGGCGCTGCAGGTGAGATCACCAGCCGGCTGTCGGCAGACACAACAACGGTGTCGGACCAGATCTGCCTCAACATGAACGTGGGCCTGCGCAGCCTGACACAGGCGGCCATGGTGCTGGTGTTCATGTTCCGAGCCTCCTGGCGCCTCTCAGTCATCACATTTATCATTATCCCCGCCATCATCCTCATCACCAAAGTCTACGGCGCCTACTACAGGTGACTACCGGCCCACCACATCCCTCCCTGCCTCTTTTTTCTCAGCCTCCCCTAGTTTTGCATTGAAAAATAGATTCACCCTCTGTCCGGGGTAGAGGAGCCTTTCCGCTGCTTCTCGCACCCCTCTCCTGGCCCAAGAATTGCTTACTGCAATCTGGCAGCATTTGTGTTCGCTGTGTATATCCCTGCACACCTGTGGCTGGCATCATGCATGCATGTCATGCCTAATTGAGCATGCCTTGAGATTGAACAAGATGTGAATGGATGGTGTGAATATTGGCTCAGGGAGCTGGCAAAAGCGGTGCAGAAGGAGCTGGCGGATGCCAATTCAGTGGCTGAGGAGGCGCTGTCATCCATGACTACTGTGCGCGCGCATGCTGCCGAGAACTCTGCCAAGGCGGCCTACCAGGAATGCCTGCGGAAATTCTACACGCTGCAGGTTTGTGGCACATTCCTTCTGACAGAATTCCTGAATTAGAACCTATGCAGCCATCTTAGAGATGAGCGTTTGGAGGAGCTGGAAACAATGCAAAGCAAATGGTGAAGAATGTGCATTCCATGTGATGCAGTTGAAGGAGGCCCTGGCTTATGGGACCTACATGATCTGCACCACGTTCTTGCCCAATGCGGTCAATGTGGTGACGCTGTACTACGGTATGCTTTCTGCCACCCTCCCACAGTGTCCTATCAGACTGTGCTTTTCGCATTACAGAGCTGTCATAGCTTTCAACTCAGATCCTTGGCATGCCTACAGGTGGGAATCTGGTGCTTGATGGAATGATGTCAGCTGGGGCTCTCGTCTCCTTCATGCTGTATGTGGCCTCCTTGAATGGAGCCTTTCAGGTGATTTAACTCTCAAATCTGAGACCACTTGCAGACACACTTCGATCTTTTTTCACTTTGTCAATGCCAGATCCTTCACTTACTTGTCAGACCTCTCCTGCTGGGCTCTCTCTGTACCAAGGTGGACTTCAGAAGATGTCTTATTTTGAATTCTTTCAGTAAGCATGTTCCTCTTGAACGAATGAGCATGACCATGTGGGCTGACTGTGGGTGGACTGGGCTGACAGGCACTGGGGGACGTCTTTTCGGCGTTTGCGGCAGCGCTCGGGGCGGCGGACAAGGTGATAGAGCTGATACAGCGCGAGCCGCAGTTACCGGACGCGGGCAGCCTGCAGCCGCCGTCCTTCTCTGGCCGCCTGGAGCTGCAGGACGTGAGCTTCAGCTACCCCTCGCGACCAGACTCGCGCGTCCTAGACTCCATCTCCCTGCGGGTCAACCCCGGCGAGGTGCGTATTTTGCCGCGCATTTTTTAACAGTATTACATGTTTTCCAGTTCCTAGGCATCTAGGACATAGGTACGTCCAGCAACACGTTACTCAGATTTCTCCATTCTGTGTGGTCATGTCACTTTCTCTACCAAAGCCAGTGACAAACCAATGGAGTTCAAATCGTCCCTCACGTAATCATTCGCCGCGCATTGAGCCTTGGTATAGATGCGGGGAGTGCCTGCATGGATAATAACACATCAGGGCAGCTGCAATGCATGCAGTGAGGTGACAGAAGGAAGAGTATGGGCGCTTGCTCCTTTCGCATGGGCTGCTTGACATTGGCTGCTCCTGGCATGATGGTTGGCACGGAGAAATTGTGTCATCCTTGCGCCCCATGTCATCGCAGTGACTTATGACAGTTGAGTAGGTTGCAAGCCAGAATACATGCTGACACAGCAACACACTTGCGCTGTAAGCTGCCGTTTGTGTAGCCGAGCTCACGTGGCTTCAGCGGCCTGCATGCATCGCTGTCAAAGTACACGAGTCATGCGGGACTTGTGTGTGTGCTGATGCAGGTGGTGGCGTTGGTGGGGCCGTCGGGCGGGGGCAAGACATCGATAGTGAAGCTGGTGGAGCGCTTCTATCTGCCGGACGCGGGCGCCGTACTGCTGGACGGCCTCGAAGTGGGCGCCTACGACCCCCGCTGGCTCAAGCGCAGGGTCGCCCTCGTAGCCCAGGTGCCCCCCTCACTCCATGCGCCCCAAGATCCACTTGTGTGAAGAGAGCAGAAGAAACCGGTGAACGGCAACTGGTGCAGCACCGATGCCTCCTTGACAGCCGAATGATTCCTGTGATTCTGGCCAAGAAGTATCTGCGAACTTGAAGCCCGAGTCGCACCTCAACCACATGCTGAGAGGTCTGTACAGAAGAATGTAATCAATAGAAATGGACCCCGACCTGCAATCTACATAAAAGCACAGCTGGGCCGAGCTTGTTGTGGTGCTTGGCTGCGCAGGAGCCGGTGCTGTTTGCGCGCAGCGTGCGGCGCAACATCTGCTACGGGCTGGAGGCGGAGGACGGCGTGCACCCGAGGGACATCCCTTCGGCTGCTGACGTGGAGCGCGCGGCGCGGCTGGCCAATGCGCATGACTTCATCTCCGCCATGCCCCAGGGCTACGACACCGTGAGTGGCCTGCCCTGCATTTGCCCAATGCAAAGGGGTTAAAAAGAGTCATAGGTTGTTTGTTGCAGTGGCCCAGGGCAATGGCAGTGTGAGTGGCTGGCCTGCCTGAAAGTTGCACAGCGGTCGATAAGAATCATGACAATGGCGTGTGTCGGCATTGGGTCACCATTAATGTCATGATGGCCCAATGGTGGCACATACTGTAGCCGTGACTCTCTTTGTTTAAGTGGTTAAGCGAGGCACCAATAATACTGCATCATGCTGCCATGAAAGTATATTGTGCCTCTGTCCTCTGCATGGTGGAGGATGTCAATTATGAAAGGGATGGCTGAACTGATGGAGTGGTGGCAGATTCTTAGAGGCTCTTTGTTGTGCAGGATTGTGGGGAGAAGGGAGTGTCTCTGTCGGGAGGGCAGAAGCAGCGCATTGCCATTGCAAGGGCGCTGGTTCGCAACCCGACAGTTCTACTTCTGGACGAGGCGAGTCCCCATCGAATTTATCAACACTTATTGTTGCTTTGCTTCATTGCCAATTTCTTGTCGCTGACACGCTGGCAGCCAAATGCCCCATATGGGTGCTTGCTCTGTGCTCTTGGAAGGACACTGTTGGAAATGCTGCTGCTCTTGCATGTTCTGTGCCGTGCAAATCTAGGTGGGATGGAGTGGGGATGACATAATTTAATACGATGATGGTTGTTGTGCTTCGCAGGCGACGAGCGCGTTGGATTCTGACAGTGAAGCGGTGGTGCAAGAGGCGCTGGACCGTATGATGAGGAATCACACCGTGCTAGTCATTGCCCACCGTCTCTCCACAGTCGCAGGCGCCGACCGCATCCTGTGAGACCTCTCTGCTCATCGCTGACTTGTCATCTGGAGTCTTCCATGCCTGCATACAAGGCCTGTTGCTGGATAGCCTCTGTGAAGGAAATGGGTACACTTCATGAACCAAGAGTCTTGATGCTAAGGGGCTCATTGCTCTTTCGCGGAATTGTGGTCTACGGATCGAGGAGATTGAAAGAAGAGAACATTTGTGACAAATAGATGGGCTGAGCGGTTTCTAGATGTGTGCTGGATTTACAGTGACTGCGCGTGCTGCAGGGTGATTCAAGGGGGCTCAGTGGCAGAGGAGGGAACGCATGAAAGCCTGGCAGAGGCTGGAGGCCTCTATTCAGCACTGGTGCGCAGCTCTTTCCTCCCCATGAACAGTGCTCTTGTGGGAAAACATGCTTCTGCCACTCTTTGAGATTTGTTGTTGGTATCAGATGACGGCAACTTACTGGAGGAGATTTACATTGATCGCAGATGTGAAGGACCCAAAGTGCAATTCCTCACCAAAAAGATGCTTCTGTATTCTTGCAGGTCCGGAGACAGTTCTCCAAGACAGCGTCGTCGGCCTCATTAGCCACTACTGTGCATGGCAGCTCATATACATCACTGCCTGCCCTGAACCCTCTCGCACCAGCAGCAGGACAACCTTCTCAAGGCACCCCCTTGTGACACCTGCTGTACATGTATAATCTGTCTGTTTGCTGTTAGGTCTGTATGTAGGTACTGTAGAAATTGTAGCTATAGCAGAGGTGCACACTCTTCCTCAAGAGTGGATCACAATGTATCCCCAAATGTTCTGTAATGCATGTAGAAGCAAACAGAAGATTTGCTCTGCCAGCCCTCCTGGTTGATGTCTCCTGCCCTTCTAAGTACCCGAACAACCTGCTGCATCCAGCTTTCGAATGCTAGATCTGAATAACACTGATAATTCTGACAGGGCATGTTGCATCCTACAAAGCCCCCAAAAAGTATCTGAAAGGTACTACTGGGCCGTTGCAGCCCTTGCATCATCACAACCCTGGCACGACAGGGCGCTCTCTGCCGATGGCATACATTCTTGCAGTAAAATTCTTGACACTAAAATGAGAAATGGTATCAGGTATGTGTCCATGCCTCCCTTGATACCCACCCTTTCCCAGCACAGCGCAAGCACGCCCCTTTTCCCACAACGCAGCCCCCAAATTGCTTTGACTTCTGTCTTCAAGCATCCCTGCCTTGCATGTCATGTAATAGCCCCACTTAGAGGTCATCTGGCGCCTGAGGGTCCATAGGAACACAAACACGATATTCTCTTGATAGTTTCACACCAACTATCAAGAGAATACTGTGAGCAGATGCTTTTGCCACCGTGCAGCCCCCCACCAATGCTGCAACTTCCCGCCATCAGATAGATTCCATGAGAACTGCGGTCATGCTATGGCGGAGATGTCAAAGTAGGTCGCGCGCAGGTTGACCTCCTGCCCCTTCTGGTTGCGGACTTTGAGGGAGGGGCTGACGTTGACGACCATGCGCTCGCGCTTCCACAGCTCCTCTTCCATCCGCCGCGCCTGCTTCATGCCAGCCGCCAGCGCCAGCCGCACCGCCCGATGCCACTTCTGCACCACCATCCGCCTGCAACCCCGCCACAACCAACTGACATGCCTACTCTGCAGCACAGCCGTGGAGCGTGTAGGAGAGGGCGCTGTGAAGGACAATAAGATCATCCCTGGCGTGGCATTGTTGAGCGCTGAAGGAAGCAGCAGAGGCCCCATTTCAAGTATCATACTAAGCAAGACTATGCCAAGATTGCAGATCATGCGCAAGCAGCTTATAATCTCTGAACAATAGTCAGGGACAGCCTGGGAGCATGCAGAACGTCACGGACGATGGCTGCAATTTCGCCTGGATTTTTGGTTGCAAAAGAAAATATGAAGTTTCGTCGTGCCTGTGGGCGCGGTTGTACTCGACGCAGAGCGTTCGGATGAGGCGCCAGTGGCGTTTGGCGCGCGCTGCCTGCTGCTGGTCGGAGTACTGCTGCAGGCTCTCCAGAATGCTCTTCCCCGTGAAGGCCTGGTTTATGCTGTTGGCCGGCCACTTGAACGTCAGCACCATCGCCGCAACATCCACCCCCGCCGGCCTGCGCATTATCAATCCTTCCCATGCACTTGCAATTTTGTTCATTTGCACTTTTGATCATACTCTAACTCAAGGTATACTGGCCCAGGCTGGCGGGCTTTGATGCACATTGAGCAACGTGCCCACAGTTGGTTGGGTCTCGCGTGAATCTGGCAAGGTTTATGATATTGGCAGCCTTCACCTTTAGACGTACCTTGCCTCTGGCAGAAAATACGTGTCATAAGAAAGGTAGTAATACTTCAAAAATGGGGCAGACCCAAGAACGCCCCTGGCACGATAGGCACCGCTTCAAGATAAAGGTGATGATATGTGAAGCAAGTCGGCTGCACCTGGGTAGCCTGTCGGTGATCTGCTGCTCAGCAAAGCAGACGAGGTGGTTGGCGGTATTTGGCGCGCGGCCACCGCTCCCCTCGCACGCCTGAGCCTCCAAGTCTGCTGTCGCCTGCAGCCGCAAGTCTCATTTCAGAATCCCTCACAGCACGATGACACAAATCCTCTCCTCCACATGATCGGCCACCCAACATTTCTTTCCACCCATATGATAAAACTCTTGTCAGTTCTGGGTTCTTCAGCTGCGCACTGTTTGACGCGTGCACTGCATTGCGAACCCAGGATCTGTGCCCTGACCATCAAAAGTGCCAGCCATCCGACAAATAGTCCCTGGCAAGCATTGCGCAGGTCGTGGCATGTCTGTGTTTGAGCTACACGCTGCCTGGCAAGAAAACTCCCCAGTAGGAAAAGCAGGGGACGTGCTCTGAGGTAGAAGTGGGAGCGCAGTGCGGTGGCGTCGGGGCTGGCCAGGCGCCAGAAGCCGGTCGAGCCGATGATGACGGATTCGTGGATGGCCGTCAGCTGGCGCTCGACCGTGTGCACCGGCGCCTGCATGGGCTGCGAGTCCCACTCCACCTTCTCTGCAGCGTCCCTCCTCCCACGGTTGTAGGCATCTGTTCAGCACGTGCACATGCCCCTCTTTCTTGGACATTGTGGGCTCTGGCAATCAGGACAGGTATGGAGACAAATTACACTCTAGAGTATCATACAAGTGTGGCAGGTCTACAGACTTGCAGTTGGCAACAAGGAGGTCACCTGCGAGATGTTGCTGCTTCCAGCGGCCGGTGCCGACGGGGCAGACGGAGTGGGAGTCCGGCACAGAGGCAGGGGTGAGGAAGCTGGCCTCGGCCACCTGCACTGCCAGGCCATGCACCAGCTCCCCCAGGATCATGTTGGACCCCCCGCTGCACGCCAGGTACACCCTGTGCAGCCGCCTGTCCAGAAACACCATGCTCCCGCTCGCCCCGCTGCTCGCCCTCACCTGCACAGCATCACCCCAGCGCTCCAGAGTCAGTGTGACGCTCACTGGCGCAGCATACTGCATGTGTGCCTTCGGGAGATACAAGGGGAGCTTTATTTCATTTGGGGTGTGGTTGAGCTTTGTCAAGGGGATCTGACGCACCGACTCAGGGTAGGCCCTGCTGGCCAGGAAGTCTTCGTCAAGCCTGAAGAAGGTCTGCCGGAGCGCCTCTGAGATGTTGGCTGCGTTGGCTGACATCTGGGCTGCCACCACCTGGGTCATTCATAGCGCTATATTAATACGATGGTAGTGCCATCGTAGTGAGACTGACGATCAAGCTCCATTCAGGTGCGAGTTCCCTGGTCGAGTAAGATGAATGGTGGAAGGGCAGACCTCCAATACTCTCGAGGTGCAGAACTCTGCAGCGTGCTTCGATCCATGGATATCGAATAGAGCTGCGAAGATGTATTCTGGCTGTATGTCTACCACTGACAGCTGAGAAAGGGGCAGGCAAGTGAGCTTTCCAGCAACAGAAACGCCCACCTGCAATTAATATAACACTGTGTCAATTTGACAGCCTTTTGTCAGTTTAGCAATCTTGTAGCTACTTATGCTCTTGGCAATGACATTGAGATTTTCTCTGCTGCGACCCGAGAAGCCGTCTATGACTCTTTTGTTTTTAAGTCAGGGTGCAGGGGCTCACCTGCGCTCCATCACTTCCATACTGCGATGCTGCAAAGGAATGATGTTGGTGTGACTGAAAGGCAGACGAACTGTGACTGCCAGCTTTACTGCCGCAGCAGCCCATGTGCTCTATAGTAGTACCAGGGGCACAGGCTTGTCAGGGAGGGGAGCTAATCAAGGGGTGATCCGGATGGAAATAAGCCGCAGCACAATGCCATTTCCCATCCCTGGCACTTCTAGATAGCTAAAAAATTGTACGAATTTTGATCAAAAGGAATTCTGCGTGGAGCTGCTTCTCGGAGTTTGAAAGGCTCAATGCCCAGTGAGTCACTGCTGATTGAGTCACTGCTGATGATGTCATGATTTGAGATAGATCATTGCTGTTGCGGGCATTCCTAGGGCCAAATTAGCAATCTTCGTGCTACGTTCTCTGTCAAAGGCGGAGTTTGGTTCGTAAGTTTGAGAAGCCCGCACTTGGAGAGGGCCTAGAACATGGACGGCCTGTTGGCAGCACTGTAACCGGAAGTGAATTATGAATGCATGGGTTAACAATTGTTCCCAAGCAAGTAGTTTATACCCATCTGCCAATCTCATATCTTTCGAGAGGAGGGCACGAGTTGTAACTACAAGACATAGCTACCACCAGCGACGGCCAGCAGATGGCTGGAAGCGGTACGCAGGAGGGTCCTATAGGAAGCCTTTCTCAGCTTTCAATAGAAACAACCACTACACATCTGGAACCACGCAGTGGGGACCTCTCCAGAGTGTCATCCCTTTCAGCCAGGAGGTCAGAGCCTCCTAAACCACTCTTGCATATTCACATGGTTTTGACAAAACTAAGGTACTATATAGCGAACCTGGATGTTGAGATGCCCTTCTGTGTTGCAGGCTGTGCTGATCCTCGTCCCTGTTGTCATTGTGGGCATCCCATGGCTTGTCGAGCACTGGCAGCTGGCAGCGATAGTGACTGCTGTTGTGTACCTGGGCCCTTTTGGCTCTGTGCTCACAGGCTTCCTGCAGCCCAAGAAAGCAGGTCTATCGCAGCCATTCTGGGATGAACAGGACCAGGTGCATATCCCAATTTTTCTTGGCTGCCATCTCTTGTCCAGGTCCATGGATCATGCAGTTGCGCAAAATTCTGGCACAGTGCTGATCCTTTCATTGGGGGGACAGGATCCAAGGCTCTTCAAGCCCATCATTGATGTCGAGGTGATGCCAGATGAGGAGCCTTCCACGACCTTTGCTTCCAGACAAGGGTCAGAGCAGATTCCACAGCGTGAAATTCCCTTATCATCATCAGACAGCCAGGGCTTCGTGAAAAGGACACAGCCAGCTCCTGTGAGGTGAACATGTGCTCAACTGCTGTTTTGGTCACAACACATTCATCAATGGCCTAAAGTGCCCTTTTCGTGGATGCATAGCTATCGAATATAGAGAAATAGGAAGGCAGACACAAGGCGGAGCAAGCGCCAGATATAAAAGAAAGGGCTGCCTCGCAAGTGCACGTCATGCATTAACAGTACAAGGATCCCTCCCGCCAAGAGCACTAAGTTGCATTAGTGAATTGTCTTGCGGATGTGCATCGCAGGAGGAGGGTGTACACAAGGCGTACTGCTGTCATACGTCAGGAACCACTACAGCAGGCGCCAGTGCAAAGAAGAGATGAAACAGACTCAGGGGGAGTTGGGGAGCATTACTGGCGGATTCGCAAGCAGCGGAAGAGCTTTTGGGCGGCAATTTTATCCCGCCTGCCCATCATCAGGCGGTGGGGCGGGTTTCTCTGAGGGCCTCTGAGCGGATGTGTGAGTGAGCGAGTGAGTTTAGCGAGAGTGTGTATGTATCAGCTTGAACCCTATATTATGTGTATACTGCAATGCGCTTTTTACTGGTGCACTGTATTATTTGTGGGAATCATGTATTGCAAGTGCAGCGGTTATGAGGTGGAATATTTTGCATATTCAAATTGCCACATTGCAATCGTTTGCAGATTGCAATGGCCTTCCTATACGGTCTTCTTTCGGGACAGCTGCCCCTCAAAGAAGGTTGCAAGTTGCCTATCAGCTTTTTAATGTTTCGTAGAAGGCTCATGCAAGCGACTTCAAGCTACACGATATATTCTACACAGCTGGCAAGAACGATGTGCGGAGGAAAATATACCGGCAAAGTCCGGCATTTATTCAGCCCCCGGCTATGTTCATCACAGGTCCAACAGGGACACCAGCGGGTTCTGCTGCAGGTTGCACGCCCTCTGCGCTTCCAAGGCAGGTGCACCAAGTGTCCACTCCGTCCACGAGTCTGTGTGCCGGATCTTGGGCGACGCCTGCACGCTGTCAACCTCAACCCAAGGCAGCACACCGCCCTGGCCTGCCCTGTCCTGCGGGCTACTCCCGCTGTTTGCGCCGTTCGTGGCAAACGGCTGTGGCTCAGCGGACGCAAACGCCGCATCACTGCCGAAGCCAGCAGCGGGAACTGCTTTGTTGGGGGGTGATCCATTTGAGAAGCCGGGCTGCTCTGCGGAGGCCTGCCGAGCGCCGTTGACTTGTACCTCGAAAAGGGCCTTGCCGGGATTCATGGGTGGGCTCTGCGTGGGGCTGCTGCCGGCGACTGAGAGGGCGGCCAGGCTGCTGAGGCTGTCATGGAGCCTGTATGGCATGCTGTTCTGAGTCACGGGGGTGGATGCAGCAGGGCTGTGGCTGAAGCTGCAGGGGAGCGGCTGCAGCGGCGCTTCGTTTGCACTGGGGCTGGCCCACAAAGGGCTGCCGTGCAGGGCATGGCTGGCTGTCCTGCTTTGAATGCCCGACCCTGTCACAGAGCCCAAAACAGTCATCTTGGCGGCACAACGCTCTTGCCAGTGCACTAGGACAGGGACGCACATGCAGGGCAGGACTCTGTAGGAGAAAGCACCGCAAAATGCACGCAGGATTGAGGAAGCACCGGGGCTGGGTGAGCTGTCGAGGCTGGCCCAGCTGGCCATGTCTATAAAGGGGTCTAAGGCAGCCAGGGGGTCTGCGCTGCGGCATGGCAGGGAGGCACTCGCCCTCACAGGTACCCCTGGCGATGGGGAGGTCCCTGAACCCAGGGACTGTTGGGAGCTTGCAGCAGGCTGAGTAGCTGGTGCGTCTCCTGTCAAGGAGGCCCCCAGTGCCTCGCCAATATTCGCCCAGCCGTTTCGAGGCCTATCGTCACCCGCTGTGCTGCTTGCAAGATCCGCCTGATGCCGAAACACAACATACCAACCAACTTAAGATGTCGCATACCCTTCACCAGCCTCTCATATGCAGCCCGGAATGTATGTTACTTTTGCAGCATCTAAAAAGCAGGATGTAGAGCGAGCTTCTCCTGTATGCCAGCGCACCTGCTGGGATGGCACAGCTTGTTCAGCGCTCCTGTCTATCCTGCGCAAGTCCACCCCAGCACCCGGCAGTGCCCAGTCCATGTCAAGCAGCGACGGCGACAGGCCGCCCTCAACTGCGCGGGCCGCTGGCACCTCTGTTGCCAGATCCAGCAGCGACGGCCTGTCCACGACAGGCATGTAGTACGACGTTGAAGCTGCAGCCGCCTCGCCATTGCCGCTGGGTGAATTGCTGGGCGGATCGCCGGGCGGGGCGCCGAGGGCGCGCGGCGGCCCGGGTCCGGCGGACGCTGACTGGACCGGGAGGGGCCCGACGCGCATCTGCGCGCGTGCCTGCGCCTGCGCCTGCGCCTGCGGCCGTCGACCATCGGCTGCAGGCGCGGCCTCAGAGTCCGAGCCTGATGAGGATGACTCATCCTCGGAGAGGAACTGGTGATTGGCCGGGATTGTGACCACCGGCGGGGTCATTGGCCGCGCCGGCCTCGCCTTCTGGTACCTGTCGTTCTGCGCTGCTGCCTGCTCTGTGGTGCCGTGGCGATAATTCTGCAAGCATCGCGCGTACCTTAGTAATCGCATGTTATCCTGACAGCCATGTTTGCTAGCTCCATCCTTCTGGGCCTTCTGGGCATGGAACTGTCAACGAAAGAGGGCCCAGGTGGATCTCATCACAAATCAGACAAACCTGGAGCACTGATGAGGAAATGGTTCAGCACCTTGACGGCTTTGGAGGTCCTCTGGATGATGGCGTTGACGCGGGAGACCCCCTTCGCGCTGGCATTCGCAATTGACTTGCTGATCTTGCCCCGCTTCACGGCAGCCGCCGCCACCTGTGGCGCCATGCCAATATTTACTCAAAACTCTTCACACCTAAATATTATTATTATTATCATTACACACTTTTCCTGCCAAGAGGCAAGGTGCGTCCTGCAGACCAGCTTAAAGGCTGCCACAATCCTACCCTTGTTGGACTCGCCAGATCCAAGCAAGACCCAATAAACCGTGGGCCCGGCTGGCGGGGGGCGGTACAAATACTGAGCACCTTATATAATTCACACCTAATACCAATTCAAAATCACACATGGGTATAACCTACGACGGCTCTCTTGGAAGCGGAAGGCAAAGTGCAGCGGCGGTGTGAACTGAGGCAGCCACGCAGTGGGGAAGATCGCAAAGCCAGAAGCGAGAGTGTGGGCATGCGTACCTCGAAGGGGTCGCCGAAGGGGACGCCGTCGGAGGCGAGGCGCAGGCGCTCGTTGAAGAAGACCTCGTAGCACTGGCTCTGCCGCAGCTGCTCCAGGAACGCGCGCGCCTTGGCGCTGTGGAACGACGCCACAAACGCCGCGTGGTTAAACCGGTACCCATGCGCCCTGCAACGAATTTTCATACTAGACAGGCTCCCCAGGATCCACAAACACCAGCAATATGTGGGGTTTGAACAGGTTCCTTGGATTTGACAGTGGCATGCTGGGATGTGAGATGCACTCATGAGAAAGAGCACCCCACAACATCACAACAGAGGATTGTACGTTGGGCATGCATGTACATGGAAGGGACGAGGTGCTGTATGGGCATTTGATATGAGAAGCAAGCATGGGTGGTAAAGCTTGCCTGATGTAGCCGTCGTCTTGATGGCGGATACGTGGGCCGGCCCCGTTTGCCTCGGGCACCGGGGCAGGGCTGCCGGGCACATCCTTCTCCACAAATTCCCTGTAGCTGCCCAGTAGCTTCACCATGTACTCCTGCACAGCCCACATGCAACTCACTCTATCTGGCTGTCAATGCCCGCAGTTTTGCGTCCCTATCACTGTGACTTCTCGGCAAGCAGAGAAAGGAAAGAATACATAGAAAACCAAAGGTGTGCAAATGTATGGTCCGCGCGTCAACTGCAGGAAACCTCTTGAGCCTCTGGTCTGCAAACTTTCATGTGACAGTCATGCAGGCCAGCGATGAACCAGAGATCTAGTATGTTCCACTGCAGTGGGGGTTTGCGTGCAAGGCGGCAGCGCATTCATAGTCGCAGCTCACAGCAGCTTGCACACGCTGTGAGGGATATGCGCATTGGACGGTGATGGGGGTGGATCCTGGGGGGGCGGAGCGTGCCTGCATGAGGGCGGCAATGACGGGCGTGCTCTCATATTCCACCGGGCTGCGCAGCGTCTGGTGCAGCAGCGCCAGTGCCGCCTCCAGCTGCCGGCCCCACGGCAAACCGCTACCGCCACCGCTGCCACTGCTGTCGCCGTTGCGGCGTGGAGAATGCAGCGAGGAGCATGTGGTGGTGCCCCGGTCCAGGTCGACCACGACGACTTCCTCCATGGCCGAGGAGCGCAGCGTGGACATGAAGAGGTTGGGGGAGTGCACGCCCATCAGGAAGGGCATCGGCGCCGAGAGGTAGTCCTGCGAGTAACCAGCAAAGGCCTCAGCCGCCGGTGTGCAGAGCCCGCTGCCGTTGTGCGCCTTTCATCAAGTTCAATAGCTGTCCATGCTCTAAGCAAGGCATGCATCATAACAAGCACTGGTTAAGACACCTTTAAAGGTCTCTCGTCCAAGGGATCGGAGGGTTCGGCATAAATTGAGCAAAGGGGCCCAAGGAATCCATGATATTATGCAGGTCAGCAACTGTGCAAATAGGAGGCTTGGTCTTTGCTGGTGGCCAAGAAAGGGCAGATGGCCGTGCGCACCTTGAGAGCGAGGGGTAGCAGGGGCAGGTAGATGTGCTGCCACTTGAGCGGGTGCAGCAGCGCAGCCGCGGCATGCACCGCAGCACTCACCGTGTCCCGCTCCTGAGCCACCATCAGCACACGCCGCTCCTGCACCCACGATTCGCTCAGTTTCATATATCTAGCACAGCCATTTCCTTATACAACTTCCTAACAGCCTTTACCTCAATCCTGACGGCCATGGTTCACCCCTCCAGGCTTGCGTGCCCCGAACGCTTCCGCTCCCAACAGAAGAAGACGGTAGCTGGCATTACTTTTCATGTGCGGGCATCTACACTGCGTCTCCAGGCATTGCCAGAGATGGAGAGAGGGAGGGAAGCAGCGTGTGGAGTGACTTGTTGCGCACCAGCAGCAGAGCTTCTATGAGGCCCACAAGGGCGGACGGCGACAGGTGCCACAGGAGGCGCGCCAGAGGCAGCCCAGCATTCTCGGCTCCATTTCCAGCATCCGGGGGAACCTCCAACTCCACCCACTGCTCCGTGCTGCACACCACAACCCCCTTTCTGTCAGCCATCTCTGTCCCATGCGTGACTGCATGTATGCAGACTGATCATCCTGGGCCAGGTAAATCATTGCATTGTTGATGCACTCAGTTGAACCAGCAGTGTAGCCCCTTCTCCATTTGGGCGCTCGCACTGCCTTCATGTCTTGCATTCTCTCTTCTCCTGACACTACTGCAAGAGTAGGCGTTGCATTCTCATAGCCTGAAGATTGGCGCCTGACACAGCAAATGCCGACTGAGTTTTCCTCTGCGCTGTTCAAGGGAGGGTAGGACGTGTCAATAAAAGCCGGGGGTCTGCACCTGCGTAGTGGGGGCTGGCTGCCGGACTGGAAGTCGACCCCGATGCGCCGCGGGGGGCTGACATTGACGGGGGCAGGCGTACGCGGCAGCGGAAGCCGCAGGACCTCTCCCGGGACCAGCTTGCCGGTGCAGGAGATGCTGAGATTCTCCAGGAACTGGCTTGCTGGGGACGCATATGGCAGGCTCGCATGCGCTGGCCCATTCAGCAGATCTGTCTGCTTCAGCATCGCCTCCAGCACTTGCAGCACCTGCATCATGGAGCCCTTTGCTGGCCTCTTGATCCCTTATACTCAATACAGTGACTCGTGTCTCGGTTTCTGCGGCCAGTCGGTGGACAGGGTGAGCGCTGCAGGGCACCTTGAAGTAGAAAGCGAGCCAGAGGTGCTCAGTGATGATGCAGAGGACCTGCGGGTACCGCAGGCTCTTTAGCCTGGCCCGAGGAGGTAAGAAGCTCCTGCAGAAGCCGTGCAGGCGGCTCCCATCGCCGCCGGTCAGTGTGAAGGAGTACTCCTGCATGAGCAGGACTTTATAACACGTTGATCCAGCCATCATGGGCTCTTGTTCAGGCCAGGTAAGAAGCATCAAGCATCAGAATTGGAGTGGACATCAATGGAAGAGCCCACACCTCTGGAGCCATGTACTCCTTCGATGTGACATGTTCGGGCCCAAGAGGAAAGCAGAAGGCAGCGAGATTCTGGGGACTGGGGAGGTCCTTGGATTTGCTGCCTGGTCCTTTCTCATCGTGACGGCAGATGATCTCCACTCCTTTCGGCTGGCTGTCTCTGAGCCGCGCCACAAAACAAGATTGGAAAGACATGTGTGCTGTACCCTTGTCCCGGCACCGCTGATAGTATCACGCATGTGGGCCGTCACATATCGTTTGTAACAGACGATCTGAATTTTAGAAGTCTGTAGGTGCAAGCTGTGATCTTCGCCTTAGAGATATCGGAACGCCAATCTCATCACTTTTCAGCTTGCTTTTTCGAGTATGGGATCAGCTCATTTTCGTTACTTGAAACAAGAAATCGATTTCACACACATGAAGATATGATCGCTGTCATCATGGTTTCCATTTTGGACACCAGACCTTTGGGAAGGAATCGATGTAAATTTGCTCACGTGCACCATAGGAACCTGCAGGAAGGTGGGCATTGCCGCCCAAGCCTTGGACAGGTAGGCTTCCGCAGTAGACGTTCTTTTACATTCCGTAACACGTCTTTCTCAACACGTTTGCCTCAAGTAGCAGGCAAGTGACAATACATATACAATTCATGCGCGTGGCGCATGTCATTGCAGTCCAGCTGGTTGGAGTGGAAGGCCTCTCAAAACTTGGTAGCTTGATGCCCGATTACGCAATCAGACAGCATCCAGCATTGCACATGGACCAAGCAGAAGACTAAACGCAGACAGATGTCCAAGTTTTACTTGTGGTACAGGAACAAAGGTCTATCTCTAATTGTACAGCAGCCACATCTAGATCTGGCTTTGCAAAAATGATGCCAGCACCAGCTCTCCGGAGGCTTTGTCGCCGTTCTGAGCTGACACGGCGTGCAGCTCTTCCTGTGCTGCGGCAACACAGCATCACCGGGACCCGTGCTTGGCGCGCTTGCCGTTTGCACCGCCGTCCTGCTCCAGCTCCTCAATAAGCGAGCGGTCCTGGAACGAGGCGCGCGCGACTTTGACGAATGCGCGGTCGAAGCCAGTGACAAAGCCCCAAATCAGGCCAAAGGTGTGCGCCGGATCCGAGTCTGCCGGCTCGCCGAGGAAGGTCGCGAGCTCTGACAGGGCCGCCTGTGCAGCCTTGCCCCGCTCCATGAGCTCGTTGTGCCGCCGCTGCGCCTTTGTCAGGAATTGCGAGCACACAGCGGCAAAGCTGGCCTCCTCCTCTGCCACCGTGGACGCCTCCAGCCGCACAATGACTAATCGGCCGTCCTCAGGGGCCGCCGGCTCGGCACTGTCCTTCTTTGCCTTTTCAGCCACCTGCTGTGCCAGGCTTCCCATCGATGCCCCAGGGGGCCGCTTCCCCGCGGCCGGCTTTGCCGGGGGCGGTGGCGGGGGCGGGGCACCAGCTGCGGGCTTCTTGGGCTTCGCGCTGGGAGGCGGCGGCGGCGGTGGTGGAGCCGCGCCCTTGCCGTCGGCGAGCGGAGCCGCGGGCGCGGCGGCCCCGTTCGCCTTGGGTGGCGGCGGAGGCGGTGCCGGGGGCGGCGCGGTCACCTTTTTGGGCGGAGGCGGTGGCGGCGGGGACGCCTTTGTGCTCCTCTGCGGCGGCGGTGGCGGTGGCGGCGGGGCCTTAGCGCCGCCAGGCGGCGGCGGGGGCGGGGGAGGAGCCTTCTTGGCCGTGCCATTCGGCATTGGGGGCGGTGGTGGCGGTAGCTTCCCGCGAGCCGGCGGGGGCGGCGGCGGCGGCGGCGCGTTCTTGGCCGGGGGCCGCGCCGGAGCGGGGTTCTTCTCTGATGCCGCAGGGGAGGCTCCTCGGCCGGAGACGAGCTTCGCGGCGAGCGCGCTGGCCGCCGCACTGGCGGCCTTGCGCACTGGGGTCCCCGCAGGGCCCGCCGCCCCCGCGGCCTGCGTGAACGTCAACCGCAGCGCAACAATGCGATCTGCTGCGCTCGCCGCAGCATCCCGCTCGACTTCTGCGTCCGCCACGCCCCTGTCAAGCGCCTTAAGTGTCTCCTGCATCTCCCCCTACAACACCCCAAGCACATCCATTCACCACTCCGCATTAGAAAAGGCGCATATACCATCCAGATATTCCCAACAGTTACACAATTCAAGGGAAGGGTAAAGCGATGAATTTCGCACAACCTGTTAGGATCAGTGGAAAGGGGTGATGCATTTGGGGTGATGCATGAACAATCGAGAGAGGTGGTGCACCTGTATCCGGACAGAGGCCTCCCGCACAGCATCCAGCTGGTCGGCAAGGAACCCGCCGCGGCCCTTGAACCAGTTGGCCGAGCGCGCAGTTGCGGGCACATCGCAGAGCACCACCCAGGCCACAAACTCCAGCAGAGTTGCCACTTCAGGCACTGTCATCGCTACTGAAGGCCGGGGAGTGGCGGCCCTCGGGGACAGGTTGCCATTCGACTCCGCAGCGCTGTTCTGGGGTGACTGCTTGGCCTCATCAGAGCCCTTGGCTGGCAGGCTTGGCCTGAACTCCTTGGTGATCTGGACATCCACACCCAACCAGCTCAGTAGTGCTACTTTGGGTAAGGGAATGATAGAGGAAATGACAAGGGTGTACCACCAAACCTTTCAAACATTCGGCCCACCGACAATGCCACCTTGAGCTTTTCAATTGCCATAGAACAGACGAACAGGAATGATGAGAGCATGCCAAGGATATGCATGTCTACTCCACATTGCCCAACACAGGAAGGAGTGCCTGTCTGACGCAGAACATGGAGCACAGCAAGAGACAAAAGGGTGAGGAAGTGGCACACACCTTGACGTCGGCCATTTTGGCGAGGGAGTCGAGCTTGATGGCGGAGGCATCGCCGCGGTGGGTGCCGCAGTTCATCGTGTTGCCCGTGGCCAGCACGGCCCTCAGTGTGTGCGCCAGGCGGTCGCTGGTGCGAATCTGGTCGCATGCGCGCTCCACGCACTCCACTGCAGACCGTGCCGAACGCACCAGGTTCTGCGAACAGCGCTGCAGTCAGCCTCAGGTATGCTGCCGTGCTGGCAGTGCCCCATGTGGGTCCTTTCATCCTCATGTGCAGCTCATGTTTGCACAAGGTATGTCGGTATGCATGCATCAAATGGCATCAAAGGCAGGTCAAATCGATCATGTAGCGGATGAGTGCGCCAGAGAAACAAAGGACATCAACGGATGTCCAACTGCCTCAGGAATGATAATGCAGAGCAGCCTTCATATGTTTTACGGGCAGGCAGCATTGCAAGCTGCACCTGCATTGCCATGCAGATCAGCAAGGCCATACAGCCGCCGCCTTCCCAAGACAGATGCGCGATGAGACCAGCACAAGCAGCTAGGAGAGAAATGAGGGGGGATTTTACCTCAAACTGGTGCACGAGGATGAGCAGGTGGATCTTCTCGTTGAGGCGCGGTACAGTGGACATGACCAGCAGGAATTGCTCCGGCAGCGACAGGTCCTCCGGCGGGCCAGAGTATTTCTGCAGCGCCTTCGTCTCATCCTCCTTCGGCGCAATCTGCACCCCGCCCATTCATGAGACTCAGGAAAACTCCCGGCGAAATTTCACAAAAGAAGAGAATTCACTTCTGCTCAGCGACCTGACCGAGCACACAGGGCAGCGACTGCGACTGCAAGGCCCGATAGGCTTGTGCTGCTCTGCAAAGTCTCAACCAGTCTTTAGCACAACACCGACACTCTCAGATGCGGTGATTTCTTGCCAATCCGGCACATAAGAAACGGAAGTTCCACCTTCGGAGTGACAACAGAGCAAATAGTGCAGCATTTACTTGCAAACTCTGCAAACTTTACAAGTAAATGAGGGCATGAGTGGACTACGGATCTCTACAGCACGCTCTTTGCTCAGGCAGAGCGCACTACCTCACTGCCTCTTGGCACAGCCCAAACAGCTGCTGAAGTGTGAATGAAATGCAGCCTGGTGGCACAAATCGTGAAGCAAATCGTGAAGGAAGGTTGGAGGCGGCACCTGGAGCAGGAGGGAGAGGCGTTCCAGGGAGAGGGAGGTGCCGGTGAGGAGGGCGCGGCGGATGTCGTGGGGGCCCTTGCGCAAGTTGCTGAACTGCGTGAGCATGATGGACACGTTGTTCGCGCGCGCAACCGGGATCACCTTGGCCATCCCCGCCTGCTGCCGGCTCGCGGCCTTGCCTGCACCACACCAGCAACACACTCTGACACTGCCTCTACCGAACAAGTTCAACCCCATCCTTCCGCTGCAAGAATCCTGAACACAGCGCTGCGGAATGGTGACTAACACCGCCAGTGCAAACGAGGCTGCATCATGGCAGCAGTGATGATAGAGCACACGGACAGGTGCTCTTCTGCTCAACGTCAAGGAGTGGCACTGGTATTTGCACGGAGCAATTGGAACAGATTGGGCGGTTGCAAACTCAGCGGCGCACCCTTGCTGACGACAGACTTGGCCTGGGGGCTGGGAGCGGCCTGCGCAAAGAGGGCCTCAAGCGCGGCGAGCTGCTCCTCGGACAGGTTCACAGACGGCACGCGTGCCCAGATGGCGTCTGGCCGCCATGGCATCTTGTTCCAGAAGAACGGCCGCAGCTTCACCGACGGCTGCCGCAGCGGGCCCACCGGCTTTGGAGCCTGTTCCAGGCATGTGAACCGAGTAAATGCCTACTGTGCAGGAAAGCTAGAGTCTCACAGGTCCTTGAAGGGTTGCTATGCATTGAATGCAACAGGTGCAGATGGTCAGCAGACGATCTGGCATGTAAGACGCCCAGACAGCTTGTACAACTAGAGTGAAAGGAGCTGATCTTGTATGTAATCCCATACAGGGTAACATTTTCCACCTCAGCACGGTGAGGACCCTGAACATGCTGCACCGCGCTGCACAAATTGACCATAGGACAGCAGAGCTGATGTGTTCCTCGGCATGCAACTCTCCAAGGCCTTTAGAGCCTCTTCAGGCAGTAGCACCAACAGTCACCTTGGCGGCGAGTGGCGGAACAGGCGGGGCAGCGGGCTTCTTAGGGGGAGGAGGTGGGGCAGACTTGGCTGCCTTGGGCGGTGCAGGCGGCGGCGGTGGCGGAGATGCCTTCGGCTTTGGGGGCGGCGGCGGTGGCAGCTTCTTTATTCTGGCTGCCTCTGCTGCTGGCTGCACAGCTGCTGCAGTGCCTGCGCGACACAGCCACCACGAATGATTTGAACACCCTCCGCTTAAACAGTGCTCATTGTGCAAATCAACCAGAATGAAAAGGCTGATGAGTGTTATGCACAAAATTGCACAAGGCTCCAAAGTTGGGATGCTGTGGGCAGCAGCGACAGATGATAGCAAAGGATGAAGAACGACTTCACACCTTCACCAGGCTTCTCTGCATCAGCCAGCTGGCCCAGGGCAGCCTTGTCAGCAGCTGACGCATGCACATCGACACGGGCCGCGTCGGCCGCCTTTTTGCTTCTTTGCTGCTCCTGCTGCAGCTGCCGTATGACCCTGCCCTCCATTACATCTGGCAGAGACACGCTTGCCCCCAA